GCAGCGCAGTCGACTTTTCTCCTTTGGTCCTGTGATATCACGTGATATCACGTGATATCAAAGGAGAAAAGTCTTTTTTCAAAGTTTAAAGACCCATAACAATAACTCACAATTTTGATGGTCATACGCACGATCTCAATGTTGATGTGCTCCTGCCTTTGTCGGTGTAGAACCCTCAACGGGGTAAGAGGAAAAGCAGCAGCACGCAACTGAACAACATGCTGACTTAGAAAGCGAATCGTACTACGCAGACGCTGTTGATAACTCTGAGGGTGCTATTCGACAAAGAACAAAGTCAAGTCGTCGAAACGAGAATACTTAAGTACAAACAGTTCTTATCTATCATCACTTGTCTTTACCCAACATGGAGGCAGATTCGTTGCGCACGGTCCCGCTCTCCCTTGAGTGGCGGAACGTGACGATCCAGGTGGGGGACAAAAAGATTTTGGACAACGTTTCGGGCTACGTGCCCGCCGGCGAAACGCTGGCGATCCTGGGGCCCTCAGGTTCCGGGAAAACGACGCTGCTGTCCCTGTTAGCGGGCGTGTTTCGCTCCAAGGCACAGAAGGACACCTCGATCACGGGGGAGATCATCGTGGGAACCGGTCCGCAGGCGGCCGGCCCCGCGCGGGTGCACGCCTTCAGCCGGCACATGGCGTACATGCGGATTGTGGAACAGTACGACACGTTCCTGGGGTCGTCCACGGTGTGGGAGCACCTGCTGCTGAACGCCGCGCTGCGGCTGCCGGACAGCACGGCGGAAGAGCAGGAAGAAAAGATCGTGGAGATTCTGGACCGGCTCCGCCTCGCGGGCTACGAGGAGGTGCGGATTCCGTTTCTCTCCGGGGGGCAGAAAAAACGGCTCTCCGTCGCGGAGGAACTTCTGTCGAATCCGGCAATCCTGTTTCTCGACGAGCCGACGTCCGGGCTGGACTCCACCGTCGCGCGGGAGGTGGTCGAAATCTTCTACGACGACGAGCGCCGGGAGCAAGTGGCCCGGGAAACGGCGACCAACGTGACGAAGCGAAAAGAATCCGAGCAAGAAGCCGACACGGGACCGGACAAATTGTCAAAAGTCGAGCCACCAAGAACTGTTGCATTGAAAATGCACGACGACGAGGCCGCAGACGAGCCGGTATCCCCAAGTGGGCAGCGAAAGCCGATCGAGAACAAGACACGTAAGAAAGATGCCACGAAACTTCTGCAGCCGTGGGAGCGTGCCAGGGCAAGGCTGGAAGCGAAGCTGAACGACTGCTGCAAAGTCGATGGACGAGACAAGGCCAAGGGCCGTGACGATGATCTCGTCCCGAAGCACCAGAAAGAAAAACAGCAAACCACGATTGTGTACACCATCCACCAGCCTTCCTCGCTCGTCTGGAGCTGGTTCTCGCACAGCATGTTTCTGGCGCGTGGCAAGTGTCTGTACTTCGGGCCCGCGGACGAAGTCGCCGACTATCTGGAGGCGAACGTACCGGATTGCCGGTGTCCGAAGGGATTTTCCGCGGCGGAGTTCTGCCTGGACGCGCTGAACGAGGACCACCACGTGTATCAAAATGAAAAATCCCCCCTCCCCATATCAAAACGGAAAGTTGTGATGCTGATTTGTGGCCACAAATCAGCTTTGTATTGCAGAGAGGCATGGCGGCCAGATCCCCAGGCTAGGTAGGGGCGTATGGGTCTAGTTGTTCAGTATGGCAAACGGCTCGCCTTTAGGCCCAACAGCATGACAAATCGCTTCCATAATGGGGCGGAAGCTTCTGCCCTTGTCTTCTTGCAAGACAGATGTGATTTGTGGCCTCAAATCCGCAGCGCAAATTTTTGGAAACATACCTTTTCAATATGGGGAGGGGGGATTTATTTTCCTCTCAATAACGTGGAGAGTTTGACGGCGCTCCGCGCAAAAGAAGACCACGCAACGAAGGAGATCGGGAGGGTGAAAAAGAGTCATTTGCGTTGTACTGCTGGGAACAGCAGAAATCATGATGCTCTTGATCATGATCGCAATGATGAAAACATTAGAATAAACTCGTGGGGGCGAAACACGAAAAATGTTGGGCGCGACGAGGAGGAGGCCAACGCCAAAAATGGAGGGGACATTATTGTCAACAAAGGCGACGATTCTGACGGCACCGGTCTGGAGGACGAGGAACTAGAGCCCGGGTTTCTTGGCGAGGCGAGGCAGAAGTCCCTGTATGCCCCGTTTTCGGTCCAGTACTCTGTGTTGGTCACCCGGGTGTGGCGCGATCGCGTCCGGGACCGTAGCAAGACCCTGATGGTGATGGTGGGGAACGCCGCGCTGCTGTTCATCCTGTCCGCCATCTTGTGGCAGCATGGCAAACGCCCCCAGCAGAACAGCGGCCGGTTTTGCGCCGTTATTCTGGTGACCACCTTTCCCATGATTGGGGACACGATTAACTACCTGATGCAGGTCCTCTTCCTCCAGCCCCAGATTCTGCGTGAGTACAACACGAAACGGCTGTACTACCTGTTTCCCTACTGGCTGGCGCAGCGCACCGGCGCGGCGCTGCTCGACTACGCGATGACCTCGGTTTTCTACGTGACCACCATGTTCTTCACCGTGGGCTTCTTCCCCGACTACCCTTTCTCCCGGTACGTGCGGGTGCTTGCCGCGGTGGCGCTGCTGCAGACGCTGGGCATGAGTTACGGCATGCTGCTGGGCAACCTGACGGATGATTTCACGCTGCTGCACGCGATTCTGCTGATTTTCTGCATGCCCTTCATGATGGTGAACCCGGTTCTGGCGCCGGGGGTCGAGATCCCCCCGTGGCTCCTGTGGTACCAGTACGGCAGTCCCTACTACTGGGGCACCAAACCCCTCATTTGGGTGCTGTACAAGGACTACTCGATGCAAGACCTGGAGCCGAGCGAAACGGACCTGCGCGTGCGGTTTCCGCACTACTGTGTGTACCGGGATTCCACCGGTCGCAACTACAAGTGCAGCGAGCTAGAGGCCGCGGCGCCGGGAGGAGGGCGGATTCCTCGCGCTCCGGGTGGATCTACCGCTACTTTGCAGGTTGTAGCCGGGGAGGACCACCAACCCTCTGCGAGCTGGTACAACGAGGGCAAGCCCTTTCTGTTCCTGGACGGCAACGCCTTCCTCAAACAGCAGTTTGATGTGGACCCGGAGCAGCCGTTCCAGGAGGTGTATTTTCCGCTGCTGATGTGCGCCGTGATGCTGGTGGTGCTGAACGTCTCTGCCTTCGTCATGTTCGCCTTCCGCCACAAGTACGCCTGCACCTGCTCCGTAGCATGCTCGAGGCGGCGGTTGTGTGGAGGCGGAAAACCTAGAAGTACGACGCGGGAACAGCACAATGAAGGAGAAAAGAACAAACGCAAGCCCGTTCGGGCAAGTAGTGGGCCCGAGCAGAGAGGAAAGGGCAAGAAAGGGCAGCGGAAGAGTACCGGTGCAACGGTAGAACAAGCTGATCACGAGAAGCTGGAAGTGACGGAGCCGCTTTTGAACGACAGGGTTTAGGCTAATTGGCTGTGTTTTGGTAGTGCAATTTTTGATGAAAAAACAATATAGTAAACCTAACGATTTTTGTTGGAACGGGAAGCACAATCAAGTTTTGATGACTACGTTCGAAGCTGGTTCCTAATTCAGTTGCATGTGTGAAGTAGAAGTAGTTCCAGAATTCATATGGTGTTTCGGGATATTTTTTCCAAAAAGCTTCCCTTTCAGGATTGTATAGCGAAGCTTCTGCCCTCCTTTCGTCTCCATAAACAGACACGACTGCCTTTGCAGTCGCTGTTTGACAAAGAAACACAAATTGACGAGGAAACAACAAGTTCACAAACACATTGGAATACTAGAGACGGTGAGACAAGACGCGAGTCATGGAGTCAGTAACTTTTTGCTGGCGGTACATACTGTGCTGTCTCCGCAAGAGGATCTTTTGCCTGCCCGTGGACGGACTGTGCACAGGTTTTTCACAGGTGCGAGGACCGGCAAGGGTCTGCTCTATGTATGTTCCAGAAGATGGACATAGAGTTCGACTAATACAGAAATACTAAAATGGTACTCGAGCATACGCTTAAGGAGTCCAAGTCGAAGGAACTGGCTACGCTTCAGAGAGGATCAACAAGCAGTGCTTACAGCCAGGCCTTCGCTACCAGCTATCGTTTGCACGCAGGGGCTAGCGGGCTGTTTATCTTGATGCGATAAATTTTTGTGGGCTCTATTGTTTCACAGTCGAAGTCGTACCACCAGGAAGTTTGTCCGTAAGGGAAGTTTTATTTTGCCAAAGAATTCTTTCTATTTCTTAGATAAGTACTTGATGGTGCGACACTTTGATTGCAATGGCATCTGGCGCGCAGTTCCATCGATATTCTTAGAGTAAAGTTTTCATCAACAGCACTGCCATGGGCCGCCTTCCCGACTATTACGAGCGGGGTAACTATGGCGACGGGCGGGAAGCCTACGCTGTCCAGTTTGTCGAGGAGACCGCGGAGCGTGGTAACGTGGTTGCGATTTTGCAAGCCCTGGAAACGTTTCACAAGCGATGGTCTATGTTGCATGTCGGTCCGGAGAAGGGTGCGCGCTTAGAAAAAGCGGTGGCTGACATAGTAAGTGCAGAAATGGATCATGTCGATGTGGATGAAGCGCAAACGGCAGCAGGTGGTGCTAGCGACTGTTCCGAATGGATGAAGCGGACGTCATGCGACATGCCGGGAGAAGATGTATTTCCAAACGAAAGACAGGCTTTGATGGAATTCCGCGTTTTAGAAGTCGGCACGTACATCGGCTACTCCACCTTGCGCATTGCGAAAGCCTGGGAAGACGCACTGAAAACGCGTTTTGTGGAGTATGAAAAAGCCAGCACGACCTCCGAGTCACGGAGCGATCGCCGACCGGAGGCCGCAGCGGCAGGCGGGAGCGGCGGTGGTCGCTGTAGAAGTAGCAACTACGGGGGTGCAACAGCGGGGCATCAGGTTGGACTGGCACAGGACGCAAGAGAAAGTAGGAGAGCGGTACCCTCCGCACGGCAAGTGCGTTTGAAGCTGGTCACATTTGAGCGTAACGAGGAAAACGCCGAGGCCGCGTTGCGAATTCTGACCCATGCGGGATACAGGGTCCATTTTGGTCGATGTGAAAAGAAGGACCGCGACACGGAAGCGAAGGACGGGGGTGCTACTACGGAGGGAAACATGTGCGCCGATGCCATCTCCGCCTCTCCCTACGGCGACAGCAACTTGGCACCAGAGCCTCGGGCGAGGCCGGAGGTATATTCACCACAACACCTACGTCGACATTGTACTACAGAAGAAGCCCTCTCCCAGGTATGCACTTCGTGGGACGTCAGCGTTGACATTCACTTGTCTTGCGGGGCCATGGAAGATGGCCAGGACTCCATTCTATGGCCAATAAAAAGAAGTAGAAGACAAAACACAAGTGACATGATCGACCCGGCGGACAGGTACCTGCACTTGATTTTTTTCGACCACCAGAAGAGCCGCTACTTGCAGGACCTGCTTTGGTTAAAAGGTCTCGCTGTTGAATTCGGAAGCCTATTTCGCCCCCGACTGACCCGCATCGTCGCGGACAATGTCGCGTCGCAGGAACACCTCCAGCATCGCGACTTGGCCATTGCGCGCGGCAAGCGCAAGTCGAAGTGCCACTGCGTCAACCGGGGCTGCAATTTTTTGCAGTACGTCTTGCGCCAGTACGACACCGGGGTCTTTGTGGGGGCCGGAGAAAGCGACGGCATCTCTGTTTCAGTTTTTCGGGACGATAAACACCTTCCGTGGAAAGAACGAGTAAGAACTCCTGTGTGCGAGGGCGCTGCTCCCGCTGTGAATGAAAATACTTAATAGTGCCGTCTCAATACACGAATACGAAGCGGCCATGCTGGCACTAGTGCCAGAAGTTCTTGTGGGGCGGTGAAAAACGACTGCTCTGCGCATTTGAGCATCTAAGCATCTTGGAGGAGGCGGGTTGTCTCAGTAGAACATCCATGGCGACATGTTTCATCGTAGTTGTACAAACTTTTCTACCCACCTTCACCATTAAGCAGGTTCATCTAGTTGAATGGCAAGACTACGCAGCAGGCACAACTGCCGTCGCGCAAGGACCCTCTGTTGTTTTATTCCGCAGTGCAGTTCTCGTTTCATGCGCATGTTCATTCGTGATCGTGTCTAGTAACGGTCGCAGCAAAGAACACGTGCTTAGAAAATACGGTTGGTCCTCAAGAATGAATGGTGTATCGGACGAGGCAATGCTGTCTTGATGTTTGCTACGCGGTATCAGAACCCTGTCGTCCCTCATGCAGCAGTACACAGTGCGGAGTTTTTCAGTATAGAAGCATTCGCAGTATCGTAGAAGGAGAGCAGCAGGTTCTTGTACAAGCCAAATACCGAACTAATACTTTAGCGAGGATAAAAGTGACAGCGTGAACTCGTTTATTTTCTCACACAGAAGATTCATATACACATACACTTTTCCATTTTTCTCAAAGTTGAAGTTCGCAAGCCCCATGACGGTCGTCGCAGCGGCTTCGTCCGACGGCGGTGCAGCAAACGGGGCCGCCAGTGCGTCGTCGAAGTCTGTTCCTCTTCCTGCAAACGTCGCGTCCGACAAAATTACGCACGCCGATGTGCTGCGACTAGTTTCGCTGCTCGAAAAGAAGGACTTCGAAACCTGGAAGCAACTGACGGTCGAAAAGCACCTGTCGGACGAGTTCACCAGTCTGTCCGAGCAGCTTGAGCGGCTGGCGAAGCAGATGCTGCCGCTAAAGCAGCTGTGCGGGGAGCTGCGGACGCAGACGAAGCACGTCAGCGAGCGGACCGAGGTGCTGCGAGCGGAGGAGGTCGCGAAGCGGCGGGACATGGAGGAATACCTGGAAAAGCACATTGACCCACTGCAGCGGGAGGAGTATCATATTGAAAAGTGCAGCTGCCTCGTCAGATTCGGAAGAAATAATGCGAAGTGCTTGTATTGGAAAGTTATTTTATCCACATGGACAATGAAAGGACGAGGACTCTTGCTACTTGTTGGAAATTTCAGTGACACACAGCAGTACAAATTGCGTGACGAAGCAATACTGTGTACTATGCAAGACGGGAAAAGTAAGTGTAGAAAAAGTTTGCAAGACAATGGCTTGCTCATTCGGAGGTAAGCGCGCTTTTCATTCTGATAAGTAGAACGAGAAATTCGAAAAGGAGATGCGGGAGTCGGACGAGCTGCAGGCCCGGCTCCGAACCTTTCTGGAAGAGTATGACCACCGCGAGGAACTGAAGCGGCAGCAAAACGAGCTGCGGGAAAAGGAATTCGGGAATACGCAGCGGAAACGTGTAGTCATTAGTTCGGGTCGTCGTGCTGTCAGGGCCGACAGGCAAAGACTTGACGTGCTGCGTCCGAGGGCTGGAAATGTTCAATTTGCCAGGACGCGCTGATGCCAAGAAGAGCTCAATTTTTTTTTGCCCTGCTGTAGTGTCATGGGTACAAAAAAGGCCTTCGAAGCCGTTTGGACAATACATTTTTGCCACTCGCGCCGTCAGTGAACATTTTGTGCGCAAGCAAGACGAGATTCAACATCTAGGCATGTTTTTCCCTGACAGACAGACAGACAGACTCAGGTCTTTTTGAAAATCATAGGCGAGTTGGATGAACAAATTCTGGAGCTGGAGAAGACCACAGATCAAGAAGCGGCGGAACTGTGGCAGTGGGAAAAGCTATCGGCGCAAATTGTGTTGTGCACTGACTCGAGATGCAGTTCTTGGTCACATAATGTGTCTTTTTCCAATGCTTGCAGTGTGGAATCTTGTTGATACGTAAATGTATCGAACATTTACATTGTGTGTGCGATGTTCCTCTTTTTGAAGGTGTATTCTGTTGCGACGTCCGTTTGTTGATCACAAGCTTTGGCTTGTTGAGTCAAAAGAGCGCAACTTTTGCGTCGATAGGGGCAGAACCTGGTGAAGCAGAAGGAGAACGACAAGATTCGAGCGTCCATAAACGCACGAGTGGAGCAATTTGAGGAGTGGCAAAAGTCGCTGGAGCAGATGCACAAAGACTTCAATACTACGGGCACGGACTTGCAGACACTTCGTATCAAATGTAAAAATGTCTGGGTCTGGAGGAATGCAACTTGTCATGCTAAATCTGCAGCGTGCAAAAATCTGTGTTGCATGATTACCAAAAGTCGACCAATTTTGATCAAGTCGGGAGGTAGTTTCTCATGCAGGATAGGCATTAGAAAGGTCTCGCAGAATCTGTCATGCTGGGTCCGGCATTCCAGACCTCATGGGTCATGGAAAAGCAGCATGACAAATCGCGCATTCATCCAGACCCAGACATTTTTACACTTGATACTTCGGCTGAAGAAGCAACTTTTGCTCAAAAAGAAGGACGAGGCGGCCTACCGCCTGAGTCACACCAAGGAACTCCTCAAAAGGAAAAAAGTCATCGAAAAAGAACTTGCGAATGTATGAACTCGCTTGGTCCTCCTGCTCGGGGGCAGAGGAAGATCTCGATAAGATTGTAACTGCGGGGATCGATTGCACTCTGCAGACGTCGTGAGATACAATAGTACCACATAGCACTTCTACCGAGAATGCCCTTCTTCACGAGCTGAGGAATTTTCGTCTCCAAAAGTTCTTGGTTTCGAGCGTGTGCCGCGCTTTGCCCTTGCTACAATTGTGGCATCGTAGAATCCAAATTGTCTCCGAATCGGAGTGATCAGAAAGATCAGAATAAGAAAAGTGAATGAGACGGTCAGTGGCGACATCACAAGCCGAGAGTCTCAATTCGAAAAAAAGTACCAGCACAAGATCCGACGATCCACATCCACCGCGTGATGAAAGTCTTGCAATAACTTTTTTCACGCCGTTCTAATTCTCGTCAAGACTTGGCTTTGCTAGAGCGGTCTCCGAGTAGCACAACAGATCTAGTCGCATGTGACGATCCGTATACCAAAAGATCAAACGATGACAAGGATCGTGGAATTGTCAAGGACAACTCTACTTATTCCGATTCGTCGAGGGAAATACAATTACACCCTCGCCGCTCCGATTATAGATCCGTTTAGCAAGTTCGTTGAGTCCACCGTTGAAAGGTGAAGATACCTTCATCGATCTTGCGGCTCACGTCTTTCACTCACATATTTTCTTCAATCTTAATCACCGTCAGTGCGAATAAAGAGGATGCAGAAGTCGAATATTCCATGTATGCGATTTTACTTACGTAGCAAGTGTCATACTCGTCGACTTGGTAGCTCCGCAACGAAGAAGAAAGAACTACTAGCGACATTTCCCATGGGATTCCGACTTACACCTAAACTCCCAACATACGACGGTTGAATTTTTCCTGTGTAAGTATTGAAGTCACATCACACCCACCGGAGTAGCAAGTAGAAAAATCACGACACCAGCAAATCATGGCGAAAAGTAAGAAGGGAAAAGCGACTTCCGCCGCGGCGACGGTCCTCACGGACGAGGAGCGCCGACGGCGCGAGGAGCAGCGCCAGGTGCAGCAACTGGTGTTGCGGCTGAAGAAGGAGAACGCGAGCGAGGAGGAGATCAAGCGCCAGAAGAACCGGCTGAAGACGGATTTGAAGTACTCCACGCAAGAGAAGCGCGACTACTGGCGGGAACAGAAGAAGAAGAACGCGGAGACCAAAAGAAATGTCGGCGCAGGTTGTGACCCTTCCTCGTCCAGCAGTGGTCCTCCTGCCACCGGAGAAGCAGCAGGAACGGGCCTAGGACCGCAAGAGGAACGAGTTGGCGAAAGTGAGGCGTGCAGCGTCGACGTTGCTGGTGGTGGTGGTACAACAAGCTCAGGGATCCTCGTCGGACCAAATTCGAACAAGCGGAGGAGAGGCGAGGAGACGGATAGGGTACAAACCGCAAAGGCTGGGACCACCACCGCGCAAGACGACGAGGACCTGTCGGATTCGGCCGAAGAGGCGGACGAGAACCTGCAGAAACAGCACGAGGTGATCATCATCCCGATCGTGTGGCGGGGCCGGCACGATCGGCACTTGCTGATGGAGGCCGCGGAAAACGTGAAGCGGGTCTTGGCGCAACAGGGTATCAACACCTGGATCGATTCGAGGCGCCAGCACACGCCCGGCCAAAAGTTCGCGTTCTGGGAGCACAAGGGCGTCAAGTTCCGGATCGAGATCGGGCCCAAGGACTTCGAGCGCGGAAAGCTGTGTCTCTGTAAACACCCAGTCATCCCCGGGGACTTTCAAAACACAAAGAAAATGTACCGAATAAGGCCAGTTTTGATTATTAATCTTGCGTCGCTTTTTCTTCCCGCGATAATTGACAGTGAGTTAATGCGTAAAAATGCACCATTCGAATTCCAAATCTCATCGTCTGATAAAGTTCCATTGATTTCGAAACTTCTGTCCCCACGGCTCAATAACACGACGCGATTATTAAAAAAAACAACAACAACAGCTTCGTCCCGCTGCCACCAGAGGGCGCACGCGAGCTGCTCGTGCAGCTGCAGAAGTTTGGGTTCGAAAAGCTGCAGGGCACGATTCGCGACGCCGACGAACAAGGCGAGAACCACGAAGCGGGTGGTGAGGAGGTGCCCCGGGATTACAGCACCCTCTACGACCGGTCGAAGGAGATCGGGGGCACGGTGGCCGACTACACCCACCGCTTCTCGTCCACGCATGAGGTAACGAAGTTCGGCGGCGGCGGCATCCTCAAGCCCGGCGTGGGGGACAGGAGCGGCGCCAGTGGGGACGCACTCACGGAAAACTTCCAGCTCACGACAAAGCAAGCTGCAGAGGAGGACGACAACCGCGCGACACAACCAAAAAAGAAGAAAAGGAAAGTGCGATGATGAGTTGCGCTTTTGTGCCGTGCATGATTGGGGTGCTGCGGCCCATTGACGTCTGTAGGCTCATAGTGCATTGTGTTTGTTGTTGAACAAGTGCGGTTGGAATTACTTAAACGAGCATCGAACCATGAAAGCAAGTTTGTGTAGCCACGCTGAACCTTGCAGACAACCAATACAGCCACAGCGAGCGAGAAATGCCGATTCGGTTATTGGAGAAGCCTCAGGAAATGCTTGCAGGATTCGCAATTTGTTGTTCGACTTCGTATCTTAACTGATTACTCGCTTTCGAATCATATTGACTTCGTACCAGCTGGGTGACTTCTACCAGCTTCAGGCGACGAAAAAAATAGGCGAATGGTAGAACAAGTTCTTCTCTGCTCGTCAATGCAAGAGTGAGAGAAGCTGCACCCGATGGAGATGTGTGTCAGTTTGTTTTGCCAATGTTTTGACAGCTAGAGTTTTAAAAAAGCCGTAAATGATGTGCCAAAACTGCATAGACTTGCAAATGCAACAAGGTTCTTCGTCTTGGCACACCGTATCGAATGTCGCTTCTTTTTCATTGCCAGCTCGTCGTTTTTGAAGTGGTGTTCCCACAAACTAGTTGATCAGCAAGAAGTAGGATTGATATGGCTTACGCCCACGCGGTCCGCGAGGTTTTGGGGACCATATACGTGAAGGTTGAGCGGGCGGAGGACCTGTTGCACCGCGATGGAATCGTCAGTACCTCTTCCGTGCCGCGGCCCGTCTTCGTCGGGAACCAGATCGTCCAGTACCGGCCGCCGCAGCCCGTCGGACAGATTCCCGTGCTCTTCCACCAGTTGAAAACGACCATCAAAGGCGTGATCCGGGACACGGCCTCCACCTCGGTTCTCGACCGCCTCCCGGTCGTCCGCGAGTTGAAGCAGACCTACGACTACGTGTTCGGCAACTTGAATGCGGACCGCGTGGACTCCATCCCCAGTCGCGTACACGACTCCCGGCTGAAACTGGAACAACTCGTCGCCCTCGTTCACGCCAAGGCCGGCGGCAGCGCGGCCGATGACGTGCTCAGCTGCGCAACCGCAGACCTGAAGTACGTGGATCCTTGGCCCTACGTGCATCCGACGGGAATCGGAACATTTTGAAAAAGATTTCGTACCAATAATTTTGCAGAGACGTTTCTCATTTTTGACTGTACGATGTTGGGACTCGACTACACAAAGGAACGCAGTAAATCAAGAATTTTCAAGAAACACTCACATACTACGACTTCTTCCCGCTGCGGGTCTCACCAACCCGGAGCTGCAGACAGTTTCTGTTTCCCAAATCGCAACCTTCAACGAGGTCGAGACGAACTGAAGCGGAAGCTTCTTTTATGAGTAATACTTCGGGTCGATGAAAATAAAGCGACTTCGCCAGCAAGTTCTATTTTGGACAAGGATGGGACGACGATAAAAGTGTCTTGTTCACATGTTCGCGTTCCTATGCATGAGACTTTTTTCACGTTCAGATTCAGAACATGCGGGTTATTTTCTAATTCTCCCTACGGTTACCCTTACCAGTAGGAACAGAGCGCCACTGCCGCTTACTCCGTTTCGGTTGTGTCGGCCGAGTAGCTTTATGTCGAACCGCTTTTCGTTATTTTTACGCTCAGGAGGTGCGGCAAAAAGAAAAACAAAAAGTAAAATAGCGTATTCGTAAAGCTAGCCGGCTTTCATGCTATTGCTTGGGCGCGAAACCTACACACGAATAATATATGTAGTTGCTTGAGTGCAGATCTTCGTTTGTAAAGTCAATGTGAAAATTATGAGGTCGCGGCGGCGCAAGGCCGGCCTCGCTTCGGTTCCGAAGCCACGTGTCTCTCCACCTGGTCGCCGAAGTTTCTACCACGCGGTCGCGGTTCACTATGTGTCGTTGGCCGTTGGCTTTTTCGTGTCGTGTGTGACCGGTGTCTTGGTCGTTCCCTCCAAGGAAGACAATGCTGGTGTGAACCAAATCGCGACACCGGTGGTCATTCCGAGCGTCGCGACGCCAGCGGAAGTGGCGAGCGAGGATGTTGAGGGTGGGAAAAAGAAGGGACCCGGCGACAGTGCGGTTGGCGAAGACCGAAGCGTCAGAGGTGTTGAAGGTGCACCAGAGGCACCACCTGCTGATGTAACCACGCCAACAACCGCCGCGAGTACGCGCAGCGGTGGGGTGGAACAAATTGACCGCCTGGGTGAGGCCACATCCGCAGATGCAAGGAACAAGGAGGCGCTCGGATCCACTTCTTCAACGCGAGCAGGTGGTGGTCCGCTGCAGCAAATTTCCGGGAGCGGAACAGCCGGGGGTGCTTCGTACAGCACTGGAGCGTCGCACGGGCAGAACGTGAACAGCAACAAACCCCGGCCAGCCATCGCAGAGTTCAAGTCAACGCTGCCGCTGCCGCCGCACATCGCCTTCAAGTATCCGCCGCGGATCGAGGACGTGTTGGATGAAGAGGTGAATTCCTTTGCCGGAGCCGCGTCCAAATTTCAGGACGGGGACATTTTGAGCAGCGCAGCCCCCGGTGCTGCTTCCTCGGCGGGCAGCGCGCCCGGCGGGGCCTTGTCCGGTGCCAGGTCGTTGCAGAATGCGTACCCGACCGCCCAGGAGTTGGCCGACATCCAGAATCCCCACCTCTTTCGCGACGCGACAGGCTCGGCTTCCTCCCCGGGCGGAAGCGGTGCGGCTCGTACGGAAACCGTGCTGTCCACCCCCGTGCAGCCCGCCAAGCTCGGGCCGGCAACGGAGCGCAGAATTTTGGAGCAAGCGATCGCGCGGAACGGGGTGCTCTTTGAGCCGCGGGACCAGGTGGCGCCGAAGGTGCCGCAGAGCGCGGTGTTCGAGCGGAGCCTCGTGAAGATCCCGGACCAAATCGGCAGCGCGCGGGCCGGTGCGGCCGCACTGGGCTCGCCCGCGGAGGTGGCCGGAAATTTCGCGCGCGAGTGGGCGCAGAAGGCCGACCTGCAGGATTTACCGACGCTGTCCATCGCGCCCGCGGACCAGTATCCGCTCCTGGACGCGGCGGACCCGCAACTGGCCGCGGCGAAAGCCGCCCAGGACGAGCGGGTGTGGGGCGAGCAGGCAGACCGGAGTGCCGACGCTACGGGCGAAGACCTGCAGGACGACAGCACCACACCGGGCGAGGAGGGCAGCACGACCACATCCGCGGCAACAGGCGGTCCGCCCACCGGACCCGGCGCCGCTGTGCCGTCCGCCACGGTGTGGGATACGCAGAAGTTGGGAAAGTGGGTGGACAACTTTGCGGAGCGGGCGGTGGCGCTGACCACGAAGGCCATCACGCCGAAAATAACGCAGAACGTAGAGCAGGTCGTACGGGCCGAGCTGGTATGAAAGCGAAAATTGCGTGGTGCTCTTTTGCTTGCAAGTACTGAGTATTGATACATAGCTGAGATAACTGTCACCTGAGTAAAAATTTCGCAACAAAATATGCTGCGAATTTGCTCCGCGAATGTGCTGGTCCATCCAGCATCAGCATTTCATCCCGGAACAAGCGCAATATCAATGTGCACGGGCGAGATGAAATAAAGTAGAAAGTTAGTACCTACGACCGCGTGCCGCCTCGGCATAGCTTCCCATCCATGCGCAAGAAAAGATGCATGTTGCCGCCGCCGAGGACGCACGATCTCCAATTTTTAGCTCTCATAGCTGGCGAAGGCGTTTCCGCCGCCCGCCGTAGCACCGGTTCCCACGCCGGGCAGTGGCCAGGGTTCCTCGTCCGGCTCCTTTGGGTCTAGCGGTAGCGCGGCAGCCAATGCCAACATGTCCGTGGCTAGTGCGTTTTCTGGCTCCGGAAGCCGCGGGACCGGGTCGTACCCCGTAATATCGGGTAGCAGCACCGGAAGGCTTCCGATCAAAGAGGAGGGCACTGAAATTCAGCCGAGCACCCCAGCGGTTCCGGGAAGCAAAGGTAGTGTCGTCATTAACGACGCCCCGACGGTTGTGGTGCAACGGGTTGTGCAGTCGACGCCCCCGGAAAACAAAATCGACATATTGGCGTACAAAGACCTCTATCCGGTGGGTAGCAAGTAGGGAAAATGTATGCTACCAAGAATGCCTGGGCATCAGTTGTTGCGCCACGACTACTTTTTCTTTTCCAGTAGACCGGAAGGATTGCTTTCTGTGAAAGTTAGACTATAGTTGTGACAGATTTGTTTCTCGTTTCGAGGTCAGAAGTTCTGTTTTCAGCCAACAAGCACACTAAGATCGAGAAGAAAAACAATGGCAGTGGCTGGTTTCACTCGGACTTTTTGTTCCCTCGGAGCAACCGTGTTCCGTCAGTGTTGGGAATATGATGTGGATCGAAGCGCAGCTCGCAAGAAGAAACGCTCTCTTTATCTGGACTGCTTGTGAGTGCTTACTCTCTTGCTTCGATTTGCAGTGCACGAGGCAATGGCGTATTGTTGTTACAAAGTACGGTATCGTAGAAAGTGACAGCAAACAGTAGGTCGATACAGCGAGCGCTATGTCGCTACACAGGCTAGTCCTTCTGTTCGACACTCTGAATTCTGGTATACAACTTTATGTGATTTGCAAATATTTTGAATTACGTTGACTATTGTCCTTGTCCTTTCCTGCATTACTTTCGATGGTCGTGGTATAGCGCTCTTCATGTAGTTAAGTCCGTGGAGGCACAAATGCGTATGCAGCAGCATTAGGACGAGGAAGTGTGCTCTCTACACCGGTAACAGGAAGGATAATTTCCATGATGATGATGTCCTATTAAGACGGACTAGAACCAGTACAAAAACGCGCAAGTAGATCTCTGTAACGACGTGGCGTGCGCCGGACCAATTCCTGATGGCATCAGCAGGGAAGGCGGGTTCGGCAGCCCGCGACAAAGAGATTCGGGAGGTCTTCGATATCACGGAAAGGCTAGCATACCATCTATCATCCTGATGTAGTATGCGAAAATAAACAGCACGGCAAATAAGCACTCTTCTGATCATGCGCACGCCCGTAGCGCGCCGCTGCGGGAATGCAGCACAAGAAAGTTCTTTTGCAATACTGTGAATCTTTTCATGATTCCGAAATATGGTATGCTAGGACTTTTCTCCAGGATGTGCGACCTGTTTGACAAGGATAAGAAAAATGTGGTGAAAATAGAAGAGCTATCGGATTGATGCGAAGGTTTTGCTGTCCCGGAAGAGATGAATTCGTGCTAGGCCAAGTCTCGCTTCCGAAGCATGCATCGTGTTGTTTGTTTCAGAAGTACAACGCTGCAACTCCAAAAAACTGTATTTCCGATTTCGTAGCACTTTTTTTCACGCAACGTTGGCCACTTAAGAACGGCGCACTTTGACAAACCGGACCAAGTGACGAGCGCATTCTTTTCAATTTCATGCAAGACGAGTACAGCAATAAGCAAATGTTAAAAAATGTAGTCTGTCAATTTGTTGAATTCGTATTTGAATTTGGGAAGTAAAAGTATCGTTTGCAAGTTGCGCACGTTTCTCAGCTCTCCGCCCGGGGCAGTTTTTACCTGAAGAAAAACTCGGACTCATCTTGCGGTTATCCGCTACAAATGCAGTGTCTGGGTCTGCGGGAGAGTTGTGATGCTATTTTGAGGAGCAATGGTAAAAAGCAGAGGTCATGGTCACTGCACAACAGAAGAGCCTGACAAACTTTCTCACAGCTGCGGAGTTGTGTTGCCTAGTCTAGTGCGAACGGAAAATCGCATTTCTGTAAACTAGAAGGAGCAAGTACAAGCCGCATCCGCGATAATATTCCGTTGCAACGGACCTGCATGGCTACGGAGTCTGCTGTCCTCGTTTTAGCCGCGCATAAAAACCAGTTCTGCAATCAGCCAGACGCAGACATAATATTTCCATGGTATAGCGGTCATTGGGGTATCAACTTTCGGACGCCGAGATCGGGCAGCTCGAAGGCCAATTCTTCGAACCGAAAGCACCCCCGGGGTCGGCACGCACCTTTGACTTCGTAAAGTTGCTCGAGATCTTGAACAGCAGCGAGACCACCATCCTGCGCAATGCCACGATGCAGAAGCGGTCGGATGCGATTTACGAGGCCTTTCGGGTGTATGGGGGTGTCAGGTGCTGGGAGCGCGACAGAATGGAAACTGAAACAGCTTGTCTTGCAGAAAACCGATTATACCAGTCGGATCTTCAGGCCCGCAGCGGTGCATGATGTCAAAGTTTGCCTACGCGTTGAGTTAGCGGGTCGCGCCAGTTGCAGTGACCAAGATAGGCACTTGTTCTGTTCTGCTCTTCAAGAAACTTTTCAGCACGTGTAGGAGCCTTAGTAGCCTTACAGTCGGGGCCGCTTACCTGCTCTGCTGCGAAACAGGCACTCTCTGCATGGCACTTCATTTATCAGAAAATTATATATGTTTTGCCTATCTCCCACCTGGCACTCTCACAGAGGCTTCGACGTCCGAGACACCGGCGAAGTGGATACGAAAACAGGCGACTCCCCTGCCCCCTCTTTTGCATTAAACTGTTTACACGACTCGAAACATCAACGGCAAAAAAACATCTTCTGGATGCTAAGTAGAATCCCGGCCTGAAGGACCGTCTCAGCCGTCGGAGCTTGTGGTGCAAGCACTGGTAGTACGAGGCAAGAAATTTGTAGCGAGTACTTGGCATAATTTCGCATGAGAAATGAGAGGAAGGGGCAGTTGGCTATGACCATACAGGACCTCGCGGAGTTGAAACACGTGCTGAGTACCATAGGAGAAAAGATGACTGAGGAGGAGCTGGAGGAAGTGTTTCAGAACTACAGCGCGTCCGTATCCTCGTGAGAAAAAATTATCCCCCATCGTCCCAACAGAAACTCGTTTCTTGTTCATTTGATGCGGCCTGTGGGCCGCATCTAATCTCCTAGGAGTGATTGCAGGCAAAGCGAGACAAATAAAAATTCTCTGCATTTGCAATCCGGTATGACTATGCAACAGGACCTGCATGCTCGAGAGCTTTTTTGGCGCTGCTCTAAGTACTCGGGACTTAGACAAAGATGACTTATTTCTGCGGGAGGGGAGATTTTTCTGCGTGATATTCGGAGCAGTTGAATTTTTCCGAATTTTTGAGGACTTCACTCCAGAACTGACGGCCGGCTCGCTTGGAGGATATCGTTCGCATTACTGCAGGTGCCAGCACGGCAGACAATAGGCTTGAATACCACGCAGCTCTTTATTTAGGAGCCCACCTGCAACATCAATACCTGAGACCGCACGAACTGACTTTAGGTGTTGGCTCGTGATGTCCCTCAAGCTCGCTCAAACCCAGCGACAGATGTTTTACCAGAGCAGCCTGATGTTCTCGTTTCTTCGTAGAGGAACTGAGCAGTTTACATCAGTAAAAAAAGTTGACGATCGTAGCGCACCTTTCTTTGTGGTACGAACATAAGAGGAATATACTGAACGCGTTCCCGCCCCGTTCGAAAGTCGTCTTCGGAAGGTTTACTGTGTCGTGCCTGTGTAGTTGATAGAATGGCGAGAGGACTGCTCGAAGTCGTGACAGTCATCGTTCGAGTTGAGTTTATCGTCCTGCTCCTCGGAATCGCTGAGAAGCAGAAGAGTGTGTTTTCGGAACATCGCGCTGCGTCAATCGGATTGAGTATGTAGGTATTTGGAAGCAATGTCTGTCTTGTTTCCATAGCGCGTCATGATATATCTTCGTCATCCTCGTGGCGTGCGAAGCCTTAACTTCAATCCACCATTGAACTGCAGCAGAAAAGGAAAAAATTTAGTAAAACGCGGCCGCCGTCGGCTTTTATTGTGGTGGTCGGTCGTAGGACTTCCAGTGTTTTTCTTATACTTATTTATCACTTTCTGTCACTTTTTTGAAGGCCTCTCAGTAGACTTCAGCTGGAAGAACAACAAGGTCCATGTCGATAAGTAGTAGTGCCAGGTAGCCGAACTCGCCGACCCTCGCAGTTGAATCGCGACACGTCTCGGTGCACGATGCCGGCCATATCGTGCTGAAAAGACCCTCCGACATAGGAACTTCGACCTGTTTGTGAAATGAATTTATGAAAACTGTGTCAGTACGTACGTCGTTCATTAATGTTGTGTATCGAAGGGATTGTGATATCCTCGATTCTATGAGCTTTCTTCCGTGCGTTCATGTGTCGGGAAGTGGTGGTCTTTTCGCTCTGATACAGTGGATACTTCGCAGGGATGCTAACGGACCTCCTGGACTTTCCCGTGTTTTATCAGATTCAACTGCGCCTTCGTATTGTCTTGTACGTGCAACTACATGAAGCCTAGCGCTTCTGGTTGGCCCCCAGTATTTTTTTGCAGGAAAGAATAGGAGAAAGGGTGGCTAGCTGTCGCACTGGACATGATTGGTAATTAGTGCTCGTCAGTAGCAGGAGCACCATCAATTTCATTGTGTGCAGAAAGCCAGAAATTCTTGCTTTGTTTCCAGCAGATAGAGGCTGCACGAACTCAAACTGTGTGGTCCTTCGTGCCACGGTGGTCCATTTCAGGGTGTTTTTGTTTTAGGTTCGCAGCGGGCGCATGTGTGTCTGTGGGAACGAGGAGGGCGACGATTTGTTGCCGACCCCAGCAAATCAATGAAGCAGGGTATTTTTACAGTCGAGACTCCGACTGAGGATGGCTCGGCTTCAATTTTCAATTTGTACTACAACTCCTATGCCGTGTTGCAAGAATCGTTAAAGTCATGTGTCACTTTCTTGTTACAACGGGCAAAAACGTGATATTCCTACATTGTCATTGTATTGCAAGACAAGGCTGTATGAAGGTGTGTTTGCACTTGATACGGGGCAATCAACCTCCCGGAGCACAGGGCCAGCTCGAGGTATCGCATTGGAAAAAGAATCCTCCTGGATTAAGTCGCGCTGTTGTGCGTGGTCCTACCGTGCAATCGCGCGAGATAAAGAGAGGCTGGCATTTTATTACTTACACAACAATATTTATGAGATACAAAAGGTCTGCGAACAAGGATCTGTTTGGTGCAAGACGTATTCCCAGGCACGCATTCTCTTCGTCCGCATCTTTAGATATAGTGAACTAGGTTCGCTTCAAAAGCGCACGACAGCAGGGTGGCAGTGATTCAGTCTAGATGTTTTTTCCATCCACACCGTGATTTTCCGCCATACAAGAGACGAGCGAAACAGCATGTGGTTACGCCGGAATTCGAAGGACGCAGCAGCGCGGCAGTTTTCTCGCAACGAGCGCAACGGGCGGCGACGTTTCGGTAGCAATGACCGGTAGTGCACGCGCGGGCGGAGCGCAGAGGAAAAGGAGGGCCGGAGGGTCGACGACCTCTTTCGCGGCGTACAATGCGGACAAGTTTATTCCGCTGACACGCTTTCGTCAACAGCACCGGCGGACGGAATACGGCAGGGGCAAAAAACTCTCTCACACTGTGTCTGCATGTTGGGAACGAAAAATAAAGGTGTGGTAGGAATTTGTATTTTTTAGCATGCCATATGATGATGATGGTTTTCGCCAGAGGAACGAAAATTCCCCGTCCGGCTCAATGAATATGTCACTGCAATGAATTCTTGGCACCTTCACTACCGTGGTGTAGCCATAAGTACTTCTGCGCCTTTTCTCAATGGGTGGAAAGAACGTCTCCAAGTACTGAAACTCAGAACGAGACTGGGAAAGCGTTTTTTCCTTTCGATACAGAAGACGGGCGGCTGTGTGCGGCTGCTTTCATCCAAGACCAGCAACCCTTCACGAACTGCACCGACATTGCCGCCCCCACGCCTTTAGGCCCGGAAAAAAGGTCACGCGGTCGTGCACAATAGTTGAAGAGTAAGCTTGCATGTTGCACACAACCTTGAAGATGCTGCCAGCATATTTTGGTTATGCAAAAACGTACTTAAATTAACACAGCACAAGAACAGTTCATGTGGCATGAGTACACATTTCCACCCTTGGTTTCCTCTCGGTGAGAAGAGAACTTTGGTGCACCTGTCATGTTTGTTGGTCGCAATCGTGCTGCTAGGAATTCAATTGATTCGAATTCTCACGACTGCGTGGCTTTGGCAAGTCATAATCCTCCGCCGAAAACGTCGTGGGTCGCGAATGGTGCTACGTCGAGGCTTATCCAAGTGTAAAGTGTCCCCTTCAGTTTGGAACAAAAAAGAAGACTTCTTTTTCTTTTCATGCAAAGTTGGATCGGGTTGAATACAGGAAAGCAGATATTAGAGCTTTCTTCGGGCACTAGAGATGCATCACAACTAGAGGCAATGTCGCGCAGACGCAGCCAACGCAGAAGTCTGAATTCCTCTGAGCGGGGCTCTTTCCATGATGATGTCGCTCAGCTACTCAACAAGCCAGTGAACGGTAAGTACATGAATAATGGACTTGATATTATTTGAAGATGAAGAAAGTACATACAAAAAGCTAGAGCTGCGTCACCAAAACGGTAATTGCGGTAGCTTACATGAATTGAAAATTCAACGTAAATTTAAGTTTTCTTTAGGAGAATTTAGATTATCATCCCATGCAAGAACAGGTGAACCGGCACCAAATTGGGGCTATTGCCAACCTGTTCCGGATTACGACGAGCTCCGGCACGACCTGGACAATGATAATCTGTCCGGTGTGGACCTTCCGGAAGGCGTGGAGCTTTCGGACGCCGAAATTGACAAAGCCGCGGAGATATGAACTGTGACTGCGCCTGGGTCGGGAAAAGTGCGCGATCTTGGCGTTGCTGCTTTTTGCATGGACAGGAATCACCTTAGATCACTTGTTCCCGCGAGCATGTACGCTTAACTTTGTCATAAAGAAAGTAGCTAACGATGGCTACATCTACAACGAGCCACGTTTTTGCAGGACAAGATCTGCGGAACTCGTCCTCCGTTCCATGCATAGCAGAGTTCATCTGCGTCTTTCTCTTGTTCCGAATCAAGCATCACAAAATTGCATCGTTCCGAACCCAGGAATGTATTTGCGTTGCATACGAGAAAGCGGCCGAAGCTGCTGCGATGTAAGCAAGGCGTATTTCAAGAAAACACGAAAGTGTAATTTTAGGATTTCTTTCATCGTTCTTCGGTTCCGTACTGCTCTGGTGTATACAACAAGAAAGGCTGTCAGTGTGAACTACTCTCTTTATTGTGAGATGAGTCACGATAACGAACCTATAACTAAATCGACGAGGAAACAGAATGGCACAACTTTATAGCCCGAAAACGCGTGTTGTTTCTGTAGAATGGATTTTTGAAAAAACCTATGTAATATGCGAGCCTGGAGCCGGAAGGACAAGAGAACGGAGAAAAAAAGACACACCAACCCTCGCTACTTAAACGTGAGCTGGTGTCTTGAAACACTACTCCATTGACGTGTACTTAGCTTCTGAATGAAGCTCTAATTATTATTATGCTTTTTGGCACTGAAACTGTAGTAGCTAGTAGATATCGCTGCCATAGAGCGTCTTTCACAACGGAGCTCATGCAGTAAGTTTTCGGTTTCTATTGATTCTATGTGGTACAACTGCTACTGGTACCCCATAATCGGATAATGTTCGGTTCTATTTCTGCTCCAAAATCTCGTATTGTCGGTTGACGTGCCAACATGAACTTCGTGCGAGAACAAATATGAAGTGCAAGCCGTAAACTAAGAATTATCGTCACCGTCAAGAAACACGAACACTACGTGCCCTCGGTCTACTGGTCGTCCAAAAGAAAGGCTTAGAGGTCAACATCGGTGGAAACAAAATCTCTACGTATTCATTTCGTACAGTCCTTAGAAATCACCGCTACGCTGGATAATCGCTGCGTTCCTACGGTGAGAAATTATTTCGTTGCGTAGCACGTACGAGCAATGTGAGTCATGCTATTTTTGCGTATTTCTATTTTGTGTCCAATGAATATGGACACCAGCAAGGTGAAGAAGATGAAGGTGGTTGAAGGGGCAAAGAAAGGTAGGAGCAAGAGCCCTGCCTTGAAAGAGAGGGTTTCTGCGTTTCCGACATGTCTGCTGCACATGCACGGTCTCTGCGAACCCGGCCGTCGCAGCAATGAATTTTGATTTCGCTCCGCGCCTGCTCCGCTTTTTTTTTTGTAGTTAGGGATGCCACTGAAAATAGAAGCGCTGCACAACTTTCGCTGATTTCGCATCTGCACCAAAGCAACTACTTCTGCCCAAGTCGTATTCGTATTCTGGGCACTCGTGCACGTACACGTAGCGCTCGCGCGCGGCGTGAAGCGGTAGTAGAGAGCAGATTCAACAACTTCGTGCAAACTCTGGTGCAGTCGTAGACCGCAAAGGCATAAGATACATCGTGCAAATTAGTGGAACCCCGTGCAGACCGGCGCGACTCGTTCTCGTACAACCCGCAAATTTCTCGTCGTGCAACTGAGAAGTAGACTAAGCACAGCCTGCTTTTCTGGCGTTGTAGGAAGCGATAAGAACGACCTGAATGTGTACACATCAAGCATATGGTACATGATCCGTAATATCACTCACCTCGACATTGGAATCGCAACATAATGTCACTCACCTTGACAGGAGTTTGTTTTCGTAGAATAACCTCGCCCCGTAGGTTTTCTTTGCGTCCGCAAACTTTTCCACGCTACTAGTTTTCCTCAAAAGACGAGAACTAAGCCAACTACTTTCCCTCTTGTAAACAAAAAAGTTTTACGAAATAATTAAAACAACGTTTTACAACGAAACGCAGACTTTGCAACGAACCAACCGAACAACCGCTGGTGACACCTCTCGCTATCAACTTCACCTCGAGCTGACGACGTCCAAGCGAAAGAAGAACGTCGGCGCCCTGTTGTATATCAAGTTGAAAACACCAGGGCCTCTCCTACAAAAACTGTCTTTAGGAGTAGCTGTGCGCTCCATGCGAAAATTCTGCGTACGAGGCTGCAGCCTCGGCCTTTTGAGAGTATGATCGTTTTTGTATCGGCTCATTCGTGAAAATATATAACGACGCCCATGCCCTTGCCGGACTTTGCAGCCGCACGAGCGGAAATCTGCAATAGCAGCAGATGCAGCGAAATGGCGTGCGAAGTACGCAGTCTCAGCAGAAATCATATTCATATTATAAGTAGGACTTGCACACACACACCCACGTGAATGTATGTTGTGTGTGTCTGTGTCTTAGTGGGGAAGGGCCCTGGTGGTTTTCCATCTGATGCTTATCCACAAAAAACAAGTACACGGTTGCAAGTTTGGAAACCTTCGTTCTTTCGGGAGAAAAAATATCCATGAAAAGAAGTTTTTCAAGTTTCGTACAATTTTGCCAGGTCGTCGAACTACGTAAGTGTTTTTCACGACGCACCAAAGGCGGACATGCATTTCCAATAGTTATGCAGCTACCTCCACATCTCTATTTGTAGCGGGTGATGATCTAGTGAGCAGCAAGAGCCTCGATCGAATGTATGAGAGAGAAGGTAACGTTGTTGTGCTCATCTCTTTGTAACAACGGAACGGCATCAGCTGCTCTCTAGTAGGGACCAGCGGGATGGAATTTTAGATGTGAGCAAAAAGGGCATGCTAGACTGAAAAACTTATTTCCATGATAGAGGACTAACTGAGATTTTTACCAGCGTGATTTTTATCATTTGTCGAAACAATTCCCTTTCCCCGTGCCATCTTTTATCTCACTTTGCGGATTGTCTTTTTTCACCGTTGCATTTGTCATGAGCAGGAATAAAGAAGTAGGAGCCAAAGTATCGCTGTCATGGTCGCATCCGACTACCAATAGTGGGACCTTGTTTTCATGTGAGTTCACATGAGGAGCAACGCGCAACTGCAGCATGGTGCTCTTTTGCATCACAATAGCAAAGCGATACGAACGGGCAAGCGGTAGATTTGTGATGACAGATCATGTAGTTTTGTGCTAAGGGAGGGTGGAATTTCTTTTGACAGTGATCCGTACCGGAGCGACGGGGAAATCATGCTGCGACGCGCGGCGCTCTATGCACGGTAAGGACTGGGTCAGGGTCAAGGATGAAAGCGCGCTATTTTTTATCAAGCTCAGCGCGTTTTAAGATTTGCGAGTCATTGCCGCTGCGAAGAAGATTGTGATGCAAGGTCGCAAATACAAGCAGCGCGGGGAGATATGAACGCCTTTTGATGTGTTCTTCCAGCTACTTATGCATGTCGAATTTTATTCAGTATCTGTGGAACCGTGCGCGTGCCTTGCACAAATTAGGAATACAGGTGTAGCACGATAAGGCGCAACCGACAGTGCTGTGGGATAATATGTTGCATGTGGGAAGAGCACGGCGAAGATTGAAGTTTTTCCTGTTGACCCTGACATGTTTTTTCTATTGGATACGCTCTTTGAGGGCCTGCGGCAGCTTACCAAAATGAAAATTGTCCCCAGCTTAGTGATGCGTTTGAAAAACCCAACCAGACGGATACTTGGTTCGAACTCCAGAAGAAGTTTCGGTCAAAATATCACGTACGTAGGCAGGCTTCATGTTTTGTGGTGAGTGTGCCTCCTGCACCTGCACCTACAAGCACAAGTTTCTGGGGAGGACCACGTGCGCGCATTTTTTGCGCTGGTTTGTTCGTACTTTTAGCACAGAAGCAGGCTATTCATCTGGTAAGCCTGGTGCTTTGTGTCATAGGTCGGGGGACAATTTTTAGGGCGATACGATTGGGAGAAGCCCAGCTGTCTAAAATTCAGCCGATCAGTACAACGGTGAACCCGCTGCAACAGGACACGGATGAGGATTGCTTGCACACGTTTAAGATTTTGGCGCAGACTACTACGAAGTGCATGCATCCTATTCATGACGCTGAAACCTGTGAGTACGCGGCCAAGGTCTGCAATCAGGCTCCGCTGGGGGTTTCAGGCACTCCTGCGGGTCCGCTTACATTCCATTCGACGACACCTGTGAGCGTGACCGCTTACCAGGGGTGCACGGTGACGCGCAACGCTTTGGTTCCTGCGGACGATCGAATTGTCCGTTTCGGCGGCGCGCCGGGCACGAGCGCTTCGCAACAAACCTCCTTTGGTGCTGCAGCCGATCCAAGCGTAAAGCACATTTGCTTCAAAAGCGATCACATCGGACAAGGCAAGTTTACCCTCCTTGGTCGGTCATCGGCCGCAGTAGGGACCAAGGGGTTCTACCCTGCTGACTCGACAGCCATTCCGCAATGTCAAATCGGTTTTGACGCACCCGCGCGCTACTGCAATCCGGGGAACATGACACAAATGCCTCCGATTGGGCTCGTCAGCAGCCTCAGTTCCGTGACTCCCCAACTTCCTCCAGCCACTGCGCCCGCCTCCTATCTGTATCGCAGTTGCCTTGTGGAGGGCCTGGCGAACTCTCAGGCGAAACAGCTGAACATCCTCTCTGAGTTCAGTACCACCGCCACGGCTACCAAAGAACAATTCAAGTACGGGTATTTGGGGAACAATGCTGCGTTACACCACAACCTTGGTGCCCCTGCCACTGAGAACCTGGGTCCGGAGACGAATCTGGTCCGGAGCATTTGCATGGCCCGAGTGCCACGGGGCGCTTTTGAAGTGATGGGCACGACGAGCGAGCAGTGTCATCCCGCCTTTGACGTGAATTCGACGGATTGCAACTCTTGGAACGCCGCAAAAGTTTTTGGCACCGGACTCGCTGACGTTGTTACCACCGCTGCGAATCAACCGTCACGTTTGAACTGGGAAGTGGTATCGGACGCCGGTTCCACCAAAGTGCCGGCGACCACTCGCGGCTTCAGTGTGAGCCCGGTCGGTTTGAATCCTTCCCTGGGTGGCGGGAAGGTTGGCTGTTACGTCAACGTCAAAAATGACGCCGTGTCCGGCGAGGTTTTGAGCGCTGTCGCCACGCGCACCGCTTCCTACGCGAAGAACATGGACGCGAAAGCCCGGTCCGTCTGTCTGCGGAGCCAGGTCTGCAGTTCCGGGACGTACGAAGTCTTACCGCCGGGACGCCAGTGCGCGTACGGGTTTGCAGCGAAGGTTTCGACAACAGGAGCGAATACGTTCGCGCACGTGGAAGCCGAGATCTATTCGGACTGCTTAGTGTCGTTGGGGCCTATCGGCAGCGGGATGGATCTGCAGCGGCATGTGGACCCGTTGTCGACTGCGGGTGATGTGGTGATTGACGCGCGAACCATGCAGGTGGCCGTGATCGCGACAGACGGGATACCCGGTTTGTACCAACACGCCGTGTGCCACCGCGTTCTGCCATGTGGCGACAAAAACGTGGAAGTGCTTCCCTACGGCTCACAGTGCGCGGTGGATTTCCTTACCAGCGCCGTCGCTTTGACCACGACCACGCTCACTGCCCTGGAAAGCGATATCAAAGGCTCCTGTTTCAAGCAGAGTAACTTTGTTAATTTTAATACGACATTTGATGCAAACTTGTTGGACACCGCCACTGGGACCGCCTTCTGGGCAGCTCAGGCAGCCGGCCGACCTGGTCACGTGGCACTCCGACAGCAGGCAGCGGGTTCCATCGACACTATGACCCTGGACCAGCGCGTAGAGGATTATCCGATTTGTCTCACCTCGCGGCAGTGTACGGATGCCACGGTCGCCGGTGCCACAGTGCCGGCGGAGATTCTTTCCCCGGGGCAGACGTCGTGCAAGTCCGGCGCCCAAGGCGGGTTCGAGTTGAATGCAGTAGAGTGTGCCGGTGTGCGTACGGCTTGCGGTGTGCTGGGCTCTGAGATGGAGGTGTTCCATCGGGATGACATGCCGCTCGGGTGCAGCGTGCTGGGGAATTTTGCCGCAGTGCAAACTGGCGACGAGGAAAGCACGGTGTTGGTTTACAATTATGGCGGTGCACTTTACAAGTCCAAGAAAATTTTGCCGCGTTTGATGGAAAACAAGCTGAAAACCCGCCGAGTGTGCCGCCGCGATTCGACGCCAGGGGCGACTTCCGCGCATACCTGTGCGCACGACCTTGCCCGGCTCCTGCAGTACGCCCCGCAACCGGGAATGTCGGACCGCGCGAGCATGGTCGTGTCGAAGACAGTATTCCGTGTGAGAACGTTCGCCTCCCACATTCATATTTTCATATTTTCTCTTCACCAGTCCCAGTCGCTCGCTCGGAGTAAGAAAAAGAATAAAGTAGGGAGTACCTCCTGAGTGATATTTTCATTTTCCATGTAGGTCCGTCTCGGTAGCAGGAGCAGGAGCATGAAGGTGTGCGATGCGCGCACCCGAGAGAGGTACCTACTGTGTCGCACAGTGGCCTTGGAGTGCTCTTGCATTCAGCTTTTGTGTTTATTCATGCTCTAATCCTCGCAATCGTTCGGGATCAGAAAGTAGCTCTGAGATGCTGGCAAACTACTCGCTAATCGAGACGACTGCGCCTCTGCAGGCCGAAACTTGTCATTTAGAGCCTGCAGAGTTTGCTTGGGATGGGTTTTCGGTTTTTATTCCTTACATCCAAACTTAGACTTAGATCTTGATCGTGTCTATGTTAAGGGGGGACGTTTTCGCATAGGATAAGTTGCGGGCTCGCCCGCCGCCGAAGTGGGTGTTGCAAGTCAGTACTATAAGACCGGCGGGACCAACACGCTCGTTCATTTCGTTCTTCTGGATCGCAACCCTCTTCCGGCGTACGAGGGGTGCATGGATGTCGTGAGCTTCGCCGTTGGAACAGCATCTTTGACAGATGTCGCCTTCACGGGTACGGCGACACCTCGCTCAGCATCTTACGTAGCCTCAGAAAAAGGCGTCTCTTCGATGTGTGGCAAGACTGAGCTTGTTCAACGTGTTGCATGTGACGTTCCGCACTCTTTTTTTCGATCTCTGAAGATGAAAAGTGCAAAGTTTCGTCGCAGTCGTGATTGTATGTGGCACGAGGAGAGTGATCCTAACCCACTTCGTGATATGGAAATGTGAGTGCCTGCGACGCAATAAAGAACTAGCGCCCATTAATATTTTGCCAAACGAAAAGCAAATCAAAAGCAGCGCACGTCGTACAAAGCTCTGTCTTTGTCCCTAGACATTTTTTTTTCGTTTGATAATTAGTAAACACGCAAGCGAAAACCTCTAACAACGGGTTCGCAGTTTACCGGCCCAACCTCGCTTATGACGCCACCGCGATGACTGGGACCGTCACCGCATCCCCTGTCGTTTTGTACTACAAGTTCGATGTAGCTACGAATGCATTGAAGACCGAACTTGCCGTCTTCACAAACAAGTGCGTGTCCATGGCGCATGTCACACTTGGGTTCAAATTTTTGAACGCTGCCAGTGGAACTGTTGTTGCTTACACCGTTTTGGATGACAAGTTCTACACTGTGCAGGCCCTGACAGGTTCGCAAGACACCCTGGTGATGACGTTCTACACGGATAACCTGTGCGAGGTGCCATTCAGCGCGGCAGGGGCTCTTACGGGTGGCGTACGTCAATGACGATTGAAGCATCCAATTCAAAAGTGGCTTTCTGCATGTCGATGCTTTTTCTGCTGCAATTAATCGATAGATAAGGAAGTAGAAGGTGAGGGTCGTCTGTTGGTGCATAGCAAAATCCTTGTAGTGTTTGCCCTTGCGAAGTGATCATCAAGAGCTTTAGTGTAGTGGAATGTTGACGAGAGGGGCGCTCGAATATGCCGAATCAATTCACAAATTAGGAGAGATGCCACTTGCATCCTGAGCTTTTGAAGATAAACACAGACGTGTCTCTTGCTTGCTTCCGGTAGATGGTGGAAGCATCGATGTGTTACATGCAATTATTGCCAGTTTTGGATGGACAAGATTTTTTGTTTGCAGAGATCACGGCTACGGATGTGCCGTCCTTCTCGGAGCAAGTTCCATCACAAGTGTACCGCATTGAAGATCGCCCGTACGCTTGAACTCGAAAGCATTTGCATCGCAAAGCTTCCCAACGTAAACATTCAGTATCTTGTGCATGCTCGCAACACAAAAACAAATCCTCGCCACGAATGGAAGCAAAAACTTGTTGGAAAAAGACTCACCAAGATCGGGACTTGTTACCCAGGGGCAACAAGCTGTTTGCCTCACCTAGAATCTCAAGCCAAAAAGCCCCCCTAGCTGCATTTGTTGCGTCACTTTTTGTCTACCTTCACGCATACCACTACCCCGAGGGGTGATGGATCCCGAAAAAAATGCGAGACAAATGATGTGAGGATAATGGCGAAAAAAACTTCGGATTCGGGGCGCTCGAGGGTGTTGGTGGTGGCTTCGGTCGGCTCGACTGCGCGACCTGGAAGCCTGGCGGAAAGGGTTCCAAAGGGTTGCATTTGTAGTCGCGCTCGGGTCAGCAAGACAAAAGGTTTTCATTTGTGGTTATCTCACAGGTTGCGGTTGTGGTTGTGTGCGAATTAGCAAGACAGGAAGTTATTTCCGCTGGAAGCTTTGCATCAGAAACTTGTCGTAGTTCTGGGTGTCTGGGTGCGCTTTTTCTGTCCGATAAAGTCGAGTTCGCGGTCACTGGCTCGTTGATATCACGTAGAAAGAGCAGTGTCCGGCTCCCGTTGCCTACTTACAGCAATTCACAGGGAACACAGGAGATCCGTTCCATCTCTGTCTTTGAATGTGTATGCATGATGAAGACAACTTCGCGTGTTGCGTAGCGCTTGCGAGAAAGTACATTGCGTCCTTTCGGAACAAATGCATGATTTTGGACGAAAGCGAAGCTCTTCTTCCGCGAAAGGCAGTGCCTCAGGCTGAATCTGGGCGTGGTAATCGGACACTCTCTTTTTTTGGCGATCGCTTGCTGCAAACGCTGGAATCAATTACGTTGACGAAAAATTCCAGACGAGACGTGTGGCCGTTTCGAAAACCAAAAACGTTTTTCAGGTACCGTTTCTCGCCACTCCAGCGGGTGTTACTTAGTGCTTTTGTTCGGATAACTCTGCTGGCTGTAGTGATCCTCTTGTACTATTGTTTGATTCTGCGGTGCCAGCGGAAAAAAAGCGATGCAAGTTGGTCTCTAGCAGCAGGTCTTTATATTGTGTCTATGCGCCGCAGATGCACATGCAATTGCAAAGCGAGCAAAAGCGATGCCTAACGAGCAAAATCCTGAGGGAGAAGGAGTACTTACCAAAAATCATTCGCCCCGACTCTTGATGTGCAAGATGTCCATGACGATGTCTGACAAGTGTATCCCGCCATACTCAAGGGGACCGTGTCGTGTACTCATTACTCTTTCTTATGGAGATTCGCGGCAAAGAAGTTCTTCTATCCGCCCGCTCCTCTTTGAGTTCGTGTGGGCTGCGATCACCATCGGGAGCTCACCAGCATGCGAACCTACTTGAAAACGTCGGGCTTTTGATAGCTCTGCATCACACGACCTATTTATTTTCTTTTTTAACTTATATAGAAATGATTTGCTATTTATCCTCACTCTCTCACTTGAAATACTTATACGATTCACTGCACAATCAGGGAGCCTAGGAGGGCCACTGGAACTTAGTACAAGAAAATAACATCCACAGGTCTTCAAGTACAGTACCAGCACTCCATGTACGACTGCCCTGGTACCATGCCGAAAAATGCGCGTCCGCCACAGTAAGTATCTATTTCTCTGTCATGCGTCTGTATAGAAGAAATTCAGTTCACCTTGTCGTCCCAAAGAAGATGCTGCGGCACAGCATGCGCGCACGACGCAAGCAGCCAAACCTTTGGAGCTTTCAGCTCGATGGGCGCTGGCCAGTCGCAATGATTTTGGCCCAGGTCTGCTTCCATGCCGTCGTTCGGCGGGTCGGGCTAAGGTGGCTTCCAAGGACCTCGCCCGAAGTGCGGCCCCATGGCGTGTTTCGTGTGGCGATTACTTACGTAGTTCGCGGATCTGACTACCCTGCCGAGGCCTCTCGGTGGCTACTTATATATTTCGTAGAAAAATAGATACTGCGGCGGCTGCGCAAGCATTTTGCGGTCTGATACATTGATACGGCGGCGTCTGAAGTTTTTCAAATTGGCGACAAGTTTTCTGTCAAGTTGCCGGCGAGTCCGGTTTCCGCGGAAACTCCGGCGTTGGAGCAGCTGCCGCACTCCTGTTTTTCGCAAAACGTGTGGGACGCGACGAACCAAAGCACCTGCAAGACCAACGCTTGCTACACCGCCGTCGCCAACTACATGACCAGCTGCGGCACAAGCGTGGAAATGCAGGCCCTTGCCGAGAAGAAGGCCACTTGCGTATGAAAATGAAAGGAATTCCTGCTTCCCGACACCCTCCAATGTTAAGCCTTTGTTCCGTGGCATGACACGGCAGCAGGAACGCACCTCAGAGTCACACGCCCTTGCTACTGCCCTGGTACGGCAGGGCGTGACTGACAGATCTTGTTGACAACGGCTCGTTACAGTACTCGAGGAGTTTTCAAAGATGGCCGCTGCATGCGTGAAGGGCTTTGTTGATGTTGCATGAATAACTGTAGCTATAGCTACCTCGCTCGGTTGGAAGACGTTTGCTCCATCGCGGTCGTTTCGAGTGTACATGCATTTTTCGCGTATCTGCATCCGATCCTCTCCGACATGTCCTTACCCCTGAAGAACTATTAATTTATCACGCTTTCTCGGCCACATCTCCCCTGGATGATTGTTCGCACTATTTAGTTGCCTCGTCTGAAGAACAGAACTACCGATGAATGAGAGGGTGAACAATAGGGAAGCAGGGACGTCGACGTTTGTTTCATACTGCGACGCGTCCACGCCGGTTACTACGCCGGCCCCCCAAACTTGTTTCGCCAGCGATGGAAAGCTGCAGGTTTCCGGCACGTGCTACACGTGCCAGACCTCGGCCGGGGGGGCTCTGGTGCCGTGCACCTGTCCGCCGGGTCAGTACCTGGCGCAACCCGCCACGGGCACCGTCGCTTCCTGTGCTCCGATTCCGGCAGGGTATTACCAGCCGTCTGCGGGCATTCACTTTGGCATGGGAACCGCTGCCACCAGTGGGATCCCGTGTGCGAACGGCGAGTACCAGGACATGACCGGCCAGACTTCGTGCAAGAAGTGCCCCGTTTATGCAATGTAAATTTCCTGTACATGTACAGAATGCATGACAGATTTCGCTAACTTGCTGTGTCCAACTTGTCATGCTACACTAGGATTGAAGGCAAGTTTTGTCATGGAGAGACTGCATTTGTACATGTACAGGAAATTTACTGTGGATACCGTTGTCGGATCCACCACCAGCCCCGCGAGTGGCGCCACCGCCGCCACTGCGTGCGTCCCGCCGCCGACGACCGCCGCACCCACGGAAACGACCACCGCTAATCCGGTGTTTTCCGCTGTGGACCACACGCACTCGGTCACCGTGGAGGATTCCGGCGATGAGGAGCTGCGTACCTGGACGATCGTCGGGTTTGTCGTGCTGGGTTTGCTGGTGGTGGCCATGTTCGGGTGCATGCTCTCGCGCGGCCCGGGCGGCGGCGGCAACGCGGCCATGAGCGGGGCGCCCCAGCTGTCCCGTCAGGCGTCCGCGGGCCCCGGGATGCTGAAGGGCTCGATGATGATGAAGGGCAAGTCCTCGATGAAGGGCGCCGGCAAGTCGGGCATGATGTCGAAGGGCTACAAGTCGGGCATGAAGGGCCTCGAGTCCAGCGGCGAGGAGTCCGTGGAAATGGCCAACTGGAAGGGGGGGAAGCGCAGCGGCAGCGGCTCCACGCCCCGTGGCATATCAAATGCAAAAATGTCTGGGTCTGGAAACTTGTGATGCTGTGTGGCGTATCATGAGGAGGCGACAATTGCTGGCTCAGCATGACAAGTTTCTGAGCTCCTAGGTGTTGCCTATTCTGCATGACAAACTACGTTTCTGCATGACAGAATAACCCAACAAGGCAACACTGGAGCTCCACCTTGCTCGAGGGCTTGGATGGTAAATCAGGTCAGCCACATCTAGCGCCCACTGGCCGTACTCATGCGTAAGCAATCGCAAGCGGTTCGGCGGATGCGGTCGGGTGGTACCTGTAGGACGTGGAACGGGTGTCCACCTAGGGGTATTGGCAGAGGCTAAATCTGTTCTAACGCCACGGTATTGGCAGAGGCTAAATCTGTTCTAACGCCACCCTGACAGGAGTCAAATGTCAAAACAACAACAACATGCATGACAGAAAAGTGGGGCTCTTTGGTAATGTGCATGACAGATTTAAGAGTCATACCAGACAAGCATGACAAACTTGCATTCTTCCAGACCCAGACATTTTTACATTTGATACGGCAAGGGCAGCTACAAGAAGGGCGGCTCCAAGAAGAAGGGCGCCAGCATATCCTGACAAAAATGCCCGCCTCGTCCGAATCATTCAAAAGAAGAGTTCATCTAATATATGGATTTGCGCACGTTGTAAATTTGTCTTGCATACAGCGAAAGCTGCAATAAGAAGAGTTAGTACCCCCGGGAGGTGCATGAAGATTCATTCTGTGGGCGGTCTGTGTTCTTGCGTTTGTGCCTACAGCAGCGAGGTCACTAGTCTTGCTCGGCTGCTAGTACACACCTGGTAAAAATGCCTCGTAAGCAACGCGACCATTGTGCTATACAGAACTGCTCTATGACGTACTTAATTTACACAAATGTGCGTCGCAAGTTTCCGACTTTAGTACGTCGGCGAGGGCGGTTTTTTCACTTTGATGCCGCATCTACTCCGAGGACGACGATGATGTGACGGCGTCCGACCGCTCAGAAACCCCGCGTTCGGGATATCAAATTGAAAAGCGCCCCGCCCTCGGAGGTTGCAATAAGTGACTCACCTGTAGTACTTTTTTTTGCATGAGGCTTTATCTGAATGCAAAATGACGCTGTTTCCACCATGCATGAGAGGACCGCCACACTACACAGCCAAGCTTGATGGTTGTCCAGCTTGTGCTAGGTGCGGTAAGCAGGAGCGTCGCTTTCCATGAGAAGCGCAGCTCTTGTCCCGGGCCTTGTTGCGATAGAGCTTTACAGTATCCACTCGCCCTTAAGATTTGTATGTGCTCTTGTTATAGTACATGTGCAAAATGGCTGCAAATGCTTCAGGTTTGCGGTTCAAGATGAAAGACCCCCCATGGTGGGGTCGTGGGACGCTTTTCAATTTGATAGCGGCAGATCGGGCTCCAACTCGAGCCGCAAGGGCAAGAGCGGCAAGAAGGGGAAGGGCAAGTCGGGCAAGAAGCCGTCGGCGGATGCCCGCGCTGGCTCCGGGTCGCGCAGGAAGAAGGCGGGCAGCGGCAGTGGCCGGGACGACTAGATGAAGCTACGGGAGGTCGTCACTAGCCTGAGATTGTCTCGGGCTTTTTTTCTTACCGAAATGTAGTTCATTTAGTATGTTTATGTACACACAATCTGAAGAAGATCACCGCGCATTAACACAAGTGGAAGTTGTTGACAATCAAACCAGATCTTTCTACTAGAGTACAGTAATTACTTATCAAAAATCCATCAATTTGTTTGAAAGAGAGAGCGCCATTCTGTTTGCAGCCTAAGTTAGAAGTGCGCGACTCCTCACAGAACGACACAAACCGCCCCGTCCGCCCCGAAAAAAATGGGCGCACCGAAAGTAAGTATCCGGTTAAATTGCGCAAATGAACAGTACGACTTGCATTGACCACAGCAGAAGTACAATTTTGTAATGGGAGTTTCTATCGTTGTAAATTTTTAAACTCACCTAAGTTCGGCATTTGAATTTCTCGTCCCTCTCGATCATGATTTATCGGCCTTTTTGACCACGTTTAGCATAACATACTTGTATCCATTTCAATTTATTTCTATTATTCCTTTCTTTCCGCGCTCGAAAAGCAAATCAAAATCGTACTACATTTCAAGCACAACCTGCACCGACAAATTTCGACAGGACGGATAAGTAAAAACCTATTATAGCCGTTGCCGCGCACGTTGACCGACGGAACTACTACGTGTATCGCCACCCAACGCATCGCATCTGCTGCAAAGAGGTGCAAATACGTATCCAGAGCGAAAAACCTACCCACGTCCGCTCCGTTATGCTGCATGCAGATTTGCGCTTTTAGCAGGAGCAATTGTATTGGGTTGCGTTATTTTGTATTTGTGGTTGGGATGGGGAACATGCTCCAATTTGTGTCATAAGGAAAGCCCGTGCTTGCTCATCCATGACACTTCTACACTAGTGACTGAGCTTGCTCATCGGCGCGGCTCTCTAGACGAAAACTTGTCATGATGCCCAACTCGCAACAGCTTTATAAAAATATATTGACTGCTCGTCCGGGGTCGTGGGTACGTTTGTCGTCGGGATAAGGAGTAAGTACATCGATAACAGGCGGAAAAACGTGGAGTTTCTTTAAAAGAACATTAACTACTTTTTGCGGCTTTTTGTTTTGACCTCATTCATCTTGCTCGTTATTTCCTTTGTACTTTTATTGTATCGTTATTTTTTCAATCGAAGAATCGCATGTCATTTAGCTCTACACTACGCATTTACGTTCTTGAGGTTTTCCCTATCTATCACCCGTTGACTAGAAGATGACGAACTAGTATCGCTACCGGAGGACCATGTCGTGGCGGGCGCACACTACAATGCTTATGATCTAAGTAGAGCACCACCTGTTGTTGAGATCGTCAACTAACAACTTTCTTCCGCGCCCTCTCGGCCGGAAAAGGACAGGTGGAACAATGCTTATTATCGTAGATGCACCGGCAAATGTACAAAGCAGTACGCTCTTCATGTCACTATCACTCATGCAGTAGAAGAAGACTGTTGCACTTTCACTTACAGTGGGGGAGCAGCTGCTCAGAATAACTACCAACGGTGCCCGCGAGAAGTGATAGCGCTTGAAGTGTACTGTAGCTGTTAAATGAGTAACATGTCGGAAGTATTTTTGTAGTTTTGTGCCTCGTTGCAATTATAACGCCGATGCAGCTATTGTCGCTGCAGTCACAAAATTAGTCACCCAACAGACTATTTCTCCGATGGTAAAGAAGCCTACGCAATCATCTCATGTCGAAAAAGAGTTCTTTTTTCACACAGCACGATGCGCCAGCTCTTTGTCTCACCCCGCGCTTCTAGTACAGCATTGCAGTAAGAATTACATAGATCTCACCTAGCAACTACGAGTACGACCCCGATTTGAAGCAGTACCCCAAGGGTTCCGATCGCAGCAGAACAAATAGAGTTCGTTAAAAGTTGTACATGCTCCTGGAGGTGGCCGCAGATGCACAGGTACTTACTTCGAGTTGTACCTATGTCCTGCTAGTGAAAGACCCACCAAGATAAAAGTATCGAACTGTGGTGCCGTCCTCTACTTTGCGCGAGTTGACTTTCGTCAACCGCCCTGGAGACGAAGGATAAGTCTTGGAACCGTTTTTACACAACTACCATCTCTGGAAGCTTTTTTACTGTTGCGTCGGAGTCCGTGATATTAAGATTGTAAAAAAAGGCGACAGGCAGCATCAGCAACACACAAGGGAACCCCTCGAGGTGGTCCGGCCGATGAGCATTTCTTGAGAACTACAAGCGAAACAGGGCAGCGTCAAGCTGCACTGCCCAAGTCCAGGTCCTTGCGCATCCCGGGGCTGCGTGGTACGCGTCAAGCTTCCTGTTTTTCGAGCCACGCTATCCCGAATGCGGTAGGATCACTCGGACTAGGACGTAGGATTCGCATGAATGCATATTCGCGCACGGAAAACTTCTCCGTCCGTCCCGAAACTCATTTTTTTTTCACCCGTCGACTCCTGCTTACTTTATTTTTTTCAGTCTTTGCGCTGCTTGCAGACCTTCTACTCGCACATTTACAGCGTGTCTTAATTGTTATTTTTAGCTCATTTTAAGAGTCAGTTCTACGTGTACCCACTCAATGAGGCCGAAGGAGTGGCGAAGGCTTCGTCAGGCGTGCTGGACTTCCTCGACTGACGAAACAAACATGAGTAGAAAAAAGTGCCTGGCTCCATGCAGCTTTTCATGCTATCCTGGCAAGTAGAAGAGAAGGCTCTGTGCTGCCTAAGGCTGCTTGTGCAGTACTTTCTTTGACTGACACCAACACTAACAATATGATAAAAAACGAAGAGAAATTATAGTAACAGGAGGCGACTTGTTGATCTTGATGCCAGATTAGGTAGTACTTTATTCACCTTCCTGGTGCCGCTTATTTCGATTTCCTAATCAAACTCGCTCGACGCCGCAGCATTGCGGCGGTCGCGCCAGAAAAAGTTAAGGGGCCACACGGATCGATGATATTGCAAACGTCTTGATGCTGCTCAATATATGTCGTTCAAAAAAGAAAAACGCGCCGAGTGTGTGGAAACGGGGCGCCTGCTCCTTGCCGAGAAGTGGGTAGAAGTTCGGCCAGTGTTCGTCTAAGAATCCACACGCAAGCTTCCCAGCAGTTCGCGAAGTGTTTGATGAAAGGTCGAGTACAGAATGTTTGTGTTTCTGCACTTAATCGGTCATATTGAGGTAGTACTTTTAGCACAACTAGTTTGGACTAGTGTGGTCGCGCAACGAGAAGCGCGCCGCCGTTAGCTGTTTCTAGCACGGCGCGTCTAAGTCTATAATCTAAGGTCGCCACATAGCTAAAGTGCTAAAAGTCGTCAGGTCTATGTCTAATTGTGGGAAATAAAGTTAATCGCAATTCTTACTGTGCCTCACGCCGTTCCCCCGCCCCAGTGCCAGCTGTGCAGCCAGCCGGGCAGCTAGGAGAAGCAACTGGGGTGCAGTGTGCGGTGGAGTGGCTGTTGAACGCATATTCGAAATCGAATCATGATCATGTGAAATGGAATGCAAATCCAAAGCTAACGACATCAGCCCGCTTTTGGGTCTGCGGTTCTTTGGCGATAGGAACTTTTGGTCAAGTCAAAAAGTAGTCAAAGTACATCAATATCAATACTTAGGTTGAACTTGAGTGCAGAATGACCGCCAAAGTGGTTGATTGAAGCTCGATCGCGCAAGATTATGTCGACGTAGCGTTTTCGCCAGGAACACGGCCGGCACCTGGCTTCACTGCCGCCTTGCTGTAGTTCAAGAAGTAAGTAGCCGGTTCGTGATGTAAATCAGGTACAACACGGGGGCAGATTCATCACCATGTTGTTGCGCGGTTGTAAGACCGCCCCTCAGTTCGCCTCATGGCCGGTTCCGTACGGCCCGCGCGACTGTCGTACGAGCCAACGGATTAGTATATCATGTGGAAAAATTGTACAATTTGTCAACTATCTCATGCTTTCGCGACGCGACGGACACAGATCACGTCTCCTCAAGTACTAGCACGTTTCTCTAGTGAACGGAAAAGAGCCGTCGGCTGGCTTTGTCTTTGTTCCGAAGTCTATCATCAAAGGAGCATCTCCATTACGGGGACTCATTTACATTTGCCGCCCGCATGTAAGAAAATTTAATCGAAGCGCTTGCCGAGGAGAAAAAGAAATACTGCGGCACTTCGTTGTCTGCCAGGTGCATTTGTTTCTCCCCTCGCGTCACGCCATCTGCGATGTGGGCAAAAAATGGGGCTAACTTTATTGTCGCGGTCTGTGTACTAGCATGACAGCTGTGGCAGGTTCGTGCGGTTTTTCCGTCCGATGGGAGAGGGTTGGGGCTCTGTCATTTGGGTGCGCCGGCGGAGTTGTGCGACCCACGTGGTCCTGGTCGGAGAATCTCGCGTACAACGCCCGCGTGGCCGGGATACGCCATTTCCGCATAATGCCTGGGTTGTTACCAATGGCTGGCGTATCTGCTCTACGTCGGAAGAGCGAGGCTTGGACGTCGGAGAGGACGCGCAACAACGACTTTGTCGTGAAGCGACGGTTCTGCAGTGCGAGTTCCACCACGGTGGGTCCGGGAGCAAGTACTGTTAGTTCGGCTAGTTCGGCAAGCGGCGGGATGGCAACGGATCTCTCACGCTTTACCAAATAGAAAAATCCACCCGCCCCTGCATGCCGTTGACACAGCGTGATTTGTGTATCCACGGGAAGAAGTTTTTCAGTTTGCAGGGACAGGGAAAGGGTCGATAGAGATCATTGTTCTGACCTTTCTTGCATGTCTACCAAGTACGACAACCAGAGGCACCGGACGTCTCTATTTTTTTCAGGAGAAAACGATAGCCGGCTATGACAAAGTTAACGTTGTTGAAGCGTGAGCAATAAATTCGCTTTGAAAACAAGAACGGAGCGAGGCGGGTTCTGACGCTTTGATACTCCTGCGCAACGTTGCCATTATTGCGCACGTAGACCACGGCAAGACCACTTTGGTGGATGAGATCTTGTCTCAATCCGGGATGGCATATGGATGTGGACAACTCGTCCCCGTTACCTTCATTTGTCAAACACCTAAAAAAGGGAAAAAAGCGGCAGACGCAACTGCAAGCACAATGGAGGTTATTTGGCGTAGTCAATCCATACCGCCCATACCTGTTCGGCGTGGTGAACTTGTCATGTAGAAACGGCCAAGTACTATCTAGCGGCAAAAATAGGATTTGGCTCTTTGCACGAAAAACGAGGGGGGGTTGTCCGCAATCATACGAGCGGCGACTGGCGGCGGGGGGCCAGGCACCTAGACAGCAATGCGCTGGAACAGGAGCGGGGGATTACCATCTTGAGCAAGGTCACCCGCATCAACGCCCCAAATCGTGGCGGGTACACCTTCAACATCGTGGACACGCCCGGACACGCGGACTTCGGCGGCGAGGTGGAGTATCTTGAGTGAAAGCGTCCCAACCGTAGATTTGATATGCAAATCTGCATGCCTGAAATCAAATGTGATGCGCGGGCGCGCCATGAGGAGCAATTTCTTATCGCATCTGAGAGTAGTTTGTCATGCTAGAGTCAGGAGTTGATGGCCGATTTTTTAGGATGTTGCTGCTGCATTAGCTAAAGAGGATTACGCCGCGAGCCCAAACCTCCTGGTGTGCGCAACAGCTAAAACTTCTTGGTTTATTGTGGAGCAAAATCCCCATATGATTGACACTGGGAGGGTGACGTTTTTCCACAGCATACGGAGCGGGTGTTATCCATGGTCGAGGGAGTGGTGCTTCTCGTCGACGCGGCTGAGGGTCCGAAGACGCAAACGCGGTTTGTGCTGCAAAAGGCGCTGCAGATGCGGCAGAGCGTTAGCGGCGCGGCGGGGGGGCCGGACGCAGCAGAGAAGACGCGCGTGATCAAGCCGCTCGTGGTGATTAACAAGGTGGACAAGCCCACGCGGCGGGCGTACGGGGAGGTCGAAAACGACATCTTCGACCTGTTTGTCAGCCTAGACGCCACGGAGGAGCAGCTGGACTATCCCACCCTGTACGCCAGCGGGAAGGAAGGATGGTGCGTTGCCTCCTACGACGAAGCAATGCAGATCGTGGACGCTGGCGCAGGCCGTTCCGGCGCGGGGGCGGTCCCGTCCGAAAAGCGGAACCTAGATGCGCTGTTTGCTGCGATCGAGCAGCACGTGCCGCAGCCGCCGCATCCGTCGGTTCATCCCGGTCCTCACACGGCAGTCGATAGTACTGGGTCCAGCACAGCGGGGGGCAATAGTACTAGTAGCGCCAGCAAGCCGCCCCCGTTTGCGATGCTGGTCTCGCAGTTGGATCAGCTGCCGCAGCTGGGAATGACCGTGACGGGGAAGATCAGTTCTGGCACCGTGCAGAAGGGCGACAAAATGGACGCGAAAAACGGTCGCAACGAGCTGGTTGGCCAGGGCGGAAAAGTGAAGGAGATCACGGTGGTGCGGGGCACGAAGAGGGAGAAGCTGGACCGCGCGAGCCAGGGTGACATTGTGTCCCTCTCCTTTGCGGGCGGCTCTTCGTTCGCGCCCGCCAGCGGGAGTGCTACAACTACTTCGGAGGCCGGGGGGGCGGGAGACAGCACCGCCGCTGGTGCTGGTGGGCCGTCTTCCTCGGGCGCCTTTCAGCCCCGCTGGACGCAGACCGTCTTCCACTCGGGGAGATCGAAAGAGGTGGAACCCATCCCCTGCACGGAGAGTATGGGGCTCTCAAACGTTACACTCTCAACTGTTACATGGATTTGTCACGCAAAATGAGCATCAACGTCCACACAGTGAAGCTGCCTCACATGACAAATTTTGGAAGGGCTAAACAGCATGGGAATCTGTGCCGAATTTGTAATGCAAGAGTTGCAAGAAGATCCGGCCTTTCCCTGTTGCCATTCTTGCATCACAAATTCATGAAACAGTTGAGAATGTAACAGTTGAGAACGCCATAGAGATCGATCCGCCGGTGATCTGTGTGAAAGTGACAGTGAACGACGCCCCCGGCGTATGCAAGAAAAAAACTGTGTAAGTGTAAATCTGTGATGCAGAACATGCAACAGAGTTACAGCTGTCATGCCAGACAGCGATGCAGTTCTCTTTTCATGTGTGTTTTCCCTTACAAACCACGCATGACAGGTTTTCTCTGTCATGTAGAGCAAATTTGTGATGCTGTCAGCCAAAGAAAGTTACACTAACACAGTTTTTTTCTTGGATACGGCGCGGGCAAGGCGAAGTTCATCGCGTTGTACGACATCTACGCGCGCCTGCGGAAGGAGGCGCTCGTGAACGTAGCCATCGGCGTTGAGGAAAATGCGGACAAATCGGCGCTAAGGCTGAGCGGACGCGGGGAACTGCAGCTGGGGATTTTGATCGAGAACATGCGCCGGGAGGGCTACGAAATGACGCTGTCACCGCCTCGCGTCGTGACCACTATAGATCCCAGCGACGGCGTCACGGAGTTGGAGCCCTGGGAAAGCGTGCAGGTGGACGTTCCCACGGACCTTTCGGCCACCGTCATCGAACGTATCACACCAAAAAGTGTTAACGTTAACGGAATTTGGCATGCAGGAATGCGCGATAAATGATGCCCAAACGTGTATTGCATAACATGCATGATAGCGAAAATTTGTCATGCATGACTGCAATGCCCCAAAACCGTTAACGTTAGCACTTTTTTGCTTGATAGAACGGCTTTCCAGTCGCGGAGGCGAGCTGAAGGAAATGGTATCAAATGTAAAAATGTCTGGGTCTGGAAACTTGTGATGCTGGGTGGCGTCTCATGATGAGGCCACAAATGCTGGCTTAGCATGACAAGTTTCTGAGCTTCTAGGTGTTGCCTATTCTGCATGACAAACTGCACACAGAGAGGGCAGGAAAGGAGAGTGGCGCTGCAAGCAGTCAAAGTAAAAGTAGCCGGGCAAATGTAGAAAGAAAGCAAGAAGAAAAAGGGGAAGAAAGAAGGGAAGGAGAGACACTTTCTGAAACTATACTGCGACTAATCGAGAAAGAGAAGAAGAAAGCAGAGGAAGCCGGTGACGAGATGGCGCAGGGGGCATTCAGAATAATCCAAAAAGCGACGAAACTGTTGCAGGAGGTAGAGGAGGCGAATAAAGGAGACGATGGAAGAAAGTCAAACGAAAAAGAAAGGGGACGGGAGGAAGGAGACCAAGAAGAAGCGATCAGCGAAGACGGAGAAGAGGAAGAAAAAGAAAGCTTCTACGGGGCGCAAGAATATGAAGGCACTCGGAGAGGATACGTGCTCAAAAGAGGGGCGACGGGACAGGGATACTACATAGATCAGGGTCCAGAAGAGGCAGCGCGAGCATTTTTTCGGAATCTGGTGGCGTGGGGGGAGGATGAGAAAAGGGACGCGATTAATAAGGAGCGGGCGGAGGAAGGTCGAGATGAAAAAGAGGCGGACCAAGAGCAGCAAAAACGGAGAAAGGTGGAGAAACAAGACAAGAAAGCGAACCAAAACGGTGGAAACGAAGACGAAAAAAAGAAGCAAACGACGGAGGCCTCTAACTTCCCCACAGTCGAGAAATTAATGGAAGATGACCCCATGACATTGATGCAGAAAGAGAAAGAACAGCGGGAGAAGAGGAGGAGGAGGAGAAGAGGAGGAGGAGGCAGATGCAGTACGAAACTCCTATGCAGCGAGAACTAGCCCAAATGTATAGAGTCCTAGAAAAAGAAAACAGCGACGGAAAATGAATGAAGAAAGAGAAAATAGTGACTGCAGCGCGTTTCTTCTTTTTTGGATGAGATTGATGAATGGATAGCAAAGTAGAGGCAAGAAGAGGCCTCATACGTGAATGAAACAAACGAGCAAAGAAGACACAGACCGGGGCTCAAGGCGAAAAGGGCAAATGCGGGGCGTTCTGGCGGGTGCAGAGGGAAGAGCGTAGACACAAAACGCAACAGAAAAGAGCGATAAAAATGAGGTGACTGCGTATGGACCTTGTCTCGACACGTTCCCGCCAGCCCGGAGGGGTGCGGCGATGCTAATCATTTCGTTCCCGCCAGCCGTAAAGGCACGGCGCTGCTTTTCCTCTCCTTGCGCCGGCGGACCGCATGCACTGACGCGCTAGGAAACGAAAAGAAAAAGAAAGAGAAGAAAGAGAAACTATATAAAAGAAGTGGTGCCAGGGTTGCTAATTTAAAAGACTGCGCTAATGCAGCACCCCCCTTCCCCAAGGGGTCCCCCCGGGGCGGGCGCGATGGCGGCTCTGCGAATGCGGAGCTCCGCGGGCCGTTTCTATGGAAACGCATATAAAAGGGTGCGGGAAGAAGATCGGCAAAACGTGTCTGAAAGGGACACGCCGTTGGGTCGCCCGCCATCGTGATAGGATCACCGTGTCTGATCATTAGACCCCCTGTATACTTTTTAGCGCGCAACCGGCCACGCACGTAGTTCTTCGAGCAAGTTTGTAAGACTAACCCATCAAGGCAATACTGGAACTCCACCTTGCTCGCGGGCTTGGATGGTAAGGCAGGTCAGCCACACATAGCGCCCACTGGCTGTAGCCATGCGTAAGCAATCGATAGCGGTTTTGCAGGTGCAGCCGGGTGGTAGTTAGGATGTGGAACGCGTCTCCACCTAGGGGTATCGGCAGAGGCTAAATCTGTTCTAACGCCCAGGTATTGGCAGAGGCTAAATCTGTCTAACGCCCACCCGCCAGGAGTTAAATGGTGCTACTACTACTACTACTGCATCACAGAAAAATAGGGCTCTTGGATAACGTGCATTACAGATTTAAGACTCATGCCAGAAAAGCATGACAAATCTCGCAATCTTCCAGACCCAGACATTCTTGCATTTGATAAATGGACGCGAACAGCAAGAACCGGACCACGCTTCGGTTCGAGATCGCGTCGCGCAATTTTTTCGGTTTGCGCGCCTGGGTCACCGAGGCCACGGGGGGACAGGCCGCCGTCGCCTGCGAGATGATTCCGCCCCGCCCGCTCCCGCCCGCGGCCGAGTTGGAGGCCGAAAGCTCGCGGCCGCCCGTCTTCGTGTCCGCCAACTCGGGGGTGGTGTACCTCGGGGACCACCGCAAGGCAAGCATGAAGGGCAAGCTGTTTGTGAACGCCGGGGACCACGTGTATGAGGGACAGATCGTGGGTATCCTGATTAAAAACGTCCCCACACCAGAGTCAAGATGGGAAATCTGCTAGACAAATCAACCAGCTTTGGGTGTTTGGCATGACAAGTTTGGCCCCGTATTGTAATCCTGTTTCGCTAGCTCCAGCAGCATCACTGGCCTAGCACATCATGCTGGTTCTAGCATCACAAATTCCAAAACACGACCAGAAAATGCTTCTCATGGGGCTCCGCATCAGAAACTTTTTTGGCATGCAGATTTGCATGACAACTCTGGGGTGGGGACGTTTTTACTCAGAATAGTGGGCGAGATCTCCTCCAACACGGGGTCGCAGGCCCTACACGTGGACGCCGAAATCAACCTGTGCCACAAACACGACGGCTACGCCAGCTGCCACGGGGCGTCCGGAATCGGAACGCAACTGTCCCTGGAGGAGATGTTGGTGTATCTACAGGAGGACGAGTGCTTGGAGGTGAGGCCCGACCGGCTGGCAATGCGGAAGTTGTTGCTCAGCGCCGTGCAGCGCAAAACCAGACTAAAGCAGAAGCTGAAGCAGGCACAGAACTAGGGACAGCGCAAGGAAGCTGCTCGTCCGCCCGGAGAAGAGGCAATCATGCGTTTTTGGTTCCATTTTTAGCCCGCGATGAGTGTCGTTTCTATAAACGATTGACAGTAGTTCCTTGAATGGCGTCAGCTTCCCATGCCTGAATACTCATTACTGGTGACCAGAAATCAAAGAAGGCAAGAGTCAAAATAGCAAAAGTGACAATAGTGCCCAGTGGCGGGAAGAAGTTTTACTATACTGCGAAGCGACTCTACCGACCGTGGATACTTCCTCATATAGCGAGTACTTCTTTGTTCTTCTGTTGAATTTGGTGACGCACTTTTTCTTCTGCTCTGCAGAACAGTCGAGAACCTGTCGCTGAACCAGCATCCACGAAAAGAAATGGCTTTTGCAGGTTTCTTCTCCGATTTTGCTTGACCGGACGTGAAACCAGATCTGATGAAAAAGGAGATCGATGGGCACACCGGGCGAAATGATCTCTACGTCTGGCCACTCGATCCCTTCTTGTCTAGCTGTACCATCGTAGATAATTACATGCAGGGTGTACCACGTTCACGCAGCAGTTCTCCTAGGATTGCCTACCTCAGATCGGCGCTTTCTGTGCGAATTCGTGACCACCCTCCATGTTGTCGTGCTTCGCACCGCAAGCAGGCGGCTTTTCGCGAATCCAAGAAGGATCACTCGCGTTTTCTGGTGCGGCATAGGAACAGTGAACTTACCAGAATTTTTGCGTGACGAGCCACGCAATGCCAGTTCTTTTTTGAAAAGAAGAAGTGTCGCTCATAAACATGTATCGATACTTATTGCCTTGCTGCATTCTTGTATGCTGCAGTCGTCCACAGTGCCAGTACCAGTAGTAGTGAAGACCGTCTTGTTCTGGTGCTGGTGGTGCGACACTCTAAGTCGGTGATAGCCGAGTGTGTCTCCAACTCCACAGCTAGAGAAGCGATCCTCATTAGTACACTACTTGTCACAGTCACGCTTACGCTTTTTATTTACAAAAACCCCATCAAAAGATATGATGTCTGGAGTAGCGTACGCGCGGACCGTGGAACGGCTGCGCAAGATTCATCACCGGGCGCAGCGGCTGCGGTATCCTGAGTAAAAACGTACCCACACCAGAGTCAGGATGGTGATTTTGCAACACAAACCTAGGAGTTTTGTGAGTCACGCATGACAAGTTGCACTCCGCAGTGTAGTGCAGGTTAGCAAGTGCAGCCGCATCACAGATTCATCTGCTCATCCTGTTCACAGCATCACAAATTCCAAAACCCGATTGGAAATGGCTCTCATGGGGATGCGCATTACAAATCTTCCTGTCTTTGCAAATCTGCATTACAACTCTGGTGTGGGGACGTTTTTACTCAGGATATGCGGACAGTGATTGCTAGCCTGGAAGGGGCCGGGAGAAACACCGAAGCAGCGGGCGCGGCTGGTGGCACGGAGCAAGAGAAGCGTCGGTCGCGCGCCGTCCTGCCCGCCGGCTTACGCGCTGCGGACGTTCAGGCGTACCGTGTGCGTGTCGGAATGAGCTAGCGACGATGCGGGGTAGTCTTTTGGGGCTCTCGGGGAAAACGAAAATTCCTGTTCACATGGGCGAAGCAGCCTACGCAACGTACTCAAGTAGTCCGGAGACCACTGAAATAGAGACGAAGCGGCTGGGTCGACTTACGGGCTGTGTGCGGTGTTTGTTTCGCCTTGTGGATGTATAGAGATTGCTAGTTGATGTGCTGCACCGGACGCTCGCTTTATCAACTAGATGTACGGAAAAATTGTCGCAGTGACTTGCTTATCTTCTGCTAGGCAACCTTTTTTGGATAGCGAACACTATTCCTGCTGCTAGTGTTGAGACATAGCCGCATGCACCGGGTCGATGCTTCTGAGCAAGACATAAATTGCGCCTTGATTGTGCTATATTTCTACTCTTTGAGTCTGTTCAGCGAGTAGATTTCTAGCTGTGCAGCATGGAAAAACCCTCTGCCTTAGCCAGTGCAGCAATGGAAATCGCCTACAAAATACGTCGGAAGAACCTTGCGGTTTTATAATATGCGTGAGACGGTCAACGTCAATTCGGTGGGATCCACTGTTTGGTCAAACTTTGACATGTGGTAGACTGTATGATCCTCTTCTTTCTGGTGAATTTATTCGGTTACGAAAGCGCCTGACTGCAAAAACAAAAGCACTTCTTTACGTCATTTATTGAAGTCGCGCGACGGGAAGGAGAACGGCGAGCTGGCGCCCATGAATCTCAACCAATGGTCACAATCAAGTGGCACATGCATGAAAATATCGAGGTACAGAATTCCCGTCGCTTTGGTCGGATCTATAAAATCAACCTTGATATTAAACCAAGATATCGATTTTTTGCACTGAACAGTAGGCGCGGACCTCACGCTTGTAGCCGCTTCGTCCACAAAAGAGCGAGATGATTGAAAGACGAAGGCCGCGGACTCCGTGAAAAGACATAAGCACGAATGTTAAGACCAAAGAATCGAAATACGTACAAGCAAAATCAAATTCATTGTGGCTCTATCGCTCAGAGCTGCTCAACAAAGGTATGCACTAGGCGCCGCCTGTCTAGCGTATACTTTGCTTCTAGCCTCTCTGGTGCCGCTCGGCCATGTTGATGCCCCATTGTGTGAGCGACTGTACCGAGCCGGCATTGGACAATCACTACGAAAACGAAAAAAGGTCGAAAAGATCAAGAGAGTGACGCGATCAACACCAGAGCCTTGGCCTTTGTAAGCTTGTGAAGACACTTTTTACGGGCGCGAGCGACGCTTTAGCTCAGCGCTGCTTGGCTTGCCTAAATAGTATTTACTCAAATTTTTATACTAATTGATGCCCCAGCAACGACTCACTACACCAGTAACAGTTTTTTCACACTACGGATCAGTACTCTAGGGAGGACAGTTTGCACTTTCAGGATTGTCGTAGCAGCAATAGAACTAATTCTTGTCAGCGACCTGAAGCTAATAAAGCACGTAGTTATTGCTTCGAGCCGAGCTTTTACTTGAGAAGGCAACTTTTTTAAACATTATTCGATTTTTCCTGCGGTTCGTTTGTGTCCGATTCCTGCGGCGGCGGTACATCAGGGAACAACGGCGCATGAGTAAGAAGCAAGTGGCCTGTTATATGAAGAATCGTTGGCGATTTTTGGAGACCGAACAAGAGAAATAGCAGGAAATACTCTACGCGGCGACGACAACGCTATCTCGAGGAAAAATTCCCACTGCCCGCCATCTTCGATCCAGTTTTATTGCGACTCTGTACTCACTTGTCGTCACCAATCGCAAGAAGCATGCGAGGTCGCAGCTGTGTTTTGCATTGTGAAGGTGCGGCCTCGTAGAGTAAGGAAGGGTGCTTTTGGCACTGCTTACCTGCTGGAAGCTTCTTCAAAGGTACTTGCAGCAATGAAGACATCACAGTGCAACATCCCATCGCCTGTCACTCAGAGGCCTCTTTCTACGGATAATTGCTGGTGTATTTCATGTACTGAGTGAGGCGTTTGTAATATCGCTTGTTCAGCTAGTGCAGCTGTCTCTGCTGCTAGCGTGACGACAGATGATGAGTTTGTAGTTGGAAAGAGTCATGTTGCTGCGTACTTAGTAGATGGCGGGAGCTTCAGCTTCTTCCAATTTGATACACTGACGGAAGTGGCCATGGCGGGACAAACGGAGCAGGTGACCAGACTGCTGCAGGTGAAAGAAAAACTCGTCCAGATTTGCAATGCCTCGGAGGACGGTATCCCTGCAAAAAAAGTAACATGTCTGGATCGGGAAGGCGCCAGGATGTGTAACCCGCGGGGTATTTTGAAACGTGAGCGCAGCGGCCATTCAAGAGTACAAGTACATGCTGCGGCAGAGCAGCGCTTCTTGACACGAGCTGCAAAGCGAAATAGTGCTATCAAGTGCCATGATGTACAAAGCGCCGCGGCACCGCATACTGTGTACGCGCGCAAAATAATGATCCAAAAATCTGTCCTCATGCACGTAGTTGCTTGCTGTTGCTCTAGAGCTACTTTCATTCTGCTCGCTTTGATTTGCATGAAAATAGCCTAGATCATAACTCTCTCGAGCTGGACATGGGTGTTTTTTTGCAGTGGATAGACGAGGCGGAAATTGCCGCGCAGCTGCCAGATCTGCTGGACGAGTTGGAGAAAGTGCACGTGACCCACAGCCTGCTGAAGGAAACCCTGCTGGGCAAGGCGGTTCGCGAAGTCTCCGTGAGCCCGAAAGTGCCGAAAGATCTCGCGGACAAGGCCTCGCAGTTGGTGCTAAAATGGAAGCGCGTCGTGCAGCTGGCAAACAACACCTCCTCCACCGGCTCGCAGTTGGGGTCCCAGGCGTCACTCGCGAAAATGAATCCGGGCGCGGCGCCGACGTCAAATCGCGAGCGGTCTCCTCGGCGCGCTGAGCCAACCACGGGTGCGGCAAGCTCCAGCAGCAGTGCCGAGCAAGGCACGTCTAGCCAACATCCTGAAGACAAAGAACGAAAGGAAGAACAACCCAATAGCCAGCAGGCGCAACAACAACAAGGACAACATCCAAGAGCAAACAGCCAAGCACCGGCGGGGCAGGACGGCATCAAAAATCCATCACTGGTTCCTGCTCGAGGCAGTGCCTCCTTTCCATCCGTGCTGGGGGGAAGTACAGACGCCGGCGACAAAGCGAAATTGCTGAAGAGTGTGGCGACGATGGGCAGCCAACTGAGCAGTCAGATGAGTTTCACCTCCGGGGACCCCCGAGTGGTCACGCGAACGAAACTTCACGCCGCACTGGTGTACGACGAAAGCGAAAATGAATACGGCATGCTGGTAAAGATAGTGTTGCTGTAAGATGTCGAAAAGTTGCAGATTTTCGACATTCGTGATTAGTATCTCGTCGGCGGACAGGAGATGAACAGCCTGTGTTTTTCTGCGTCTATTGCTTTGACAGGGGCTGCTCAGAAACAAATCACTCATCGCAAAATATTACTTATGTGGAATGCAGGAAAAATAAAGCGCCTATTTGTTATGTGAACAAAAGACTTGCGCTTTATCAATCTGCAGCATTGATCATATAGTTTTCCACACAAAATATAATCCAAATATATATATACAGGAAGAAGAAATTGCTAAGAAGAAGCTGCTACGAAATGCAACAATCTGCGTCACAATCATGCAAAGAATCAAAGCGCTTTAGATCCATATCTATGCAGAATTCTTGTATGATGTTGTGAGTATAAAAACAAGCAGCACCAGCAGCATCTGCCCCGTGCTGAAGAATCGGCTATCGTGCGGGCCGTCATTCGAGTTTGTGATGGTGCGTGTTTCCTAGAGTACTTTTTATATACTGTCCTCCGCTCCCGTGGTGGTACTGCGTAAACTAGGAAAACATTTTTCTTGGTCACTTGAGTTGGTCGAATTCCATTTCCAATTCATGAAACTGGCAACATGCAATGAATTGGAAAGCGGCAAGAGGTTCATTCATTAGAACGGCTGTGACGCGCGGTTTGCGGTTGATGGTTCAAAAATTGCGACGACATAGCCGCGGAGATGGAGCAGTCACTTTTCAACGAGCTAAAAGGAAAGGAGTACTCCATCCAGGTGCGGTCAATTCTATCCAATTTGAAGGACAAGCGCAACAAGGACTTCAAACTGCGTGTGCGGCTGGGCATGATCAACCTCGCCGACAGCTACAAGCTTACCCCGCACGACATGGCCTCGGACGACAAGCGGAAGGAGAGAGAAAAAATCATTCAGGAAGCCACGGAGGCAATGGACCTGGATTACGACAAAAAGAGGATGAAGGTAAGGAACCGCGGAGAATACTTTCTTGACAATGTTCTTTATCAAGTTCGTCTCACTTCAAAAACTCTATCTTGCATTTTTGGCCGCGACGGAAAGATCCGCGACGTCTTTTATGGCCAGATTATATGATGAAAAAAACAAATCACACAGATTTCCTCCACCTTCACATGCAACAAGTGCAACACGAACCGCTGCACGTACTATGGAATGAAAATAATGATTCACTGATCCCGCTCCCGGCCGGTTTGATAGAAGTCATGCTCACCAGTATGAGAAGGAAAATTTGCATAAGCGTGTGACGACAAAATGCTTTTTTTTGTATACATAGATGAATACCTCAACATAGGAAGATAAATGTCTGCCAAGAGCAGGCGGAAAAGCCCTGTATTTGAGACCCCCGGGGCGGGGCAGGTTGTTTCCGGTCGATACCATTTACCAGCTCCAAACGCGGTCGAGCGACGAACCGATGACTACCTTCGTATCCGAATCGAAAGAACTTCTGCTTTACTCCCCACGGAAGAGAATATTTTCAATCCTCAAAGAGTTGAAGATGAACTGTTACGGCAGGTCCGTATACAACATGTGGACACGTTGATGACAAGCATGAGGATGAAGAAGACGAAGATCTCCCTTTGGTTTTAAGTAAATTAATGTTCTTTTGTCGGACGGCGCTTCTCACTGACTTCCACTTCTGCATTACTGCAAAGGGTTTTGCTTTTGCATGACAAGACGGGTCTTCTCTGCGCCCGTGGGGGCACGAAGGAGAAGATCCTTTCTGCCTGATACTCTGTCACGTGTCAGACCTGTGGCAACCGCTGGAAATTTTGTTGAGGTGGAGAAAGTGTAAAAGCGTGGTGCCTCCTCGTGTTGTTCCCTACAACCCAGGAACGAACGACCTCTTCCTCTGCAGCCGTCGTCTCTAACATCCGGAGCGCCGTGTGCCGATGTGTACTAGCAGTTTTCGGCGCTGAACCGTGAATGCCACCCGCTGATCCGGGTGTTAATTCAATGGATCTACGCAGTTCAAATCCTGGTGATTTATTATAATTCCGTTTCCAGAAAACGAAAACGGTGTTTCGAGAGGATAGGTCATCTCGCACTGCCGACGCAGCCGATGTGAGAAGAAATACCCTTTTGCTGCGCACGATCGCCTTTGAGATGACTGCTTACGAAAAAAGGAATACGCAAACTGCCCCGGCCGAAGTTCGGTATCTCTCTGACGATGTTCATGTTCCACGGCCTCGCAGCAACAGGAGGCGTTTCTTCATTTGAATATCCGATTATCAGTGCTTTCCTGTGCATGTAGAGGAACAAGAACGCAAATCTTCCAGAAATCAGTTCTTCGAAACATAGGAACTGCCTTGGCGCGCACAAATTATATTCGACGACGGGGGAATCAATTTATAGGTTGCTGCTAGTTCTTCACTTGGAACAGCAACAGACCGGAAGAGAACTCACATAGCAACTGGCTCCACCGCGCAAGACACACATCATGATTCTGGTTGCAAGAGTCAAGTAAAAACACTGCTACCTAGTACCCACCCTTTGATGGTACTGGTAGTGGCACTACTTCTTCGCTGCATGCGAAGGAGGAGAAACATTCAAAACTTGTTTCACGACGAGACAGGAGGAGTTGTTCCGCTCTTAGCTTTATTTCCTCTTGACGCACATCAGTGTGACTGTGAGTACACTAAAATCAGATGACTACGAATCGCCTGAGTAAGATGTCGCTGTATTCAGCACGACCTCAATAATGTCGTTCCGCACGGTTCAAGAAAGCAAACTTGTTGTAGAAGAAGACCACGACTAGAAGTCCTTCATGCAGGAAGAAACTCAAAGCCACACACTCACTGCGAAAAAGAAGATCCATTTCCTTGTCGCGAAACCGCGATCTTGTTTCTCTTAACATGCATACGGTGCTGTCTCTACCTCTAAGCGGAGTGTTTGTAGTGCCACATTCTGTATCTCTTTTACACATTCTGGCCCATGATGATGTGTGGCCGCGCCTTTGTAGTGCTTACTTGTTTCAACTACACGTTCATGTTGCCCTTTGTGGCCCAGGGGCGGCCGTAGTACGTACACTCCATTAATAGCTGCTGCTTTTTTGTGCTGCTCACACAATTTTGTTATCGTTTTTCTCAGCGACGCCACAACAAGTTTTACTGTGACATATTGTACCTAAAGTAGATCCGAGTTTACAAAGGGAAATGGTTTTTCGTAGGCACTCGACGTTTAAGCAGTAGAGGCACTAGATGATTAGAAGTAGAGTTCTTGTTATATCAGGACTGGCAATCTCCTCTTCTTGTTCTTGCTCACTGTACCGATAAAGTAGTTTTGACGTAGTAAGTAGATGGGCAACGCGCAAGGCGGCCCGGGCGGTGGCCCGCCCGGTGATGGAAAAGACGGGAAGAAGGGCGAAGGCAGTAACCAACACGGAACCGTGAAAGTAGACCGGGCTTCTGAACATGCGGTTTTCGTCGTCTTTGCTACCGCTCCTTGCATATTTCTTAGCTGATACGAGGGTGTTCTTTGTTGCTTTGCATCAACACGTGGTCCGCCGCGTGTAAATAAAACAAAAAGTAGTGGCAACACAGCAAGGACAAATGCAATTTGAGTACGTATCAATTGAGATGGTTATTTCCATACAAAATGATTAAAACTATATCGCAACAAACACGTCGGAAGAAAACGACGAAAACTACGAGACAAACGATGCAGCCCAGCTAGAGGCATGCTTGGTCTTCTTAGTTTTTCACTTCCATACCGCAGAAGGAAAAGAAGCGATACGAACCACCGCAGCCATTCGGGCGGAAGGGCAAGAAAAAGCACAAGGGCGTATCCTGCGTAAACATGTTGATTTCCTTGTCTCTCTGTCCCCACCACACGACCAGAGTAATCGTCTGAATGCAACTATCCTGCTCTAGATCTAATACGACTATGAGGAGATAATTGAAGCTCACCCTAATATGGTGAGTTACGGTGATCTCAAGTGTCACAGTAGATGAAGTGCAAACTCCCGAGATAGATTGGAATTGCTGCACTGCACTGGTAGAGGGCACTGCGAGTTTTTTTTTTGTGTTTGTGTGGTTGGGACGCAGAACTGGAAGTGGTTACTCAGTATAGGCCAGTTCGGGCACCGAAACGCTCTCAAAAGTCCCACAAATTTTTCCCAACGCGAAATGCAGGCTGAGGCTACTGAAACAGGTACGAATTCATGTTGACAAGTGCGGATATACTTAAACTTACTTAAAAGTTATCCATCCCTAGTGTTGGCTGATTTGATTTTGAATTTTAGTTTCTGTATGTGCTGATCTTCATCTGATGAATGGATAAGATTTCTACGGACTTTTGTCCGTGTTTGGACGCAGAGCAACAAAAACAAAAATAGGAACGGCTGAAGGACTACCTCATGATGGAGGAGGAATATAAGAGAGTGCGCAAACATACTTTCGCTCCTTCTTCTTTTGCAGGGCACGAACAGCTGCAGAAATAACAGCAGAAGTGTATCTTTTTTTTGGCAATAAATTCACGTGTGGACGGTAGTGCTGTGTGGATTTTTGCCTGAGCTTCCAATAAGCGGCGCTAGGAGCACGAGCCATCAACTACATGTGAGTAAGTGCAAGTGAACTTTTGCATCAGAAACGAGGGGGAAAGGGGAAGTTGTGCGCTTTCATACAAGACGTGTCAAATCAAGAAGTTACCCAGTGGAAAACTGTTGGCCCCGCTTTTCGCTGTGGATTGGCTCTTCTGTGTCAATAAGGCTTCGGACTGAGTCTTACAAGCAGCAGCGTACTGGGCTCATTGAAAAAACATTTGCCTGATGGTTGTTCTGCAAAATCGTACTCTGTAGCAAATAAGAGGTTGAAAACAGTACCTTTGATAAACAGAACGGTACGCGCTGAGGCCTAGAAATATTCGTAGTAGCATCGTGATTTGGGTCAGACCTTGCGTATATACCCGGGCGTAGTACCCTCGTGGAACGCCTTTTTTTACGCTGCTCAAACATAGCGAATTTATTGGCCTACGCGCGCCATACCATGCGGGTGCGCAGTTTGGGCGAGACGGGTTTCCTTGCTCTCTCTCTTTGATGTTCTTCTCCTTTTTCCAGGATCCCGGAATTTTCGCCGTCCGAGATTTCCCGGGAACCTGTGCAACTCGTGCAACTTTTGCACGTTTTTGCTGCGAATCACGATGGTGCGGCCGAGTTGCACGGCGAGTTGCACGGTGCAACTCGCCGTGCAACTTTCCCAACATTCCGCGCCGAACCAGGACGGCGCGGGCCTTCCGAGATGTCCCGGAAACCTGTGCAACTCGTGCAACTTTTTCACGTTTTGCCTTGCGAATCACGATGGTACGCCCCGAGTTGCGCGGCAAGTTGCACGGTGCAACTCGCCGTGTAACTATCCCAGCACTTTGCGCCGAACCAGGGCGGTATGGGCCTTCCGAGATGTCCCGGAAACGTGTGCAGCCCGTGCAACTTTTGCACGTTTTGCCCTGCGAATCGCAATGGTATGGCCCGAGTTGCTATCAAATGTAAAAATGTCTGGGTCTTGAAGATTGCAACTTGTCATGCTAAATCTGCAGCATGCAAAAATCTGTGTTTCATGATTACCAAAAGTCGTCTAGTTTTGACCAAGTCTGGAGGTAGTTTCTCATGCAGGATAGGCATTAGAAAGGTCTCGCAGAATCTGTCATGCTAGGTCCTGCATTCCAGACCTCATGATTCATGGAAAAGCAGCCTGACAAATCGCGCATTCTTCCAGACCCAGACACTTTTGCATTTGATAGTTGCACGGCAAGTCGTGCGGCAGGTCGCGCGCTGGCGCATGTGGGCAGTATTTCCGGCGCGCCCACGCTGCTGCGCGTGGGCGCATGTGCGGGCGGTGTCCATTTTGGCGCGCGGCGGCGCATGTTGCCGACTTGTCGCGCCGACGCTGGTCAAGTGCTTGGCAGTATCTTCCCCCCCGCCTTCGCTGGTTGTTTTGTGGTTGGGCTGGTTTGGTTGTGTGGTTGTCAATACGCCAGAACGACAACTATACGCCAGAACGACAACGCGCGGCCCCGCGGCTTGTCGTTCTGGCGTATTGACAACCAACAACGGCCAGGCGTATTCCACGAAAACAAAAGTCAAGCGGTCTTCCTAACCAACGCGCACACTAATCACAGCCCATTACGGCTGTTGCCCCTAATTCTTGCAGAGGCCCCCCGCTCGCGCAGGCCGCCCCTGCCGATCACCTCGGCACGCGCGGGCAGCACTTCCACGTCGGCGGCCGCACACAGCGCGTCAGCGTGCCCAACTCTGTGCCCGCCGTCCCACGTCACCGTCGCCCTGTGTTCAGGCGTTATTCGCGGGCCTTTGTGTACGTCTGCCCTGCTCCAGCCGCGTACTTGTGGTTGGCCCCGCGCAGAGGCCTCCTAGGCGGGGCTACTGGTTCACTTCGGCCGCGTATTTGCGGTTGGCCCCGCGAAGAGGCCTAGGCGGCGCTATTGGTTCACTTCAGCCGCAGGCACGGGCCCCATGAATGTGTTGCCGCTTGGGACGGCAGGACACCAGGGCGAGCTCGTTGCCTGCGGCAGCGGGGCCGACTGCGCGGCGGGCCCCCGCTGCGTTTCCCCTGTTGCGGGCGCGGAGCGATGTACACGACAGGAGGCCTTGCATGCGAGTGGGAAACGAAGGCGGCGGACCCCGACCAACACGGAGGCCCCCCGCGGGCAGGTGAAAAAGTTGGGGGGGCCCCCATCGGCACCGCTGGTAGAGGCCGGGGGCCCTCTGCGCGCGGGAGAGAAAGGCGGGGGGCCCCCTTGGGTACCAAAGGTGGAGGCCGGGGGCCCCCTGCGGGCGGGAGGGGCTTACCGCGGAGAAGGGCGGGGGCCCCCTCCGCCCTCCAGCGGGCGGCCCGGGAGAAGGGCGGGGGCCCCCTGCGGAGGCGGAACGGCGGGGGCCCCCTGCGGAGGCGGGATGCCCAGCGGGCGAGAGGGCGGGAGGCGGGGGCCCCCTGTTTCACCAGGCGGGCGGCCCGGGAGAAGGGCGGGGGTGCCCTGCGGGGGCGGGATGCGCAGCGGGCGAGAAGGCGGGAGGTGGGGGCCCCCTGTTTTCCCCGATGGTATGCTCGACACAAAAATGGGACCCCTCATCGTAGCATCGTGATTACAAATCTAGGCCTCAGCACGTGCCGGCCTCTTGATAAAATATAGATAATGATTTGTAAAGTGATTTCGCAGCGACCCTCTAAAAGCCCGATGCAGAAGCGAGCGCTCCTGGGGAAAAACAGTTTTCTCATCGTTAGGCTAGTAAAATCTTGAGTCAAGAGAGTCCATGTGAAGAATAAAGACGGCTCGACTTGAAGGATCCGCACAGCAGCACTGATGCGTGTTTGCACATTATAATTTTTAAGCCTTGGTCGTTTTTTGAGCCTCTGGATTATCGGGGTGGGCCAGCTATGATAGTACACTCAGCATGCAATACACGAAATCGGACTCGATCTTGACTCAGGATTTTGCCGTGATATCGCATGCAGTCCCTGAAGCCGAAGGAGGACAGCACAGAAAACGAGGAGCGGACGAAGCTCGACGAAATACGAGGGACACCGATGGACGTGGGAACCCTCGAAGAATTCATAGACGAAAATCACGTTATCGTCTCCACCGCCGTGGGCCCGGAATATTACGTCAATTTGCTCAGCTTCGTTGACCGAAATCAACTCGAACCGGGGAGCACGATTCTCATGCATCACAGGGTAAGTGATAGTGAAACTGAAAGTGAGTGTATTTTTTTGCTGTGGTCCGCAGCAAGGAGTGAACATTTAGATTTACGTTTATACCATCAGCATATGACATGACTATTGAATGAAATCAACCGTGTACTATCAGGCAATGAGCGTGATTGGGATATTAGGAGACGATGTGGACCTATCACAAGGAAAAACCATACGATCGCAGCTCCAATCGTCGCTTCGCAAGAATTATTTGTGCATGTATTATTTGTGCATGTACAAAATCAAGTGTTCAACTACATACTGCTTCTGGTATCAAATGCCAGGATTGCAAGCTGGTTTGCTCTTTTTTTGAGAAAGTGAAGGAAAACTGTCTTATCTCGACGAATTTTGTCATGGAGCAAACAAAAGATGCGACATGGGGCAACAACAGGGTTTTTCCATCCTATAGGCTCCGCTCGTGAACGTGATGAAGGTTGACAAGGTATCGTAATGAAAATTGTAGTCTTCCTGTGCCGCTGCATGAAATACGAAGTTTGTCATGCGACGAAGCAGAATGTCAATATTCCTACTTCGGATTCTTTCATCTAGCCTTGTGTTAGGCCGTCGAATGATGATCTATCGCGAGACTAAGTACTTGAAAGAGTTATCGACCTGGTAGTGCTATGATAGATAGCACTACGCGGATAAGTTCTTCAGCTTCGTAGATATCTGCCGAACAAGCGGTAGATGAGAATGTTCGTTGCGATACTCTGCCCCACTGGAGTCGTATGCGGACATAGGAGGGCTGGAAGATCAAATCCAGGAAATCAAAGAGGCCGTGGAGCTCCCCTTGACCCACCCGGAGTTGTACGAGGACGTGGGAATCAAGCCCCCCAAGGGGGTCATTCTCTGGGGACCGCCCGGTACGGGGAAGACGCTGCTCGCGAAAGCCGTGGCCAACGAGACCAGCGCCACCTTTCTGCGGATCGTCTATCCGGCGTGAAACTTGCTGTGGCCATAGGAAGAAGCTGCGTGCATAGGGTCGTGGGAAAATGGAAGAAAATTTTATTATGTGCGGGTGTTTTATTCATTCTGGAACGTCGACGATTAGTTGATAAGAAAAACTAAGAAGAGATTATTGCATGGTCAGGTTCTCTCATGGCGTAGTGATGACAAGTTTTCATTTTTTTTTTCTCTTAACTGAAGTAGCTGGCCTAGCGCCGTAGTTTGCTCTTTTAGAAAATAAAAGGAGCAACCAATTACAGCTTTGCTTTTTCCAGACCTGCACCTTGCATCAGAAGTCGTTTCTCTCACCACGCGAACTGCATAGTAGGGGGCGCCACACAGCAAGTTTTCCTAGCACATTCCCGGCTCCGAGCTGATTCAGAAGTACCTCGGCGACGGCCCCAAGCTGGTGCGCGAAATGTTCCGCGTCGCACAAGTATGGAGAGAAAAAATGAGCTTTGAGGAACTCGTTCTCTACTGGTAACACAGAGAGTGCATCTGCATGCGATACTAGTACAACTCATCGTTTGATGCATCTACGACCTCCTGCTCCGCTACGAATATTTGCATCAAGTATCAGTAAGTATTTCGGAATAGATTATTGTGCAGCAGTAAATGACTGCTGCTGCTGGGACACCGACGGTGATGAAACGAAACTGTTCGTCAGGTGTAGCGACGTAAAAGAACAAACCGGGGAACTGAATGCATTTTGTGCTTACAAAAAGAAAAACGATTATGCTGCATAGAGGCGGAACTTGAACTTCACGAATCGAAAAAATCCTCAAAGTGAATCTTTTTCCCATCCATACTGCGAGCACTCTCCAAGTATCATCTTCATGGACGAGATCGACGCCGTGGCGACCAAAAGGTACAGCTCTTCTTGGTATTTTCTGTCATGAGCGCCGTCGCTAATTTTGACGAGGTAGATGATCTTCATGTAGCCGATAGCGATTTCCTTACAAACATATAATATCATTCGAATGCTGGTAGAAATTGAGATGTGAAATTGCAGGTATGACACAACCTCCGGTGGGGAGAAGGAAATCCAGCGAACACTCCTGGAACTGTTGAACCAGCTGGACGGCTTCGACGACCGGGGAGAAGTGAAGGTAGTTTTCCTCACACATAGCATTCAATTCTCCGCATAAATAGCATAGCGCTGTGCTCGAAATTCGTCATTTTTGGGTTCTTGCTGTTATTGGTCGCAGGCGAACATAGAAGTATGACAACCACAAATGTCATTCTCAGCGAGATAGCAGCAGAATAAAATGAAAAATTCCATCTGCAGGTGATTATGGCGACTAACCGTATCGACACTCTGGACCCGGCGCTGATCCGCCCCGGGCGGATTGATCGCAAAATCGAGTTTCCAGCGCCAGACGAGAAGACCAAACGGCGAATACGGTGCGGAAATCTGCTAGCACAGCATAAAATTTGTCTTTCATGTGAAGTTCTTCCGCATTAGTATGCATCGCGCCTTTAGGACAAGAATCAAGAGATACATCTTTCTGACGCTCGCAGCATGCCCACTCTGCGCCTTCTTGCATTCATGCATGCATAAAGGAAAAGAGAGAACACCCCTCGATAGCGCGAGACATCAAAACATGTTGGTCTAGCAGTTTTCCGAAGGATCTTGAATTTTCCATATTCACACTTCCAAGATGACCCTGCACGACGACGTAAACATAGAAGAGTTTGTGCTGGCCAAGGACGTATGAATTGCAAAAATGTCGGGAGCGGGGAGATAACGAAGATGATAGATACATCGATGTCATGGTTGTGTAAGAGTCTTTAACACTTGCGGCGCGCATAAGCAAGACATACATAGGACTCACGTAGGGGAGCCGTTATGCGTCTCTCGCGTTCTTTTGCCGTGCAAAATAAATCGAAATCATGATGATCACATACTGTTGCAATCTTCTCTGGCTAATCTTGTCGGGGCTTCCACTTTTGTGGAGTTTGCAAAAGTGATGTTGGTCAGGTTTTCCTTCGTGAAACATTGTATCTGCACGAGCACACAGTCGTCTTCTCGCCCCGGACATGTTTGCACGGGACAACTCGACCTCTCTGGAGCTGACATCAAGGCGATCTGCATGGAAGCGGGTATGCTAGCGCTGCGGGAGCGACGGATGAAAATCACGCAGGCCGATCTCCGGAAGGCCAAGGAAAAGGCTCTGTACAAGAAAAAGGGGAACGTTCCAGACGGCATGTATCTGTAGAATACAAAACACAACTACAGTTACATACAACATAAAGGTCTACTTGCTTGCAGTTCGCTGAATAGAAGCTGCTATTCGCACTGATTACGAGGTCAGCACCAGCGCGGATGCGGGCGGAACGAATTTTTTAAACAAGCGCCATGAATCGTCGCCGTTGCAAGGACTTACGGTTGTACTTGTCTTCATCAAGACGACGCGAACGACGAATGTGATGTAGATCCTACGTACGGCATGCGACTTTTTCAACGAAGATAGCAGTCACCTAATGTCCGCGTCTTCCTGTTGGCGATCAGTTGTTGTGGCCATGGAGGCACAGGCTGGCACGAATGTGGACTTTCACTAGTTTACGAAAGTGAAGATGCATCATCCCGTGCTCGTCACGGGAAAGATGATTCATTCCGCGACACCTGGTTGAATTGTTAGCCAACTACACGACGAAGTAACGAAATCAGCAGAAAAGATTTAATTTTACTCCGGTGGTCTTCACCAAAAAGGGAACTGATGGAAGCGCATGTTCCTGAGAACAACCGCCGTGTAGTTTCTTTTTCAACATAAGCAGCTTCTTCTTTGGCGTTATATATCGCGTCCTTTTTTATGCTTATGTACTTCTTAGTACAGGGTCGATAGAAGTGCTGCTGAGAGGGAGGATGCTAGCAGATCTTGATAGAAGAGAGAGCGGCAAATAGGGTTTCATCGCTTCTTGCAAATGAGAGAGCGGAGGTATGATCGATAGGAGTTTCCCTGTTCTTTTTTTTCGAGCGACATATCTCACGGCACATCAGAAGAAAACCGAAAACCGGCATCAGGGCCTTTTCATTCAAGGGGAAAAGTGATGAAATGCGGAAGATACGCTCACTAAATTTGTAGAAGGTCCTTCGGCAGGGCGCTTTGTTTCTTTTTTTCTTTCGACGCTAACATCAATGTGAGGATGATACAGGAGAGGGCGAAGGGAGCTTGATTGGACAAAGAATTGTCCACCGAAATATTGGCAAAGGAGGACAACTCTGGACAGCAGCACGACGTCATATCAGATGAAGCAGCGGGTGGCGTTTCGCATGCTGAGGCAGTTGGGCTTCGTTCCCAACGCCGAGGGCAGCATTGTGATTCGTGAGGAGGAGCACGCCGAGCTTTACGAGTCGCTGCTTTCCTTGGGTTTGCTGCCTCTCCGGCCCGCCTCCGCGGTTCGGAACGAAGGCGGCGGCGGAAATAGTCGCCAACCAGTATTGCAGTGAAAAATGCCCCCCATCCCTAAATTGCAAAAGTTTGTGATGCGAAGTTTCCAAATGAAAACTTTTTGTCATGCATGAAAGGAGTATGGATCTTTCTGATGCAGAATGTAGGCGTGTATCGCATCGCTTGCATGACAAGTGCCGCTCTTGCTAGGGTCTCGTGCAATCCAAATTTTTGCTATTCACTATTGAAAACCTGTGATGCTGATAGATGCAAGAGGGCGAGTGTTTCATTTGGAAAGGTTTGCAATACAAATGCTCCCAAGTTCGGGGGTGGGGGCAGTTTTCATTGTAATAACCAGGCGTGATCCGGGTTCGGGAAGATGGCAGCGCGGACTATCAAATGCAAAAATGTCTGGGTCTGGAAGGTTGAAACTTGTGATGCGCATTTCAGAACACAGAAAAATCTCTCATGCATAGGCAGCAAAAGTTGCCCATTTTGTGTCACCAAAGTCAGAGATCTGTCATGCGGATTCTGCATTGCGAACGCTTCTCGAAACCTGTGATGCTAGAGCTTCCATGCCAGACCTTCTGTGTCATGCAAAAGCAGCATGATTCTTCCAGACCCAGACATTTTTACATTTGATACGGACCGGTTTCTCGCGAAACATTTTCCAGGTCCTGGAGGAGTAGATCCCGAACTGCAAGGCGGCAGGGGTACTAGCTTTGGGTCCAAGAAGATGCAGTTTCCGTTTCTGGCAAAGTTGCTGGAAGCAGACAATGAGGAAGGTGCGCAGGAGCCATCCGATCTTCCCAACGGTTGTGCAAGAGTGAGGTCTGCGACGGCTTCCCTGACGCAGGCGGCGAAAGAGGCGGTGCTGCGACACAGAATCGCCCAGCACGCGGCTGCAAATGTAGTTGAAATTATGGGAACTACTTCTTCTACGCCAGAGGACGAGCACGTCGACGGGGTTGGAGGGTCATCTGCCTGTGCGGAACTACAAGGAGCAAGAAGACGACTTCAGCACGAGAGGTTTGACCTGAGCAAGGCGGAACCGCACGAGATCTACAATGAGAATTACCACGTCACCATTTGCCACGACGAGCTCGAGGACGAGGCGTTCGTGGACGCCTTTTTCACCGAGCAGTTGCTTCCCGAGTTCCCCGGTGGCAATCACGATCATCTCCGTCCGATGTATTCGTCGGAAGACCAACATCCGTGCTCGCCTTCCTCTTTCTTTGCGGGGAAAAGAAACGCAGCCAGTGGCGGGAGCGGATTTATGGCTGGCAGGAAGGTCGACAGAACTACGAAAGAATTTTCACAGGGGCGGGTGAACAACCTTTTTCTGAAGCAGAAGAAGACTTCTAGAGGAGATGCGGCCACCAGGGATCATCGCCCCAACAGGCAAGGCAGAGACCAGGGCGAGAAGGAGATGAGAGACAAGGGAGGTGCAGCAGTGGCAGAAACGCCGCTTTCTGCACGGGCGAAAAACCGTCTGGGCATTCTTCCGCCCGAAGAACATGACTCCGAGGTCACCTCCGAAAGGAGCGGCAAAGCGACCCGCCCGGGGTCGGGACGAGGCACCGCTTTTAAGGCGGGATCCTCATCAGCGGGGAGTAGTGCTGCGTCTGGTGCGGCCGCGCACGGCCACGGCTCGTTTCCGGTGGCAGGCGGGCGAGGTGGACCTGTGTTATTCAGTGCAAATTGTTCATCTGAAATTCCAAAAGTACGGCGGACGCGGAAGTTCGTTACTTTAGCTTGGCATCAAAAGCGATGTGATGCTGCCTTATATTTGCAGAAGAGTTTCTGTTTAGTCCACCATAGGGGGTGAGTTGCTGATGTCAGTATCACTTCCGAAAACCACCTACATCGCGTTAAGCTTTTAGACGGGAGAACGCAGAAGAAGAAGTCCTTGGTCAGATGATGTGCAGCCGTGTTGAGTCATGATAGATTAGTAATTTGCACTGTATGCTATCCCAGCACGGCGTATACGGAGGCCAATTTCCAATACGAGTTGCAGCACCAGAGGATCCACTCCTCTCCGTCGGCCCGGAGGAGGCGGCGGTTGCAAAGCTTCGAGAAGAAAATCAACGCGCCGCCAAAAAAATCTTCCGCCGCTGCGAATGCGGAGGCAGTCGAGGACGTTGCTGAGAATTCGGGTACTAGTTCGGGCAAGCAAAGGAAGCCGTCCATGAATACCATCACCAACACGTTTTGGCACGGTAAGCCGCCACGAGAAAAACCGGACCCCGAGGTCGTGGCGGCTCGGCAGGCGGTGCGTGCCATGTTCGATCGCCTCGCGGAGCCGAGGCAGATCCCCTCTAAGGAGGACGACAAATTCAGTACTTTCCGTAATGCTGATCGACGTCTTGCGAAGAGCTACAGATAAAACCAAAACACAGTCGCGAGCGCTGAAATAAAGTACGTACTAAACGTGAGCTGCAGCTGCATGAAGGTAAAATGCTATTTTTCACAAACGCTGTTGCAGAAAAATTCGAATTGCTTCATGAAATTCTATGACAGAAAACCAAGTCGTCGCCAAGCGGACAGCGGAGGAGCAGCGACTCGCGTGCGAACGGCTGATGCAGAAAAAGGAAAGCAGCGCGTCCCACGCAGGTCCGTCCTTGCAAGAGGATGTGGTCGTGGCTGACAGGACTGCAGAAGAGTCGTCGGAGAACATCAAGCGGGGTAGCAGTCAGAAAGCTGCTCCTTCCGCCGGGCCGGTGCGCTCGGCCGCGCAGCAACCGCAAACTTTTACGGTCGGTGCCGCGTATCGTGCCAAAATCTTGCCGGACAAGAGGAAAGGAGCCAAGGCAGCACACGCTAATTTGGGAGGGGGCGTCGTGCTGCGCGGGCCGCCGGCGAACAGGCATACGAACGCGGTGAAGAGTAAACCTAGTGCGCGCTTCGAGTGGCTGTTCAGCAAAATTGCAGCCGACAGCCAAGTTCTGGTACTTTTTTTTTGGCATCTTCCGTTTTGTCTCTGTGTGAAAGCTCTACGTGTTTCGCGTCCGCCTCCCAAAAGACGAGTTTTTCATTTTCCTGCTCTGGAGGAGCTTGTGTGTTGTGAGAGTGACAGATATAGGGACCTCTAAGACTGTGGAACGAAACGTCGCTGGCAAAATGGAAGCACTATTACACAACAACCGACTTGTTCGACGCCAGGAGCTGCTGGCATTTACCCAAACGGAAGATTTGTGTGTTCGCTCCACGAAATAATGCAAAAAAAAAATAGGTGAACTTCACAAACCTGCGGGGGAACGACGCACGCGAGCTCTTGGAGGAGTGCCTGTGGACGGCAATCATGCTATCTTGAGGAAAAATTCGTCCTTCTCTCCGTACTATGTGAAAGGAGATTTCATCTGATGTTGCACTTGCATACACTACAAGAAATCCACTACGTCTTACATGTGGGGGAAACAAGAGCAACCGGGCACATTCTTTCTCATATTGTAGTTGCGTTATGGCCTACAGCAGAGTAGATGTGAAGAGCGTGTTTAGCTGCTCGGCTCCTGCCGCGCACCTTCTAAACGCGCCTGCTAGGACCACAGGCCGACGACTTGTACACTCAAAGCGGCATTGCAAATGTCCCCTTGATGCAGTATTTTCGGGAGGGAGGATTTTTCGTTCTGACACAAGGTACAGACACAGAGCGACGACGGCAGCAAGTTGAACCTGAGCCAGGCGATGCTGGCGCAGATCCCGAACTTGCCCCAGCTGTGCCTGTGGCTGTGGCAGCAGGGCGAGATGTATTGAGAGGAAAAATCCCCCCTCCCCATATCGAAAAGGTATGTTTCCGAAAAATTGTCTTGCTGATTTGAGACCACAAATCACGTCTGTCTTGCAAGAAGACAACTAAACAGGCTCTGCCGCATTATGCAGGCGGTTTGTGATGCTGTTGGGCCTACAGCATAGACGTTGCTCATGCTAAGCGCCTGGCCAAAACCTCTCTACTCAGGCTTGGCAGGAGCCTGCAGCCCCCTACTGCAAGACAAACCTGATTTGTATACGCAAATCCAGCGTCAGAAGCTTCCTGTTGATATGGGGAGGGGGAATTTTTCCTTGTGATAAGATGCTGAGTTCCTGGGCGTTTGGAAAAATTGAAACCGAATTGCCTTTACTATTCAACGCCATATTCCACGTTCGGGACGACAACGCCCACGAGCGCAGCATGCCGCCGAGCGAACTGCAAGCTTTGCTCTTGGGCGGGCACCGCGACCGGGGTGACGAAGAGTTGAGAAGTGGAGCTTCTTCTTCATCTACAGGTAGCATGTCGAGTCACCGGGTGTACCCGTTTTCAAAGGACACACGGTCGGAGGTCATTCTCGAAAAGCAAGCGGAGTGCCACCGCATCGTACAGGAAATGCAGAAGACCAAAGACCTGCACAGCTTGATCTCTTTGGAGGAGCTCCGGTTGCTGCGTGACTGGCTGCTGGAACTCGCCGCCGTCGGGATTGGCGTTCAGCAGCAATTTGTGCAGGAGGGGGACGAAGGAGAGAAAAGTTCTTCCATCGAGCAAGATCATACGCTGACAAGAACCGGAGAAGTATCACGAAAAGTAGAGTTGTCCGGCGGTGCAGCTGGCGGACCAGAGGAGCCTGCTTGCACAGTAGAAAAGAAGATGACTGGGGAGGCGGTGGAGCCGGGCCAGGAGAGCGAGGAAGCCGCGGGTATCAAGACTGTGAAGACCACCTTCGGGTTCCCTACTACAGGTCTTACTTCAGGTAGAAGCGTCAGCACGGGATCCGCGGTTGTAATAAAAAAAGCAAAAGAGAACGTCAAACAAGATGAATTCACTTTCGAGGAGGAACCCGAGGAAAGCACGAGCGCGGAAGACCCGAGCACGAGTGTGGGCGAGGAAGGGCAGCATTTGCTTCCTGGAGCGTCGTCCTCGTGCAGTTCGTCTTTGGAAGAGCTGGAGGCCACGACTCTGGAGGAGGTTGCCGCATCCGCCTCTACGACACTAACCACAACCGCGACCACGACCGGGCCGGGTGCGCACAGTGGAGCGCAAGAAGGGATCGAGAGACCACGACCTGGTGCTTCTGCTGCTGCTGGTGTGCTGGGCGGGAGAGGACCGGGACAGGAAACCGACGGAGGTCATGAGACAAAAGCGTTTGCGACTTCTTTGTCTTTCCCCCCCTTGTGTAATCCAAAGAGCACGTCGGTACCGGAGCAAGCTTCTTCTACCTCCTTGTCAGCGTGCGTCGACCGCTGCGACGAAGAGGAGCGGAGCAAGGGTGCCGCAGGTGCAGATCCAAAGATAAAAGTCCACGTCGGTCAAGAAGAGGTATCAGGAGCTGCGAGCTGCGCAGAGCCGGCTCTGGTGGCAAAGAAAAAGCGATTGTCGAAGTTGAGTTTTTGGACGAAAGACTCGTTTGTGTGACGATTATTTGTCGTGAGGAGCAGGTGGACTCCCGCAGGTTGTGCGTCCTGCAATCTGGACTTAGAAACGCAGGTAGCATCAAGCCGAATTCATCGAGCGCGGCAGTGCAGAAGGAAGTACTTAGAACACTACTGTATTGGAAGTGACAGTGGACTTGGAGTTCTCAGCCTCTGCAAGTAAAGGACGCATAAGACTTCAGGAAGCAGATTATGATGCAACAAGCAGTCCGAGGTTCGTAATCCCTGAAGATGTCGGTTCTTGCAGTTTCTTATCTACAACTAGATGTCCACGAACCTCTTCGACACTCCTCGCATCCGCATTCGTGCCAGATCTCGAGGACCTTACCGTTATTTCGGTGCGAATTTCAAACGTATCGATTAACAGAACCGAACGTTTACGGCTCATCTGTATAATGTAGTGCAGAAACTGGCTGTCGTGTTGCATCGGTGCGTTGTGTGAACTGTTTGTGTCGGTTATGAACATACTAGTCGTGAAGAAACTATCGCAATCGTAAGAAATGAATTCTTGTCAGTGGTCGTTATAGTAATTCTGCTATCGGTTTTCGTCGAACTTGTAGAACTAAAACTGTGTCAGTGCCCGTAATAAACGCTATAGTGTTTTCCACGTTACTGCTTCCTCATCCGAGATTTTCTGCAGGCTATCATAGCTTGTTGTATTCGCGCTTGTCGTCTGTTATAATCTTTTTGAAAGAGACAGTTTCCAAAAAGTATATACTTTTTAGTTTCCCTCTTGTCTTCTCCCCTTAGTTTGTAGGTTCCCCTATCAGAATCAGATCGATGCAGACCGGCTAGGGTCGACCGCCGCCTCGGATTTCATGAGTTTTAAGCGCCTCGCTCTACCGCTCCTTGCGGCGTCCATGCCGAGTATCGGCAAGTGACCCAAGAGCTGCAACTAGAGGCGGCGAGTAGAAAATCGCTCCAAGATGAAGTATAGTAGATCTTCACTATATTCATCACAGTGCCAGGAGTCGGAGTACCAAACGAAAGCGACCGAATGCCGCGGCAGAGTGTGCAGCCCGATGCCCGAACGGCCAGTGATGTGCACAAGGCGAGCCGGTGCCGCGTGGCGCAGCACGACTTGCTTTCCGTTTCCCACGTACTGGATCGGGACCACCATCACGGATCTCCACCACCGGGTCGAGACCACGAGGAAGCAGACCTAGAAAACGAGCCGCATTCCACCCACGACTTTGCGCGCGACCTGGCGGAGGGACTCACGCGCAAGTCCCACTTCCACGCGCTCGCCCGCGTCGCCAACAATTCCAAGCTGAAGGAGACGGGTATCCCGCGGAAGCGGTATTTGTTTCCGTCCCTGATCCGCATGACTTGCATCGCGGGGGTGTGTCTGGCCCACTACGTCGAGAAACAGTGCAGCGAGATGGCGCACGGGAGCGTGTGGAAGAGAGTGAGGGACGTCAGCTACGCGGACCCTGTGCGGAGCTACAAGAAGGCGGCGCTGGAGCAAGAGTTCGTCCAGCGCGGAGACTATTTTGCGTCCTACGGGGCGTCCACGGCGCACCTGGTTTTGCCGTGGCTGATGGCGCTGAGCGGCACGTTGGAAGGCCTCAGCTCCTCCCCCCTGTGGTCGCGCGTCTTGTGGTGCGGCGTGGTGCTGGGGCTCGGCTTGCTTTCGAACTACCTGAACATGGTGCTCGGGGACGAGGATCCGCGCTTTTCGAAAGAGGACGACTTCGCCTTCAATCTCGTGTACCAGATGGGTTTCATGGTGGTGCTTATCGCATTTACAGTGCTCGTGCGGCCGCTGAAGGTCTATCTAAACGGCGGGAGCGGAATTTCGGTACTACAAGTAATGGGGGGCGGGGAGAGAAGGCGGGAGCGCGACGAGTCTACTGAAGGCGCACGAAAGGGTGGAACGACTTCTGCTTCTACTACGCCCAGTCATGCATTGGGGCAGGTTGGGATCGAAGGAGCGCGCCAAGCCGCAGCCGGTGCTGCTTTCCCCGCCGGATCCGACGCGAAGTCGAATGTTGTGCCTAAGGTTCTTATTTCCCAGGAGACCGTGACCACTGCCAACAGTCCCGACACCAGTGACAGAAGAAGTCTTGCTGTAGTGCAACAGTCACATCAGGGCAGCTCCAGGAAAAAAAGCGCACTGCTGACGAGCGTGCTGGCCCCCTACATGGCGCTTTCCCTCTCGGCCGTTATTGTCGTCAGTGTCGTGGCCGATCTGCCGTATTTTGGTCTTGTCACCAGCCTGTTCCTCCTCGCCGTTTTTCTCCAAGTCACCGCTGGCGTCGTCTCGCTCGCGGCGTTTGCCATCGCAACAATCCTTCTGCAGCTGCTCCCGCACTTTGTCCTGTCGCTCGAGCGCGGCTGGCCGTACGAGAAACCAAACGCAGGCCTCCCCTACCTGAGCTACCAGTGGGCGAAGTTGGCGTATATTTTTTTCCTCGGCTTCACCTTCGGAGGCGTTGTGATGAAGTTCCACGCGAGCCCCGAGGCAATCTCTCGCGCGAAGACCATCCGCGAGAAGCATCTGGAGTCGGCTTTGGAGCAGAGCGGAAACACCGAACAGGACGTTTTTGTTGAAAAAGGAACAGAACACCTGGCACCGGAAGACGTGCACATTTCCGAAGATCCCACGCTTGATGGAACAGAAATGAATGGCGTCGATAAAGAGAAAACTTCTACCCGCCCATCAGCTTCCGAGGAAAATAATGTCGACGAAGCTAGGGTTCGGACCCCGGCGTCGCCAGACTCAAGTGGTCCCAGTGGTTCTTGCGTGTTCCAGGGTGTTTTCCAGGAGACGGTCTTCCCTTGCGTTTTCGCGCTTCTGTTTCCCGTGTTCGGTATTTTCGCGGTGGACAGCATCCCCTACGCGCGGCCAGATCTGGAGTCCCCGGGTAACCAGCTTGATGAGTACGAGTTCTTCAAAACACACCCGCGGTTGAATCTGGATCCGACCACGTGGCCTTGGGATCACGTCTACGATTCGGTTCTGGCGGGGTTGGGGGGGATTCGCGCGACTTCCGCGGCATGCGCGGCTGCAACAACTGCTGGCGGTGCAACGGGACAACCCCCATCCGGACTCGGTTCGACCACTACGGAGGTCTGTTACACCGGCGTGCGGACCGATTACTCGAACCGCACGTCGTTGCTCGGCCAGGCCCTCGAGTCCCTTTTTTTAGACCCGACGGTCGTTTACTTACCGGCCGAGGCGCCCAACCCCCGCGACGAGCTGGAGAAACGACGGTCTCTGCGCGCCACGATGCTGCTGCGCGACTGCGTCCTCTTTCTGACGTTCTTCGCACTGGTGGCGAACAAGACGGAGGACCGGTACGGAATTACGCCGCCGATGGACTACTGGAGTCTGCTCGCGTACGTGTTTCACCCGGTAGTCCTGAAGGGGCGGTGGGTGGAGGACGGAAGCCCGCTCGCGTTCTTAGGCTTTCTACTTTCGACCTTGACCCTTACGATGGCGGTGCACTTTCTTCTGGTGCTGCTGTTGAAGGGGCGGGTGGCCAAGCGGCTGCAGGAACGACATGATCTTCACGCGGCTGGCGTGAAGAAACAGGCAAGTAGTGCAACTTCCGTTTTTGAAGAAACAGCCACCGGACCGAGCGACGAAGTGTCCGCGGTGAGCCACGAGGAGACCATGGGAACAGGTCCCGAGAACTCGTGTGTGGGGCCTGAAGTAGCAAAGGTGATGTTGCGTCCACGTGCGCGTCTGGAGGCTCATATGATTTCCTCGAAGACGTCCGGGGCCACCGTCGACGGACCAGCGCCTGGAAGAACTGCTACTCCAGAAGCTGAGGAAACAAGCCTAACGTTCGCGCAGCGCCTCGACTTTGCTTTGTTGGAAAAGGCGAAAACGCAACACCCAGTGACAACGGCGGCCGAAGTTGCGATTCAAACTTTTGTGCCAGGCGGTGGAAGATCTTCGGGTAGGGAGAGCGTGCGCGAACAGGTGGCGCATGCCGTGCGGACGGCTGCAAACTCGGAGCTGCGCCGCGAGCTGCAGGATGCGTACTTAAACAGCGAGCGGGCCTGAGTAGAGCACTTATAATGGTTATGCAGGAGGAGCCCCTTGTCCTCATGTGCTGTGAATGATAAAAAAATCGAAGGTCGTAGGAATCGAACGTGACTACTGGCAACCAAATCATATGAATATGTGCTACTTTTTCGACGCACCTCCGAGTAGACAGTGTAGTTTGTGTAGGAGGTGGTAACAGCTCCATCCGAGAGGAAAACAGTACTAGAAATCAGTAGACAAAAAGACCGGAGCAGGAGGAAACAATTGAAAAACTGAATTGGGTACTTTCTGGTTCTGTTCTCGTCTAGCTGGATTCCAATTCTCGCAGCTCAAAAAAGAAATTTTCTGTTTGATTTTGCGGGTTGAATCGGAAAATCCACCGAAACAAACAGTTTAAAGAAAAAGACTAAGTCCGACTCTTGGAATGAATAGGATTTGAATGAGTCGCGCAACTCTTCCTCTGAACGATCTGCAGGGTTTATTTTTGCCTTTTGCTCATGCTCTGAACTTCTTCAACTTATTGTTTTCAGCAATAAAGAATGATCAGCAATCAGCTGCAAGGATCCTCTGCGTTTCCACCTCTCTCTTCATTTTTGATCAAACATGCAGTAAGGAGCCTCTAATGCTGTCAGAAACCGTAACCTCTTTCGTGATCTTGTCGGCGGTTTGTCATAATGGTCTTGCTTGCTCCGTATGCGTATCGGTTAAGTTCGTGGTAAAAAATATTATTTGGATATTCATCCCGACATTCATTTGCAGCAAAGTGCTTCTTCAATTCCTTTTACTACAAGCAGACAGACAGAAGGGCAGTGTAAAAGTAGTTTCTCCAGATCCAAAAAAGAGCTGCCCTAGCGACTGCGACCAGCGCGATTGTTCGCTGCAAGCTAGTTGTTTTGCTTGGCCCACGGAGTGCCAGCTTCATCTTGCTAGCTTCATCTTGCTGCATATAGACGCGACGAGGATGCGGACCACTTTGAGCAGGCTGCTGCTGTTTGGCTCCTTGGTGGCACTGCAGCAAGCAACTGTTGTGCGCGGTGGTGGCCACGCCACGGTAGAGGACGCAGACGAGGCCCCACTCTTCGCGACAGGTTTGGAGTGACAAAGATATATATTTGCTTTTCTCGCCGTGCATAGGTTTTTAGTATTTTTTCTACTGGCTGCTTCTGCTAGTAACCAAAACAAAGTGCTACCTTTAGTGACATGTCGGAGGGAAATTAAACCTCGAAAAACAGACGACGCCGCTTCCAAACCCGCCGGCGCGGATACCGGCGGAGGTGCGGATGGGAAGAAGTTCTCCGAGGTGGGGGACCTCCAGTCTGGGGACGCTTCTAGTACGACGGGGAGTTCCACCGCCAGTGGCTCCGGCGACAGCACCAATGCGGGCTTGCCCGCCTGGGCGCTCCTGTTCCAGAGCGTGCGGCATCCGCTCATTTTGGTGTTTCTTGTCTTCTTCGGGTGGCGACACGTGGGAAGATGGCGTAACAGCAGAATAGCGCAGTCCGTGTTCGTATGGATCAAGTAAATGTAGCTTCGTCATGCAGGAGCGCGGAGGCGGAAAGATTTTTTTACCACTTTGATATGGGTTATACGCAGTCGGATTTTGTGTCTATAGCTATTCGGCTATCTGTATCAAGAGTATGGCTCTACTTCGGCTGCCATTTTTGTCAGTGCGATTCTCTTTGTATATTAGTCTCGTCTGTGCAGAACTTCTCTTTGCGTGCGCGTACTGTACACATGATGCTTGTTTTGCGTTCGATAAGACGGCCCGCTGTCTGGTCCGGAGTTTTGGAAAGCCGCAAAAATAGCGAAAATGACAGAGATGGAGGAAAAAGAGTACATTGGATATGTTTTTTTGTCCCACTGAGTAGCAACCTAATGGTAATAGAATGAAATCCAAGGTGATATTATGCTAGTATGCCAAGGTAGAGATGATCCAGCCACGAAGATTTTTCGGCGCAAGAGAGTGATTGTTGTGATTTGGTTTTGCGGCCGCATGAAAGAGTACTTAAAACTTCAAATTTTGATTTCAGCGGTACAACCCGCTCAGGCGTTACAATCTCAAACGTTACAATAGAATCTGAGATTTGTCTTGCGTGATAAGCATGATCTAGCCAACTCCCATGTGATTGCGCATGAGAAATTCCGGAGCTCCAAACCCCACTACAATGTGGGGAAATTTGTATTGCAAAAGGTGGCACGCTGCGCGAGTCTGTCATGCCGATCATGCAACAGAAATTCCAGATTCTATTGTAACGTTTGAGATTGTAACGTTTGAGCAAGTCATAAGCGGCCATATCTTCGAAGCGGTTGGGCTGACGGAAAGGAACGCCGGGTTCTGCATGATGGTCCAGACGCAGCGCCGAGTATCGTGAGAAAAAAGTGTTACTACAGTTGCACACTCAGATGCAAGACCAGCAAGACAGACAACCTCTGTCATGCAGGAAATGCTTCTCAGTCCCATTTCATAGGTGTTTTCCCTTAGAGCTACGCTATGCGGACCAACTTTGTGATGCTGTAATTGCAACAAGTGTGTAAGTAACTGTAGCACTTTTTTCCTGTGATACCGAGAGGATAGTTTTTACTGCATGTTGTATCCACAGTTTTCTCACGTTCAACGCAATCGAGCTCTGCAAAAAATTCCTGGCTGGCAATTCTGTAGTATCGACAAAATGCATTTATTCTGCCAACGATGAAGCGTAAAAGTATTCACAATCTCTAGAGCACCCTGATCACTGCGAGAGCTATCCCTTTCCTCGCGCAGCCAGTGTGCGACCGCCTCTGGCGCTTTGCTCGATGCCTGTTGATAGAACTTTTCCATTTGCACACATTTTCTGGATGGATATGGCCCGACACGGATCGCCTGATTTTGGAGATTGAGCTCCGTATCTTAACTTTTGTGGTGTTTGGTCTGATATGGATATCGCTTTCCGTTATGAAACTGTGTGTGCGTCGAGTAGGCACTACATAAAAATTGACAAATATCAAAAACGAACAACAGCCGACCTGGACCCCTACTCAATCGCCATTCTGCGCAAGGGCACCAGCCACCGCACGGAGCATCGCAACCTGAAGGAGAGCAAACCGCGGCTGAAAGTGCAGTACGTGGACGCTGGCGAGTACCTTGTCGTGGCCGATCAAACGGAGCCGTTGACGCAATTAGTTGAGACGAATTGCATTGAAGACTCCCTGCTGCTGAAAATTTTGAACACGCCCCGCTGCAGCAGTGCATCAGAGCAAAAAGGAAGCAAGCCCGACCCGACGAACGCGGATACAAAGCTAGTGGAGTGCGTGCACATCTCGTACAAGTACCAGCGGCATTACTTCGGCGTGTTGGCGCAGCGGTTTCCGCCGATGCCGATTTTGTCCGTGACGCTCCGGGTCGACGAGGGTGTAGTGGAGACGGCGCGGAAGATTTTGCCCTTGATGGCAAAACTCGCGGACCAGGCGGTGAGCAAAGTGAAGCTGCCCGAGTCGCTGAAGAAAAAGATCGCGCTGGCTGCAAACAGTGCGGGGACGACCAGCGGCGGACCTGGTGGTTTGGGTAGCAAGGCGGGCGACGGTGCCAGTAGTGCAGCGGATCAAGCGAATTTTGAATCCAACTACCAGCGGCAAAAGCACTTGGAACGGCAGGCTCACGAGCGGAAGCTCGCGAAGAAGAAAGAGGAGCGTGCAAAGGTGCTGGAAATGACACCGGAGCAGCAAATGAAGTACGAGGAAAAGGAGCGGCAGCGAGAGCTAAAAAAGCGCATGACGGGGGGAGGAAAAATCAAGCGCATGTCAGTGGCCGCGTAGAAGTGTCGCTCCCGGTGGAAATACGACCGCCTGAAGCTTTGTAATTGTGCTGTTAAGGTGGAGTGCTGCAGCACCATTGTAGAAAACTTGTACAAATGACGTGAATTATCGTAGCTGCTCTAGCGGGCTCGACGCCCGACGCGGACGAGCCAGAAAGACTCTACTTCCTCGCAGGGCGGCCAGAAATTCTGCAAGCCGCGTAATCACTGTGTCCATTTTTTACATCATTTTCAAATCGCGACGTTTGATTGATGTCAGTAAACCACGTGGTAGACTGCACGTAAGCCGTTGTCATTTGATCCGGTGATGATACAACTTTATGCGGTGTAATTCTCACGGCTATTCTGTTTTCAATTTGTTTTTGTTCCCGAGTTGCGGTACGAGCGTCCTCCCTCCGAGTGTTGACTTCCTCACTGCTGGTTTTTCAAATGTTTTTGTACTTGTACTCTTCCGGCTGAATTCCCGTACGCGAAGAAAAGACTAAAATAGAGGGCGGCGCGAGTGAAAACTGGGGTGCGGCCACATACGTAGTGGGTCTGTGACACTTAGTCGTACTTGCATTGTTTTATTATTCCTCCGTGCTAAACAACATCAATAAGCAGAAGCACCACGAAGGCGAATTTGCAAAAGTCCTTGTCTGCTAGGAAGATGTCGGCCGCTGCTGCGTCCAGTCATCAACCAGCTCAGACGGTCGTAACCGTGCTGAGCAACAACCAAAGCACTCACACTTCCCCACCCTTGCCGCCATACTTGGGCGGGGCCGCGCAGGGAAACGTGCGCATCTCGGTGTTTGAGCCGAAGGAGTTTCCGGCAAATCCGAAGGTGGAATGTTGGGAGGTAACGATCAAGCGGGTGCGAGAGCAGCTGGTGCTGTGGAAGGAGACGGTGCGGGACCTGCGCTTCACGGTGGACATCCCCACCACGACTGGTTCTTCGCATAGGACCCCGGGCACGTCTCACAGCAACAGCGTCTCGCCGCTGAACGCAGCACCCAGCAGCCTCGGGCTGAGCACCCCGTCGCAACGGTTCCAGCAGAATAGTGCCAACAACACCAGCCACCGCAGCCGCACGCCGTCCGGCGAAAACCCTGCTTGGGGCGGTGGCAACAATAAAGCCACGACGGTTCTATTAGACGAAAAGGATGCGATCGTGCTCGAGTTTTTGCCCCAATACGACCCCGCGTGGGTGACGTTTCTGACCGAGAACGGCCTGAGCGCCAACGCGGGCGGGTCCGCCTCCGCCGCGGACAATATGTACCACTTGAATATCCCCCTGACGGCGATCGCGCTGGACAAGTTTCCTTCCTGGTCCGGGACCAGCGCGCTGTACCCGCGGCTGCAGTACCCCGCGGTAGACCAACCTTTCTACTTCCAGAACGCCGTCTCCCTGGGGCAAAAGGTGCGGAAAAACAACTCGCCGAACGTGAAATTGGCCTTCCAGTTTCTGCCGACAGCGATGAGGAGTTGTGAGGCGCAACTTCCGGACGAGAAAATTGCAGCCGGAATCGGAGGACCGCAAACTTTGCTCCTGCCGCTTTCATCTCGGGACGGGCAGTTTCAGCAAGATCAGCGATTACCCCCACTCGGGGGGAGTGCGATGAATCACAATCAACAACAAGAGATATTAAATGCTGCTTCGGCACTAGCTGCAGCAACAGCTGCGCAAGTGGAGGTTGACTCAGGCAATGCGTCTGCGTTAGATTTGCATCGCTTGCGTGGCTCGGTCGCCTACGCACGGCTGCTGCATCTCCAGACACTGCCTGTGATTCTACCCGCGGAGATAAACTGATGAATTGGAATTGAAGATGAATTGCTTCGCCGTCTTTCTATTTGTAGTACAACAGCTAGTTGCGGCAACTGGCGGTTGCGCCAGCTCTCGAAAATGATACTCGTCTGTTCGATGAGACGCACGGCAGCACAAAGGCAGCACTGTGCTTTCTACAGACACCTGACTCACCTATTTTCGCCGGTCGTTTGCTGTTCTGCATGGTTCGTTCTGTTGACGGCGTTTTTTCGTCCTGACGGCGTTTTCTTTTGACGTCCTTTTTGCTAATTTTGCAATGATCTAACGCTTGCTTCTATCTTTGCTTTCACTTCTCGTTTCCGTTCTTTCGTTTGTCCTGTTTGAAATTTTTGGTTCTTTGCTCGATCGGATCTGAACAAAAATGTCGGGGATAAAGGCACTGACATATCGCGTTGCTGCAAAGAAGATAGGTGAAATACAGCAAAGTTCCTGAAAGGTATAGTCGGAGCTAGGTGTAGAGAGGGTAAGTGGCCGAAAATACGGATTGTCTAGCCTAGTGGGGACGCGAACGCCAGAGAAAATTACGGACACAGGCACGAAGAAGCACAAAGTTCTTCTGTCGGCGAAATAGCAGGAGAAACGGCAGGGTCCCGGCTTGGAGGAGCAAGTGGCGCATTGTCAACCTATCTGCGACCACACTGACCACCCTGGAGCTGGAGAAGTTGGAGTGTGAGTACTTGCACTTACCTCCAGATGCGCACTTCGCACGCGGTTGTGATGTCTTCCGTGCCGGAGGAGGAGGAGTTGCCGGGGTCCGAAATGAGTCGCAACAAGGTGAATGATAGCAGTATCTCGTCCTCCTATGTCGGGGAGGAGGATGCGGTTTCCGTTTCCTCCAACGAAGACGCTTTGTCCGTGTCGGCGAAGCGATATCACACAGCAAAAAGTGATGCTTGTAAATGCAAAAGATAAAGGCTCGATACAACGACACAAGCATTAATAAACGCTGCTGCGTGTTGCTTATTACCCATTACAGATCAATACCATTTTGTTTTTGCCATTTCCGCATCTTTTTTTTCTGTGTGATGATTGGCGCACAAAGGTGTCCGAATCCCACAGTTCCGGGCTGCACTTGTCCCCGACGGCCGGTGGTGCTGGTGGCACTGCGGCCGGGGCCAGTTCTACTTCCTCGTCTTGCGGGATCAACAATTATCTCACGGAGACAAACCTGAACAGAAACTCTGGCACCAATCAATACCACACGACTACCGAGACGCACAGCAGTTTTCATCTCCGCGGCCGATCGTCCGACGAGCATTCCTCCAAAGGTCGGTCGTCCCTGCAGGAACAGTTTGGAGGCGAGCTGCAACCAGGCCCCGCGGAGGGGACGACCTTCTGCATTCCCTCCTTCGTGCAACACAGCCGGCAAAGTCTGCAGGACGGTTTCAACGCGCTCAGCGGCGGAGGAAGTGGAACAAATTTTACAATCACGTCATCCAGCTACGCCCCCGGGACGGTCAAAAAAGAAGCCGGAACGGCGGAGCACCAGGGTGCGTACGATGGAAACAAGCAGAAGAACAAGGGTAAGCAGCTGTTCACGGCGACGTGCTTGCTGATGCTGCTGTTGCTGTCCGTGATCCTGTGCCTCCTGTGCATCGCCGTTTACAATCACGTGTTGACCAACCAGTACAACGGAAACTACATCCGTCGCTCCTTTTTTTCCACGCTGAACGCGCACAAGAAGAGCGACGAGCACCAGAAGCAGGGCGCCGACGCCTTCCGCCACGCCGGGTCTTCGAGCAGTGTAGACAGTGACGTGTCGTCGTCGAGGGACGACGATGGGGAGCTGCTGCAAGCTGGGCGTAGTGACGGACTATCATCTGCAAGTTCCTCTTTGTTCGGAAGTAGCAGGAGCCTAGGTTCAAGATCATCACCTTCGCAAAGATCTGCCTCGTCCCCTACCGCCGAATCGACGCTCGGGGGAGCCAATTTTGCGACAAATAGTAATGTGGAAGAACAGGAACATCAACTTATGGCAGAGGGAGAACCGTTAGAGGGTGGGAGACGTCGTCCCCAGGAGGTCGACATTACGGCATCCAGATCGAGCCGCGATTCGTCGTCCCACTCCCTTGATCTGTCTATCTAATGAAAAATTAATACCTTGAATCGACTGGGAAGTGTTGGTTTGCTTTCTCTGGGCCTTCTGATGAGGATAATTCCACAGTACTCCAGTACGTACGCACATCCGTTTTATTTGTCTGACTCCAGGTACTAGTTTTCGTACGATGCAGTCGGTGAGTGATTTAAGCGCTTTCTCGAAAAGCGCGACGCCGTCTGGAACTCGTGGTACGAATGGCGTGGGGATGAGCGGCAGCAGCGCTTTTGCGTCCAGCCCGCTAAAGCGCAGTCCGAGTACGCAATCGACGACGTCTTGGTAGTAGGCACGGCAAGTAGGAGTGTTTCCTCGTACAATGTATTGATTTATCTGCTCGACTAATTTCCATTCTTAAAAGGAACGCCACAACTACAACCACGTGGACGTGTCATGCATTTTGTACGCACAGTAATTACTTTAACTTTTACAACTTTTGTAGTACAGCGTGGAGATACAACAACTTTTTCCTTGCATAGGCACAGCTTGGAGGGAAGTCAGAGTTCCTCGTCTCTACCTCTGGCTGCGTTGTCCGAGGCAGAACAGAAGGAGTTGCGGACCAGCAGCGGCGCTACAGCAGGAATTGCCAGCGACGCAAGTCTCCGCACGGGCCATTCGACATCCTCTGTCTCAGGAAGTTCTTCCAAAGTACCCGGTTCTGCTCCAAGCAGTGCACGAGCTGCGTCAAGAACACCGGATGTTGAACCAGGCATCGCAAGAACAACTCTCACGGAAGAAAAGCTTCTGCAAGTTCCGGAACTGCAGCTGGGGAAAAATGAGTTTGAAGTTGGCGACAAGAAGCGGAACAACAACGACGAAGTCCTGTTCACCGGTGTGCGCCATCAGTCGAAAATAGTACCATTCTCTGCGATGTTGAACAAGAACGGAAAGGACCTCGACGCTCGTCTTGGCCCTGGTACGACTCCGTCCGCCTCGTCAACAAACCTTCCGCAACTGACCACCCGCGACCACGAATCGCCGTCTTCGGATGCGGCGACGGCGACCTACTACGTGGATGAGTACAACCGCGGGCCTGGTGGCGGTCTGCAGGTAGACAACACGATTTTGCTAACGTCGGATTCCGCCTCGGATTTGCTCAAGTTGTCCGACGCGCAAATTTTGGAACAGATCGAGGAGGAGGACGAGGAAGGAGGTGCCGCCGCAGAGACCACTGCGGCCAACCAGAGGATCCACAGGGTGCACAAATACAACGGCGGCGAGCGGACTGGTGTTGAAGAGGGGCAGCTTTTGTCTTCTGCAACGGGCTCATCATCTTCCAGTTTTCCATCACCGACGGAAGACGTTACAACAATTCCCGAGCGACAACAAAAAGACGGCTCAGGGGACGATGCAGAAGATTCCTCTACCGAGCCGGAGATCAAATCTCGGGAGATCCACTTCAAAGTTCCCGCGGACCACACGCACGATCGAGAATCACTGGGTTCCTATCCGAAATCACCGCGAGGACACGCGAAAGACTCAGGTGCGGCGCAAAGTGTTGCGGGAGGTCTCGAGGAAGGGGAGAAAAATGGGGGGTCGCTAGGCGTCGCTTATGAAGAGGGTGGTCGTGAAGGAGCAGAGGAGAAAGAAGAAACTACTGAGACCAGCACCTACAAAGAACCGCCCCGCGGTGGGGGACTGGCCGCGCCGGCGGACCAAGACACGGAGGTCGCAGGCGATGAGGAACTGCGTGTCGGTCGCACAGAGGAAAAATTACAAGCGGGCTCGGAAGAACAAAATTTGCTCACGAAGACTCCAGACGACGACCGTAGGATGGTCGAGATGTACTTCAAGCAGCAAAAGCGAAACCAGGAAGCGGCTGAATTAAGTTTACCGAACCAGAATCGTCGCGAAGGCCGGTCGCGGACGCCGTCGACCCTCGGGACCTACCCGAAAAGCCCACGCAGACGGTCCATTTCCACTGACAAAATCCTGATGCCGAGGTCGGCAGAGCAGACATTTCCGAGCAGAGAAACGACTGCAGCCTCCGACACTGGTAAGCGGGAACGTCGCGCACAAGACGCCCAGAACGTGTTCAAGAGCGATCTGTTTTTTTCCGTTTTGAAATTTCCGCTCGACGACGCGACGGAGTTGCGGGACGATGGTGCGGAGATGGGCGGTCGAAAAGCCAGCCGCCTGCGGTACCGACTCCCCGAGTTGGATCTGGAGGAGGCTCTGAACATGGTAAAAGCAGCTTCTTCCAGTAACACCGCGGCTGCAGTAGACGCCGATGTTGGAGCAAGAACGATCTTTCAATCGGCGGTGCTGAGCTACAGTCCCTCTACGCAACTGTCCGCCGTCGCGCTCGCACCGCCAATGCCGGTGGTCAGTACAACCAGCAAAATATTGCAGAATGTCGTCGTCGAACTGCCGCCGCCGGTAGAAGAGAACGAGACCGATACTGCGCAAAAAAGTGATGTTCATTCTGGTCAGCACGAGCGAGTCGCAACCACCTTGCAGCCGGATACGGTCTTCATTCTGTGTTGGTATTTGGTGAAACACGAACAGCCAGAAGAAGGAGAAGATCTTCAAGGAGCGGAGGAAAGAACTACAAGCACGAGTACTTCTCATTTTCCAAAAGACCATGCATTGGATTCGCAGCGCGAAAAACTTCCTTACATGCTGATTGAGAACGCGGGGAAGGTGTACAGTGCGCTGCAGAACGAAGTTTTGCTGGACGCCATCGAAACCTCGGAGGACGCCTACCCTAGTACATTGGCGAAGCTGAGTACAACTACAGAAGGATTCGATAGCGAAGGTAGCCAGTTATTCAGGTCGGAGGTTTTTAAAAGCGGGGAAGATCATGAAGCAGTTACCCGCCCGCAACAGGCGCTCAACACCGCGGTGGACAACCAGGACTACAGCGGGGACCTCCCTGCCATTGCACCAAAGACCGTCCTTCCGGAGCCAGAGGAAATTTTCTATTCCGCCAGCTCACAGCTCCCATTCGAGTCCGTCAAAAGTAGTGCTTCTAATCCGATTACAACACCTTTCTCGACTAGAGGAGGAATTGGGGCCACCACAGGCTCGGACATTAGTGAGAACGACTACCAGCAGCTTATTGAGTCGTCAGAGTCGCTGGCGAGTGGGCGCAAGGACCAAGGAAGTGCTGTTGCTACTGTTCCGCCGGTGCAATTAGGGGGTCCACAACATCTCGGCTCGCAGCAAGAGCAGGACGTGCCCCCGCAGATGACACAGTTTTTGGGGAACGTCGTGCGCAAACTGCTCCAGGACGTGAAGCAAGCTGTAAAGAGCGAGCGCAACTGGCAGAGCTTTGATCTGACGCATGCCGCGACGCGGCCGGCGCGCCTGAAGCAACTCTACGCAGTGTTCAGCTTGCTTCCCCGAGGGAAGTATGATTTGCGCTTGCATTTTGACTCCTTCGATAAGGAGCCTAGTAGTGAAGAAACAAGTAATGGTTTATTCGGGGCACCACAAGTGGGCACCGAAGGTGAGGGTCGCCGTGAAGGAGTGTTGTCCCTGCAACGTGGACGAGGGGACGATCATGCGGCTCCCAGTGGCACGACATCAGCGGTGACCACTTCAAGTGCGTCGAATGGTGCCCTCGACGTGCCGTCAACTACTGCGGAAGAAGTTCATCAATCTTTTCGTGCCGCGAAGTACCTGGACGTGTCCTTCGAAAAGTCCGCCGCTGGGGCGCTCTCACCTTCCGGGCGGAACCAGCAGACCGCTGGGTCCACGTTCCTATGGATTGCAAAAATGTCTGGGTCTGGAAGATTGCAACTTGTCGTGCTGTCTTTGGAGTCTAAAAATATCTGTATTGCGTGACCAGCAACAGGAGTCCAGTTTGTGTTACGCGGAGAGGGAATTTCTCATGCGGAAGAGTCATCAGGAAGCACTCTAAAAATCCGTGATGCTAGATCATGCATTACATGCATCATGGATCATACAAAATATGCATCACAAACCCCGGAATCTTCCAGACCCAGACACTTTTGCAATCCATAGTTCCAGCTGTTGCACCATCCCGCGATCGAAGACGACCGCAAGCACCCTATCCTATTTAAAAACGTCAGCACCCCATAGTTGTAATGCAAATCTACATGCTGAAAATGTTTTTCATGCGGAGCCCCATGAGAAGCAGTTTCTAGTCGTGTTTTGCAATTTGTCATGCTCCAATCAGCATAGTATGCTAGGTCTGCGATGCTGCTGAGCTAGCTCAAACAGCACTACACTACGAGTCCAAATTTGTGATGCAAAACAGCCAAAACTTGGGGATTTGTCTAGCCGATTCCCCATCTTGACTATGGTGTGGGGACATTTTTACTCAGGATACACCCGGGGTCGCTCCTGCTGGGCTTCAGCTTTGCAAAATTTCTCAAGATCAACCGGGAGTTGTCGCACATGCGCTTCGTTCGACCGGGCTCCGAGGGCGCGGGCCTGTGGAAAATCATTCAGGCAGAGTTTTTTGGAGCTGCGCGCGGCGGCGACCAACTCCTAAACGGTGGAGCGAACAATCAGGTGAACAGAGCAGGGGCAGCATCGTCGATTACGGCTACGAATTCGAATTATTTATCTAGCGGGACCACGAGCGCAACAAGAGACGGCGACTCTGGTGCGCTGAGCAGTTCTGCATTCGGATTAGCAGGGGCAAGCCACCTGAGCAAGATCATGCAGCCGACCTCGCAGCACCCCTTCCAGCACGCCAGCCGGGGATCGTTGTTTGCGAACCCGTGGCACGACGACGACGAGGAAGTAGACCATTACGGTGCCTCCACCGGCGCACCGGCTTTCGAGCAGCACGACGAGGACCAGAGCTACTTCCATCGCTCGGGACCTTCTTCTACTCCCTCGCCTGCCAGCAGCGCAACGACCCCCTTGGTCAGCAAGGTGGAGATCTTGCGGAAGCACCACGAGAGAGCGACGTCGAACAACATCAAACATTTCGATAACTTTGAGATATTTGTGATGGCGGACAACGGATCCAACGGCTCCGTGGACACCTACCTCGGGACACAAATTCTGGAGACGTACATCCAGAGGAACATTCCGCTCTACGAGCGCCTGCACAAGCTCCCGGCCCTACAGTTTCCGGAGGTTTTGCCCCCCGACGGTGCTTGCTTCGGCATCGTGCTGGCCTTCCTGCTCACGTCGATTCGCAACTACGCGTTCGGAGCGCAGCAGCCGTCACCGCAGCTCGCGGGCACGAACGACATAGAAGGAAAAAGTACTCAAACTACCAAGAAGCTATCAACTTCGTCGTCGCTGTTCTCGCCGGAGGCTTTGAACCGGTTTCAGTCGCCGAATATGCTGCACCGAACGCTGCAGGCGGTGTTCGAGTCCGTGATTTACTTCGACCGTGCGCGCGAAAAGAAGATCGGAAGCCATTACGGGCGCATCATCAACGGGCTCAGTTCGTTGTTCGGGTTCGAGATTGGCGCCCCGAAGACCTATTTTCTGGCGGAAGACCCCGAACTGCTACAGCCGCAAGTAGGTGGGAGCACAAGCAGCGAGGATGCGAGCGAGCGGAGGACCCCCGAGAGGACAAAAAGAACCTCGATTTTGCAGCAGGTGTTCACCGATGACATCCAAGATGGTCTCTACGTGTTTACCATCGGCAAGGACGGGGACCAGCACGCCACCGCGATTGCGAAGGTGGACAATCAGATTTTGTGGCTGGAACCGAACCAGGGGCTCATCTTCTTCGAAACCTCGGCCGCTGACAAGCTGAAGCCCTACATCCAGGTCTACGAGAACCTCGCGTCCAAGGACGGCTTCCAGCGCCACAGGGGAAAATTGTACCCGGTGCGGGGCATCGCGGAGCCCGACCTGAACCTGCTGCAGCTCGCTGAGCGGGCTAATGAACGGCCGTGACATGGTCTACTTGGGGGCCGGAGCAGAGTCAGGATATCTGGCAGTCCTGGAGGCTGATGCAGTACCTAAATTAAACAAGACAGCATATTGAGGATGATGCAATATTAGAGTACAATCAGTTGTCGCCCCTTGGCTAGGAACAATTGTCGATGACAATAAAACTGTAGTAATCTTCCGCCACCTGTAGGATTATATGCAAGCACGACTCGGCCACCTGTATTTCTCTTTCGTACTATTCACTATGATGTTTCCTCATTCGTTTCGATTCTTGGCACGTAAATGAATCTTGTCTCGCCATATTTGATGGGCAAGAGTAGCACTTGATAGCGTGTGCTTTATGAATGTAGTTTTGTCTGCTAAACGAAAAATGAAAGATTAGTTCTCCTTCAATCAAAATAGATGCCGCTCCGTGTATGTGATGGAAAGTCATAGTTAGTAGTCGCAGAAACTATGATTTGCGAGACGAACCGTCCTAATTGTCCTGACTATCTTCGGCGCGGAGGCGCAAGTCGCGTAACTTCTTGAAGTAAACACTTTTCCCCGTCATCTCAATTCCCCCTTAACTTGCCGCCTTACTCTTCACGGACATGGGGGATGACATCAGCGCGTAGAACGGTTTGAACCAGACTCGGGCTACAAGGCCACAGGTAAACTATCCCAGTGTCTTCCGGCCGGCCTTGACGCAATCTGACTACTAAAAACCTCGCGGTAGCTGGGGGGCGTTCTAGTCTTCGGTCTAGTTCGTCGCCCTCTACCAGGCCTGTACTACCTGAAAGCAGAACTTCGGCTAGGGCAACAAGATCACATCAAGCAGCATCCGCGAGCAGCATCCGAACCGAGAGTAGTCAGCCGGGCCATTTCTGAAGGCGCTGCGAGGTGGGCGGAGAGGCATCACGCTAGCAGTTGGACGGGAGCAAGGCCAGCGTTCTTCTGTGTGATGTTCGTCGTTTTGCGTGCGGGTTTGGCCCTCTTCTACCCCCCGAAAAAAGGGGAGTCTCCAGACCCTTATGGTCGTCCCTGCCGCCGGTGGTAGCGTGCGCGTCGCCACTCTGATCTGATCTGACTATGTAGGTTATCTCTCTCTCTCTCTTGAAGTAAACACTTTTGCCAATAGAATGTAAATTTACGACCTTGCTTTCAGCATTCGTGTTTTATGTTTCGTTCTGCCCGCACTTTCTTTTTGCATTTGGAAATTTTCATTGTTGTCTGCAAAACGCACAGATGATTCTGCACTGTCTGCAAAACACAAAGGAGTGAATATCTTGGCGATGATGTTGCTACGGAAACGGATGCAAATTTTGCATTCCTTTGCACTGAGCATTGGGCTCTTCCTTCTAGTCGTGCAAAGCCTTTGCGTATGATATCAGTCGTTTCTTGCCTTCTGTGCGATTTTTTCAAAAGAGGCGACAGCATTCCATTCATGTTTTTCGCCAGTCGTTTTGATTTCATTTTGCTTTGCTCTCGTGCGGTCGCCTTTTGGTGCATATTAACACGCAAGAGAGATGAATTTTAAAAGTTAAGACGCCGACGACATTTTATCACCTTCTGTTCTTTGTTTTTGTTTTTCTGAAATTTTTTTGGGAACCAGCAGACAGTTTGTGAGTTCGGTCTTCCGGTTCCAAGTACTAGTACTCATGTAAGAAACAAGCCACACCGCCGGCACCATGGGGCAGTGTTGCGTAAGCGGTGGGCAGAGCCATGCTGCAAGTGAGCTGGAGTACGACCCCCGGCACACACAAATACGCCCGATCGACAACACAATCGAGGAAGAGGCGGCGGTGGTGAAAACGATTTCCTCAACCGAGGAGGCGGAGAAAATTTTTGCTGCGCAGAGCAAGGGCAAAAGGGGAGGGGTAAAATAAGACTCGTGTTGAAAAAAGCCCGTGAAGCAGATAAGCATTTAGAGTTGAAGTTCGCGGCTCTATTTTTAGTGTCTCGCCATCATCCTTTTCCTTTGCTTTATTTTCAACAGTTGCGTCACCGCTTCATCTGTAAATTTGTAGCGATGCTCGAAGGCGGAATAAGTAGCACTACCCTGCTGGTATAAACAATTAATACAATTGCAGGTTTCCGCGACGCCTCTGACAGAACAGCAAATCAAGAATTTCAAACCGCCCGTTTACCCAAAAACTGCGGAGGAGAAGCAGCTGTTGACAAAAATCGTCCGTGAGAACCAGAAGCTGCAGGTGCATTTCGGCCACCTGGAGGCGGGAAGCTTAGAGGCCGCCGTGGATGCGATGCGGAAAGTAGAGGTGGAGAGCGGCGAGACCATTATCACCCAGGGCGAACTCGGCGACGCCTTTTACATCGTGGAGACCGGGGCGTTCAGCATTTACGTCTCCCGAAACAACAATTTTCTGGACGCTGGTCCTCCGCCGGTTCTACTTTTAGGTGGCGATACTACGAAAAGCAGTCACGACAAAAGCAGCACAACGGGTGGAGGGACCTCGACCATCTCGACCTCCGCCACGAAAGTTGCCGAGGTCGGGCCGGGCTCCTGCTTTGGCGAATTGGCTCTGATGTACGACGCACCGCGGGCCGCGACAGTGGTATGCACGACGGCAACTTCGAGTGCGCTCGGTGGAGCAGAGCAACCTAGTACAATTGCAGCGGATTCTACATCTCCAGAACTGTTTGAAAAAAATCGAGAGAACAAAACTGGCGGAATCCTGTGGGCACTCGACAGAGATCCATTTCGGATGCTCCTGGTGTCGGCCCAATCCGTATCAAAGTGAAAAAAGCCCGCACCCCACATCGGAAACGGAAGATGCGCGAATTTGTGATGCTGTATTTGAGTACACAAATCAACGTGTATTGCTAGAAGGCCAAGAGACGAAGCTGCGGCCTAAATTGCAGGCAATCTGTCATGCTGTTTCCCACTTCCAGTTGCCTCCTGTCATCCTAGAGCTGCAAGGCTTTCCCACGCTAGACAGCACTACAGTCCTCATCTTTTGCCTTCTAGCATCACAAAGCTGATTTGTGGCCACAAATCTGCATCACAGATTTCCGTTTTGATATGGGGAGGGGGCATTTTTGATTGTAATAATCCGCCAAAGTGCACCTTTACGAGGGCTTCCTGTCCGATGTCGTTCTCTTCAAGGACTTGAACAGGTATTTACAGATGTAAAATCAATGTTTCGTTTTGAATTATATGAGCAGTTTCTTCAAGAAAAATAAGAATAACATGCAAACTGCCCATGCTATGGATGTTGAACCATGGTGAATCTGCTTTATGAGGTACGAGTTGGGCATGCTCTCAGACCTACTGGTCACCGAGGTGTTCGAGACCAGCGAGACCATCGTGCGGCAGGGCGAGCACGGGGACACGATGTACATTTTGGAACACGGGGAGTGCAAGGCCTACCTGGAGGGGGACCAGGGTGAGGTGGAGGTGAAGCACTATACCACGCAAGGCGAGTACTTCGGCGAGATCTCACTGATTAAAGAGTGTCCGCGCCGGGCCACCGTGCGGGCCAGCGGCAGCGGTTGTAGTGTGCTGGTGCTCAAGAATATCCAAGAAAAAAAAGATTGTAGGTGTAAATTTCTTGGAGGAATAGCATGACAGAGATAGCAAAAACCTGTCATGCTGAGATTGTAAGTACGTGAACACGCCGACGCCCTTGAATGGACCCTACAGTGTAGGCATAGCATGACAGGCGCAATCGATTTGCATTTTGCGCATCACAAGTTTACACTAACAATGTTTTTTTCTTTGATAAAGAAGGCGGATTTCGACCGCGTCATCGGGCCGATCGTGGACACTTTAACAGGTTGAAAAATGTAGTTGCCCCGCTCTCATGATACGCAGAAGATGAATAAGGATTTGTACAAGGGAACTACCTGAATAATTTTTGCTACTTCTAAGTACTTCCATTGGAGAAGACGCAAAGGTTCTTTCTTGCATTGATGGCCTTTTTTGCATCACAATTTTTTTTCTTTTCTGGGAGCGGGGCACTTGTTTTCCGGTTGATGCACTTTGCTCGGCCTTTATCCTGAGTAAAAACGTACCCACACCAGAGTCAAGATGGGGAATCGGCTAGACAAATCCACAAGTTTTGGCTGTTTTGCATGACAAATTTGGACTCGTAGCGTAGTGCTGTTTGAGCTAGCTCAGCAGCATCACAGATCTAGCATACCATGCTGATTGGAGCTTGACAAATTGCAAAACATGACTAGAAAATGCTTCTCATGGAGCTCCGCATGAGAAACATTTTCAGCATGCAGATTTGCATTACAACTCTGGTGTGGGTACGTTTTTACTCAGGATAGCCTTCTGGACGCGTACCCACAGTACCGGGCGTTCTTTCCGTATCAAAAGGAAAAACTCCCCCTCCCCATATCGAAAACGAAATTTGTGATGCTGGATTTGAGTAAACAAATCAGATCTGTCTTGCTGAAGAGGACTGCAGGCCCACATCAGGACTGAGTCGAGAGGTTTTGGCCTAGGCGCTTAGCATGAGAAACGTCTGCGCTGTAGGCCAAACAGCATCACAAACCGCCTTCATAATGCGGCGGAGCCTGTGGAGTTGCCTTCTTGCAGGACAGAGATGATTTGTGGTCGCAAATCAGCATTACAAATTTTCTGCTACGTACCTTTTCGATATGGGCAGGGGGGATTTTTCCGCACAATATTCCGAGTAAGGAAAAGGCTTGAATGGGCGTTCATTTCGAGCATGGAGAAAGAAGGCTTGAAAGAGGTCCTGGACCTGGTTGGTCGCGCAGACAATTACCTCCCAGAGCGGCAACACCACCTGTGTTTGAGTTACGGACCGAAGTAGTCATGATAAATTTCTACGGAAAAGTATATAGAATTACCACCAATTCGCCGAAGCAGCAATGTGTGAATATCATCGTGAAGATCAAAATCATTTTTCGTTTTCGCTAGCTTGTACGATTCCCGACTGTAATATCTCAGAGCAAAAGAATCGTAGGAAATACGACTTTTGCTCGAAGTTGAAGTTGTATAGAGCACGGGCTTACATGTATACATACATTTCCATTGTCGCAGTTGAAATTCAAAGTGAACAGTCTTTGCAAGTCAGACGCAAGTGCACGTACTTACTCTCAGAAAACAGAAGACGTGGAAAAGCACAGGACATGTTGGTGAGCTGATTCATGTGGCTGGCCTGGCCGGCCGCGTGCCGGTTAAGTAGTACTGCGGCCATGGTAGTCATGGTCGCTGGCATTGAGTTGCACAACGGTGACGATGTTGTTTCTGCGTCATTATCGCCCTTTTTTTTATCTTTTCAAATACTCGCACCCCGAAGAAGCGCGGGTCTGAGTTGCTTTTCTTCTGGGAACGTGGCCAAAAGTCGCTTTCTTTAAAGTTGATTCGTTCGTGGCACTAAGTTGTATCCTGAGATACATCAACTGCAGCATGAATAAAGCCAAAAGCGTATAGAAACGAAACTGCCGCATGTCTGGCGGGGCACTGGTGTACTTTGGAGGGAATTTGAACCTTACCCTCTCCTGAACAAGTTTCCAAGAGGGAAATATAGATGAAATGAGAATGGTGCGTCTACTTCTTGGTCCATTGCCTGTCGCTACTCGTATGGTTTGGGTCGTCTGGGGAGTAATCTCCCTGATATCTTTCGGAGTTCAAGAGCTTGGTACGATTCTCCTGCCCCGCGCCGAGCCGTTACCGGCCGAGACGGCGACCGACGAAACTTTTCTGCAGACCGATGCCAGCGATGAAACCAGAACTTCGGAGAAGCTCCAGCAACAGCACGTATTGGGGCTCAACGAAGATGCGGAGTTCTACTCCACGTCGGCCGAAGAGGAGGAAGGTTCTTTCCTTCATCAGTTTCAGGCAGGGCATCAACTAGTAGACGGTCACGGTATAAAACTAGTACCACCCCCGCAGCAGGGCGGTGGGCGCGAGCAAGAAGCAAAACAACTGCTGCAGCACCACGATGCCGTTGGTGCCAGAACGGATGGGGATGAACTAAGACAAGGAGCAGTTTTCCCCACAATTTCGACGTCTATACTGGAAGAAGAGGAGCAAGGGAGTCGTTCTTTTGCAACTGCTACTTCTAGCACTTCTTTCGTGCAAGAAGAGAGACCGGGCGAGAGAAGTGAACACCATCGTCCTGCTGCTCCAGCTCCGCCCTCTAGCACAGAACGGCTTCTGCAGCAGGCTTTACTCCGGCTGGACGCATTGGAAGCGGCAAACCGTGCGCTGGACCAGACGCAGAAAAAACAGAAAGAAATTCTGCAGAATTTGCGAAGTGAAGACGTGGAATTAGACGAGAAAATAGAGGACGGGGCGAGGGCGCATCAAAAAATGCTTATGATGTACAAAGCGATGTTGATGTAAGTAACAGGAGATACAGATGAATTCAGACTTAAATGAAATGTTTTTCAAATGGCTGGAACAGCTTTGCTCATTTTTGCCTTCGCAGAGTTTCATTTTTGCCTTCGCAGAATTTGCTCATTTTTGCCTTCTGCAGCGTCGCTTGGGTCTTGCATAATGTTGTCGCGAATTCGATTCGCCGGGGCTGTGTATCATCAGTTTCTGCACCTCTTGGCCTGGATTAATCGCGCCGGGGAACGATCACGACTGGCATTCGCGGAAGTTCTGATGCTGATCGGATACCTGTCAATGTATCCACTGAAAAAGGCTCTTTGATGTTCGACGTGCAGGAAAAAATGCTGTCGCAGCTTACTTGTGAGAAATTACCAGGGCCGCATGCGGCAGGACATTAGTACACGAGCACGAGGTGGCAAATGTTATACATACCACGTACGTACATGGCTCCGCGGAGCTGTTGTGGCGCAGAGGGCATCGTGAAGAGAGCTTTTTCAGCGCATAATTGTCACATCGGGACGATTTTGCCGTGGTGCCTCGTCGTCGGGTCCTTACCGTTGTTACGTATCTGCAGTTGTCGACTTAAGCGGCCCCGGTTCAGTTCAGCAAGAAATTCCCTACGAGCTGCGCTGGAAACAAATATGAATACCTCGAGCGGCGATCGTGCGACATCTCGTGCTTCAATAGAAGAACAAGGATCTTCTTCGGGGCCACATGCGAAGGTCAATCGTACATCGCGCACACCCATACAAGAGAGCAGCGCAGCTACAGGTCTTGTTGCGACGCAAAATCAGAAGGGCGAAACGACCGTGCAGCGCGAGGGAGAGGCGCCAGATGGTGGGGCGACCGTGGAAGGGTCTGCAGCAGACGCAGAAGTAAGCGACTCTGAGGACAATCCTTTTCCCTACGATTTCATCGAGCGCGGCACGCTGTCGAATATCGTTCAGGACAGCAGGTCGGCCGAGGGGAGGATTTTTACCGTCACCCTGACTTTGTACATGATTTGTTCTCTGCTGGCTCAGGCACCGTTTATCGCCTACGACACTTTTTGTCCCTGGCGCAATGACAACCAAGGAGCACTGGGGCACATCGGCGACGCCCAGAGTGCGTCACATGCGGAGGCTATTCTCCGTGCCCTGTGGACTGTCTTGCCTAGCTTGTCGTTGGTGCTCACTGCGGTGCTGCCCGCAATCTCGAGGGAAGTGGGAAAGGTGCACGCGGACAAACACGAGACGCAGCTTTGGCTCCCGGTTATCCACAACCTCTCTGCATTCATGGGGGGTGTGACGCTGCTTTTCTTTGAGACGCTCCAGCTCTGCTGGGGCGAGAACGTACCACTGTCCTACCTCTTCGCGATCTTTGACCCACCAATTCACCTTACATAGCGATGAATTTCAATGCAATCTTTTTTGCGGTGGGTTGCATCGACTGGGAGACACTGCCACGACTTTGGAGTGCGGAGAAGTGGTGTCGCCTGGTTTGCCTAGTTTTCACCTACATTTATCGTGTGTGAAATCTCCCCCGTCGCCACAGACTTCCTAAAACCAGACCGACAACAGCAGAAAAATATGTAGACCCGTCGGCCTTGTTCTTGTTGTGGCAGTATTCCGCCCTTGCTGCGGTTGCTGTATCAGGTCCGTGTTTTTGTCAAGGCTCCCTGTTCGTTTGTGTCACTTGCATGTGCAGTCGTGTCTCAGCTGTGCTGACGACTTTTTCTTTACGGAACGTGTTTTGCTTTTGCTCTCCCTGGGCTCAACTGGCACCAAGTAGTTTTTTTCTCCTAGGTCTTAGGTGTCGGTAGGTAGCCACCGTCACGGGATTATTGTCGCCGCGTCCGTCTCACCTTCGATCCGCGCGCCACTGTTCCTCCGCCCACGTGAGCTGCTCAAGATCAATCCGGAAGGGTTTAGGTTAGGTATCACGGCTTAGGCCTTTATCCAACTTTACCGAAAGTAAATAATGGAATTAGATATCTCAACTTCGCCTCGCGGCAGTTAGATCTCACATGTAAATCTGGCTGCAGAAAGATGTCTTCTATAATCGATACAACGCAACAATACTTCAATCGTGGCCACGTACTCACGCTGTCGGCCGCCAAAAGTTGCCATGCGATTATTAATGTGCGAAACTTAGACCTCTGGATGCGTTTTGTATAGTATGTAAGAACCGTAGAAGTGTTTTCATAATGGGCTGGGCATGTTTTCACACAGGATAACGGGTGTGGTGTTCTCATGACCATTGCAAAAACTGTAATGATGGTGCACTACGACTGCCTGTTTGGACGTAAAGTGGCAGAGTGGACCGGGAAGAATCTCTTTCACTCCAGCTTGTATCAATGTGAAAAGTTGAATGCGCCGTCCGCATTCCGTGTTCCCCATGCGGAAAGGTGTTTCATCCCAGTTTCGTTGTTCCTCATGCAGAAACAGAGATATCGCTATCCGCTCGATTCATCAATTTCGGATTTTTATGTTTTGTCGCGGCTTGTCTGCCTGTGCTTGCCGTTCCCTGGAACCGAGGGTCTCGCGTTTGCGCCCACCGTCGAAAGATCTCATGCCGAGTTCGTTGCTTCTCGAAGGTTACGAGAAGTCGGAGGCTGATCAGACGGAATGCCGCCGGTCTTGTCTGAGCGCCCTTTCTGATTAGCTGGTTGCTTTGCCTGATTCTATTTGTGAGGCCACTCGCCGCAAAATGGGTGGCGCCCCGCCACACAAGATGCTTTTGAGCTTTGTTGCTAAGCAGGGTCTACTTCCTCGTGGAAACCGCGAGTGGCCTGACAGTATCTCGCTTACGTAAAAGGACGGACACGTGGCGACTTTTTATGGTTGGTTGACGTGAGAAGCGTTAAGTTAACTTCTGAGACAGTGTGACTTACAGCGTGCCATTCCCTGTTAGGGAATCCAGCTGGTTTGTTTTTGGTCTTGATTTGGCGAGGCGCCGACTTGGCAATGATGTACGAATCTCTAGTTCCTCTGTGTATACTTAATCTCTTGCGTTGCCATTAAATGAGCATTGTGCAGCTTGTCCTGTGGCTGAGCAACCTGCTTGTCCTGCATCGGAGATCGATATCCTATGCTGATTGTAATATCCAATTTGGAACAACATTTGTCTGCAAACGCAGGCTCCTTTCTGCGTCGGGGTTACTTTCTGTATTTTCAGTAAGGATACTCGTCTGCGGAAGTTTTGGCCGTGTCTTCTGTTCGTAAGCGAGGTGTTGTTTCTGTACGCCTTGTGCCTGTTATCCTGTATTAAAGTCGCATATCGTACTTGTACATGTTCACATTCTTCAAAATGGGAAACAAGTGCAAATGTCAGGAAGAAATTTGTAATATGATGAAATGTTGGTAGTTGAGTCAACATAAGAAAGGAGTTGTACTAGTTGAGGTAGAAGAACAAGACGCACTGATGATCTTGTGACGGTCGAACGATTTTTTTTCTTTGTACAAGTACGGTGAAGCTTGAGTAAATCGGGATACTCGTTGCCCCTGTTGGCCCTCCATGGACGGTTCGGATTTCATGGCGATTTCTATGTTGGCTTTTGGGAGGCCGGTCGAGACTTAACTCCGAGCTGGTGGATTGAAGGATTTCTCGCTCCGACGATTCAGAAGCGCGTAGCTGACGTGCTAACTAGCGAGAATTTGAAGCTGACCGGAGCAACGGAGGAGGAACAGAAGAATCTCTGGCACATGTCCGTATTTGACAACGTCGCTTTTCCAGAGCTTTTTGAACAAAATTTTGGAAGTGGTGGCGGCGCCGCATGGCAGGTGAAACTCGAGGACGGGAATCTGACCCACTTCAACCCGCGCACGGCCGAAATGCTGTACCGGACCAACCATCCGCGCGCGCGATTGGCCGACGGACCTGTGATATCAGACACAAATATGTCTGGGTCTGGAGCATTTTTGCAGAGGTTTGCGATGCAGCTTTCGTATGACCTATCGAGGAAGGTCTGGACGGCTGGTCGCAGCATCAAAAGCTTTGATGAAGCTCCTCGATGCCCAATCTGCATGAGAAATGGAACCTCCGGATAACTCAAAGTGGGTTGCTTCATTTGCTACTCATTTAGCATCCATCTTCGAGCAAACATCCAGGGTGGACATTTGCAATGCATATTCGACGCTGTGGCAGCTGATGCATCCCGAGTCGTTTTGGCAACTGAATCAGAACGACACTGACGGAAACCGAACCAACAAAGGCCGCGAGACCGAGAGCTCAGGCACCGCCCCCCAAATTACACGATATAATTCTTCGACGATCCAAGAAGTGCAGGCACTGTCGGACCACGAGCCCGGCCATGGATTTGGTTCCCCGGACGAGTAGGGTACGTAGTCGTTAGAGCCACAGGTCAAGAATGTTCGGGCGGAAAACGAGGATGAAAACAGAACCGTAGTAAATGCCTTTGTGTCCTCCTGGAGGGAGGCATCATAATTCAAGTATCTATAACTTCTTTATTCATTTGTACTACTAGAGGAAGTGGAGATGAAAGAAAGAAAGTCAAAGCCTTCGACATCACAACAGATGAATTGCTCCGTCCGCCGACGTGCACCGCGATCGCCGTGTTGCGCGTCGCGCTACTGTCGTGTCTTTGGAACTAATCCAAGAAGTAATGATATGATAGCGCCGTATCACGCAAAGTCGACAACTTTTCAAGTTTTCTCGGTTGGTCTTGGAGCTCTTTTTGCAGGCTTGCGATCCTCCGGAGAAGTAGGATGACCAGGCGAGTGTAAGTAGTACCTTAGGGGAACGTACGATCGAAGACGAATGCGCTGGATCGATCAAAAAGACATCAAAACCCGTTTGCTCAAGGAGGATGCGTGCAAGGTTGAACAAGTAGGCGCAAAACCAAAAGTAGTTCTCCGTATGGAGTGGCTTCTACTTCCCTGCCTCCGTTTCCGTTACACTTACATGAGACGGCTATCCTGCTCGGTGGAATAAAGTTGACAAAGTATCATGCTGCAGGAAGGTCGATCTTGCAGTGCTGTCGTAATCCCGAAGATGAAGATGAAGTTCTTGACCTGGTCTTCTACGGCGCTTTTCTGCCTGCTGCTCGACGAAGCAGCGCGCGCAGCGTCCTTCCACAGCAGTACCACACCATCTGTGCAGGAGGAGCGACGTCCTGTATTGCGAGATGAAGTAGTCGCAGCGGAGCCGGACCGAGTCCTTGTCTCGCGGGACCACGACGAGCGCAACTTACTACGCAGTCTCCCCCCTTCACGATTTGAGAGCGTCGCATTTTCTGCGCAACCTGGAGCGAGAAATCATGCGAGTGTTCCTCAGGACAAGCACGTACAACAGGTGCCAGCAGAAGGTCGTGAGCGTGAAGACGACGAGTGGACCCTGGCCGATCTGAGCAGCGTGGGGAGTGATTTTGTTTTCCTGGACGATGATTTGGAGTCGACTTTTTCAATTCGAGCAGAAGGGACGAGCGGCAGGACCGCATTCCACCCTGGACAATTGGCGGAGACGAGTGCGGAAGAGAATGCAGCTCACGCAACAGAACATCAAAATGTTTTACCACAGCATGACCACGGGACGAAAGGGGAGCACGACGAGGGCGAGGAGCTTCAGCAGGCGGGAAGAAGGACGGCACCACTCCGTTTTTCACCCAGTTTACTCACGACCCACGTGTGGAGAACCGCGTCACAAGAACATCTAAGCGAGGGAGAAGATGCAACAGTTCTTGTTTTAGACGATGAAAAGCTACTTTCTGCTGACGAAATCCTGAGCCAGAAGATTCGGTCCTCCGACCAGGCACAGCTTTTGTTGGATTTTTTACAACCAGTGGCGGAGAAGTGGACCGCGGCGCTTTTGCCTCGGACGACTGGTCGTGGAACTACACCCAGAAAAAGCCGAAACGAAAACAACTACAGGATCGCCCACGAGCTGAGCATCAGCTTTTTTGATCGTGCGAGCCGAAAAGTGGCGGTGCAGACAAAAGCCGTGCGGCAGATCGGGAAAGCAGAAGTCGAAGAGGAGCTACCGAAGAACGGGAACGAAGTTTGTCCTACTTCAACGAGTGAAACTAGAATCACACCGAGCGAACTTCTAGGAAATGGAACAAAGCAGGAGAACCACATGAACGCGGGCAACAACAAACAGCTCCTTTTCTCCCCTGGCGCGTCTGGAATGCTTCCTCTTCTGGTCATTCGCTTGTTTCGTGCGGTGGAAAAGCGGTGCGAAAACTTCTGTGAAACGGAGGAAGCAAAGAGGAGAGAAGCGGAACAAATGCGAACCGCGACCGCGATGCTTTTTCACCACGCGACCTACTGCAGCTACAACACGACCATGTACAACCCTGTGCAGCACCTTATTCCCAGCTTCACGAGTGTCACCCACTACGCCGGAAACTACGATAATTACCACTGCGACTATCTCTATGATCCGCTCGGCGTCTTCGCTGGCTACCCACACAATAACATTTCGCAAAAGGTCGTGGACGACCTTCATGGCGCTACCAACAGCATCGGTTTAGACGAAGTTCTCGCAGGTCAGAATAGTCATCGTCAAGCACAAAATGCCAGTCGAGGTGGGTCGTTCACGATAATGCGAGAAGACTCCTTGGACTCGTCGGACGAGTCTCCTGGTCGAGGTACGTCCGCGGTATGGTCGCGACGAGACGGACTACACGGTGAGAAAACAATGGCAGCCTCCGAGCAGCAGTCTTGCTCACAACAGTGCAAGCGGAGGGTTTGGTTGGAAGAGACCAATGTGATGGAAGAATTCGTAAAAGTAGTACAACCTCCGCAGCGAAAGGTGTTCGATATCGAGAACCAATTACACCAGCTAAACGAGGAGCGTGAAGGCCGCGTCGCGAACCTGCGGGAGCTGCTGTTACGGAGCCTGGGCCGCAAACATGTGCTGACAGCTCCGACGTCGAGTGCGAGCGCAGCCGACAAGTCGCTGAGCAAACGCATCCGCGCGTTGCTCTCCTATGCACCGCATTTCGCCAGGGCGGAGCCGGAGTTTGTATGGAAGTACTTACTGAATTCTGACGATAGCGAGGAGGAACAGGTTGGACCCGAACGACCCGAAGGTGCGCCCTTTCTCACTTCAGCCGCCCGCGAAAAGTCCCAGCTTTTTTTCCAACATTTGCTGCTGTTCACGATCGTAAAAATGGAGCGGCTGAGCCAGGATTTCGAGGCAGAAAGAAAGGACTTTCCGAGCCAGATCCTCTTTGACAACAAGAAACGAGGTAGTCGTGGTTCAGCAACACCAGAAATTGTGAATGCGGACGGAGGGAGCAAAGATCCCTACGATGTGTTTGATCGGATTCAAGACGAGCAGCAGAAGTGGGAGATCGTCGCAGGTTTCCGGTTTGCCGATGTTTCGAAGTCCTGCGCTGTACTGGTGGATCACCTATTCAGAACAGGCTCTGCTTCCGAGCACGACGGTTCATCTTCCGCACTTTTTCCACCGGAAGTTTTGAAACGCAAGCCGAAAAAGCAGCAAGACGTCGCCCCGGCATTGTGTGAAAGTCAACCTCCTTCTCTGGCGGGATCAACCGGCAGCTTGTTCTCGCGGGTGTTGCGGCGGTTGGTGCCGGGTGCTGTAAGCCCTCTTTCACCTTCCACTTCCGCAGCCAGCACCAACGCCAAGTCTCCCTGCAGCTCTTCGGCTGAGGCGCTTCACTCTCCTGCGAGCTTGTCTTTCGCACCAACAACTTCGGATCAAGTCGGTCCAAAAGGTGAGGACAGCGCCAGTCCGGACGTCAGCGCAGTAGAGGCATTGATCAACACAACGGGGCACGGTCTGACCTTCCAGGGGGTGCACATGATGATGATTGATGACTTGCCAACAGGCTTTTCCCGCAGCACCAGTGCACCGAGCTTTTCCACTTCGACTACACGCCAGGCATCAAATAATATCACTCGCGTTGCTGATAATGATGAAAGAGCCAGCAGTTCCATCCTCGCCGAGAACCCCAACAGGAAAACCGAAGACCAGGCAACGGCTACTGATGAGGCAAGTGAAATAAAAATCGCTACCGCGTCAACGGGATTTGGTCGCCGCCACCGCAGCTGTGGCGACATTGCGGTACAGGGCGGCAAGACTGCGGAGGCGTTTTTACCACCAAGGAAGGTAACCCCGGCCGGGTTCCTGCAGCAGCTTCCGCAAGAACCGCAAGACCGGACTGAAACGTGTGCAGATAAGCAGCGCGTGAAGCAAGAACAATTGAGAAGATTCACTTCCCTCGGCCTGGAGCAAGAGAAGCAGTTTCAACTCGCCGACCGATTCGTGCTGGACGACTTGCGGTTCGCTGGTAGCGCCAGAGCGGTCGCTTCAATCGTCGACTCCTTCCAGCAACTGGAAGCGGCCGATAGCTCGAAAGACCGGTTCACCGACATGGGTACGGCGTTGGCTGCGTTTGACCGCGAAACGAGACGAGCGCAGCACAACTACAAGTATGATCATTTTCTGCTTGACGCGAGTGATTCTTGGGATAATCTCGTCGCAGACGATGCGTTGTATTCGCACAAAAACTTGAGGCTCACCGACACCCCGTGCGGGTTCAGTCCCGGTCTGGGAAACGCAGTTGCGACCACCGACGCGCTAGCAAGGATTATGTACCACGGGTTCCTCGGCACGTTCAATGCGGAACAAGCGGAAATAGCTGCAGATTCTTCGTCCGCGGAGGTTCTTCTTGAAGACCAAAACCGATTACTCTCTATCGCTGACGCCAAGAGCTTTTGGCGAAGTGTAGTTGGTGGCGGTGATGCAAACACTCCCGGAAGCGTTGACGTGTTCTTGAACACTGGGGATCATCATTTTAACAAGAGCATAAAGAACAAGGACTACGACTCTACAACAAGCAGGTCATACAAACAAAGCATTGTCGTCGACCACCACGATGATGATGTCGTTACTACTACCGATGAAAATGACCTTATGGGCCGCCCACAGCTTCCTGCCTCCTGTTCCGCCTCTGCTCTGAGCCGCGAGCGAGCAACGTTTTCCTCTGCCGCCTCCGCGGGCGACGGGCTGCATGGCGAGGAATCAATCGTCGAACCTCAAGCCAGCTTCGCATACGTGGAAGTTGTGGTCAGCCAAAACGCTGCGGCGGATACCGACACGGAACGAGGCCAAGCTAGTACTACTAGTACATCGCGTCGCACCGTTCGCGTGAAGAACTTCCGCAAGCTTTTAAACGGCGCGACTTTATCCTTTGGAGGGAACGCGCTGCCGCTGGATAGAAGTACGACTGCAAATGCAATGAGAACAACTTCTGCTTTCACGGGTGGCACAGCTAGCCCGATGCTCGCCCCTACCGGCAATTTTTGTCCGTTCCAAGCGGTGTTCGAGAAGCAAGATTTTTCGCTCGTGTGGTGCATGAACACCGACGGGCGGGTGGGTTCCACGCACGGAAGCGATCAATATGTGGAAACCTGCTCTGATCTGGCAAACCAGTTTTTTCAGTTGAAGACCCACTATGCCTTGGGAAAAGGAATGGTCGAGCGGTTTTTGCGGTCATCTCTGGCGGAACGAGAAAATCTAGATCAAACGATGGAGTCCACCAAAGCCGACGGAGTACCTGGATCGCGAAAAAAGGTGTTGCGAGTGGAAGACGACGTCTCGTTTCTCAACTGCGAAAATGATTTTGATGAGTTGTTTCACAACCTGTGCGGTAGCGGGTGATGAATGGAAAATTTATCTCCGCCACCGCACACTGACACGACATGATTTTTTTGAGGTTCATTTCCGATCCGGCATCCTGCACGGCTTTTCTTTACAGTGACGAGAATAAAACTCAAGTAGCACAAGTAGATAGAAGGCACGGCATTCACTACTCTACTATGTTTTGTTAGCCTGAGAATACCCCGACAACCTTGTTTCCAGAAGAGTTTTGACTGTAGCTAGCCTAGCTGGCGATTTGCATTTTCCGTTTTCTCACGAGCTGTAACTAAGATTTTTAGTTACCGACCTAGATCTTTTTCTTTTACCACAAGTGAAGAATTGCGTTTTTGTCGACATCCTTATCATGCGTTCTTTCGTAAAATGCAAAAGCAACTACTGATTGCATTGTCTGCGCAACTGTACTCCAGTTCCGATGACTTTTTGAGCTTCTGTTTGCAAATGAAAATCTACGAGAACCGCGAAAATGTTTGTCATTCCTGCTGAAATGAAACTGGAATGTTGGATTAAGTTTCATCAGTCCGCTGTCAGAACACAGCCTTCAGGTCTTCGAACACCCGTACGCGTGCCTGCGACCTGCTACCATTTCTTTCATGTTTACGTCTTGCGTTTCCGTATGGTGTGTGAAGGTGAACAACTCGTGCCGCCGAGACGAATACGAGCGCGCGCAGGAGGGTGGGAGTCTCGGAGAAGTCGGAAAATGGAATTTTCCGAAGCCGCTTTTTTCTTGAGTGGTGAGGCAGAAGTGTTTCAAAGTTAGCTCTGGAGGACAATGGCGTCTTCAGATGTCAGTTGTTGCGTTCGTTTGAAAAATGAAAAGAAATATTAACTGTGTAGTGAGTACTTACAGTGGTTGTAGTACTGTGGACTACCTGTATCTACCTGCACAACTGCACGACGCGTACCCGTTTACTGTTGCCGCCCAAAACGAACATCTGGAAGCGAAGAAGGACAATCTGCAACAAGTCCGAGAAAGATACAAGCGAAATTGCGCCGGAGACAACGACTGTGCCTGCCCAGTTCCCACGAGAAACCGCCTTTGCCTGCACACAGAAACCCCCCCATGGGATGCGGCGTCTCGGCCCGGCCGCGCCCAAGCCATCCTTACCAGAAGTTTTCTTCTCGATCGGAAAACTCGGAAGACAGTCTGGAAAAGGAGCTGAAACGGTCCAACTGCGACTCCAACTATGACAACGAAGAGTTGCAGCGCGACACCAGTTCGGCGATCGCCCGGGTCCTTACCACCGTCACTTCTCTGTACAATTTTGTCGAAAATGAGCGGCAAGCCGCCGTTTTTTCTGTGGAGGCACAGCGGCGAAGGGAAATTTTGCAGCGGTTGGCGGAAAAGATTTGCGAGAAAAGACCGGTGCTGGAACAGTACAACTCGATCTTGCAGCCTGGTGGTTCATCTGCCTCTCAACAGATTGAGCAACAACATCGGATCGATGCGCAAAATGAGCGTCGCGAGCAAACTCTTCCATTTCCATCCTCGCCGTCGAAGCAGAAGAAAAAGCAGCTGTATCAAGCGGTGTCCGCGGTCGTCAAGGGGGACCTCATTCTCGTCGAGGTAGTGGAGACGGAACAAACGGGTCCTCGTGAGCAGAGTGCCGTTATTTCTTTTACCGATAATTCGGGAAGTTCTGCTGCGAAAGTAACCCGCAAGCAGATCCCGTTCACGGAGCTGTGCTGGGAGAACGCGAAGCAGTCGCTGCAGCAGGATGTGGAGGTTTTGGTCAAGAACGCGACGGACTACAGCAACAAGCAACTTGTCCACGCCGCGGCGGATTACAGCGGGCCAAACACGAGAACTCACACCGCTGTTTCTTTCGCTGACATCAAAGGATCGACGTCCTCCTCGCAGGAACAGGGCGGACTGGGTCTGATGGACGAGGAGCAGCCGGCGACAGGAGAGGGAGAAGTCACGACGACCCCGGCGGCCGGATTGAGTGCAGACGAGGACCAAACGCAGTATTTAACGTTCAAGAAGCGGGAAGTGCTGGAAGTTCTGTACAAGACAGAGCACTGGTGGTACTGCCGGCAACTGGAAACCACCACGCGCGGAATCTCGCAGACCGGTTGGGCGCCGGCTGCGCTCTTGCAGGAACTCGGTCGCGTGCACAAAGAGTTCCAAGGAGGAGCTGGCGGCCAAGAAGAGCAGCCTAGAAGTATGAACAGCAGCAAAGAGAAAGAGCAGGCAGGGGAGGACCAGCAAGAGCAGCAATCGCCGATGCTCTTATCCGTCGATGTCAATGACACCGTTCAAATCCTTTTTCGCCATTACTCCGGGTGGAGTTACGCGAAAAAACTAGTACAACAGGAACAACGACGGACAGCACAGCCGGACCAACATCATCCAGAAGTAAATCCGGCTGCCGATCCAGGTGTCGGAGAGCAGGTGGGCTGGCTGCCGGACGCGTGCATTGTCCCGACTTCCGAGTCCCGGGACAGCAAAACGGTGCGACCGTTTGTGCAGTCGGTGAAGAAGCACAAGGTGATCCAGGAGAATTTGCAGAAGATCCTGGAATCCGCTCATGCGGCGCAGAGCTCGCTGCAGTGGATCATGTCGACTTCGAAGTCGAACTTGAGCGGGACGACCAGCAACAGCCAAGCCATACTGCTTCCCGGCGCAGCGAACTTCTTGGACGAGGAAACGAATGCGAAGATCGTCGACCAGATCGGACTGTTGATCGAGCACTTGACCGTCGAGGTGAAGCAGATTTGCGACGCACTGTACGGCAGCCAGAACTACGAAGGAGCGGGCGCAGCAGGAGTAGACTCTAGTAGTACAACTCAGAAGCAGGCCCGGGTGCGCTGGCTGTGGGAGCAAGAGGACGGGGGTCGTGGGCCGAACGACGATGAGGGAACAAACAACTCGTCGCAGTTCCTGCAGAACTGCCAGGTAAACGATGTGGTTACGGTTCTCGCGCAAAACGTCGAGGATTCCGGCTGGAGTTACTGCGTATTGCTGGTGGAAGATAGGGATAGCAGAGCAGCAGCGTCTTCCGCAGCTTCTTCAGAATCTGGAACAAAGACAGGAACTGGAAAGAACGACACGTATCAGAACGATACCAGAAATAAATCCGCCACAACTACTGCTTCCGAAGGCTGGGTGCCGGAGGACGCTCTGGACTACGAAGACGTTTACAATTCGCACAAAAGCAGCAAGAACCAGCTGTACCGGAAGGGAGCGAGCAAATCGTCCACAGCGTCTTCCTCCAAAATGTATCCTCGTTGCTCGATCGACGAGCTTCCGCCGTGGGTCGTGACCGACTCGCCCGCTCGGTGGTACTCGCATTCGCAAAAGAAGTACTGTGACGTGCGGATAACGGAGATCAACGAGAGCCGGAACATGGTCTACATCCGGTTTAACGTGAACGAGAACGCGTGGAAGGGCGTGCGGTTCTACGAGCTTTGCCGCACGGCCGCTAGTCGGAGCAGTTCGAAGAGCAAAGAAAAAAGCGGGCCGGGGGATAGGAGTTTATTGGAGAACCATGATTCATGTGGCCTTGACCACGACAGTGCCGACGACAGTGGCAGGCCGTTTTGCTGCCTCCAGCCACCGCTTTCCTACCATGCCGGAGAACAAGAAGCGCAATACACCAGAGGAACTAGCACGCTGGACCAAATTCGCGAGGAACGGCCGGAAGACCTCTCCAGCCGTGGCCTAAATGACGTGACCAGCCAGGCGGACGTCGACATGCTGGGCGACATGGTGACCGGGGTGCAGCAGATGCTGGCGGCCCAGCAGGACGACAATTCGACCACCGGTTCGATGCCCACCACTGGGCAAGAGCAGCTGGAATTTGACCTGGGCCAGAGCATATGAATTGCAAAAATGTCTGGGTCTGGAAGAATGCATGTTTGTCATGCATATTTTTGCATGCCCCAAGAGGTCTGCAATGCAGGACTTAGCATGACAGGTTCTGTGAAGTCTCTATCATGTCTATCCCGCATGACAAACTGCCGCTACACTTGTTCAAACGTGGACGCCTTTTGGTAATCATGCAACGCAAATTTCTGTACTATCCAGACTTAGCATGACAAGTTCCAACCTTCCAGACCCAGACACTTTTACAATCCATAGAGCAGCGACGAGGATAGCATCGAGAAAGCTTTGTCCTCTCCCGGGGTTGGTGGAGAGCATGGGAGTACTAGAGGTCGATACAACGCCGCAGCCGCCAAACTTTTGGACAAGCCCACAACGCCCGTCGTGGTGAACGTGAACAACACCAGTTTTGACGCATCACCCGCCCCGTCCGCGCAGTTCTTTTCCGCACCGGTCACGCCGCCGCCGAACAGCAACGCAGTAACGCCGAACGCCGTGTTTTCCGCAGTGACGCCCAACAATTATGGAAAGTCGCCGGGGAAAGATGAACCGTCGAGCGACAGCAGGCAAAGTTCCCCGGCGGTTCGGTTAAACGCCACGACGACCGTGGAGGAGGGGGAAAGAACTCTTGAAAGACGCGACTCCATCCCGTATGTTCCGCCGCCGCCCCTGCCGAACGAGATGCAGCACGCACCGCCGCCCGAGGAACTCAAGAAGGGCACGATCGTCATGCAGAGTCTAACAAAAAGCGGCGGGATGAGTTTGAATTTGCAAGGAAACAATGGTTCGTCCTTTCTCGACGTGCAGCTTGGCCCGTCCGAAACCACGGTGCGTTCCGCGCGGAGGTCTCCGGAAGCTGTGTCCCTGGACGGAAGCCCACTGAAACAGCTGAAGTTTCGGAAGTCAGACACCAGGGTATTGGAAATCGCGTCGAAGGAAGAGCTCTCGCAGGTGCTCTTTTTACCAAGCCCACCGCATGGAGATGCAGGTTTGTTGTGCTGTTTTTGCGTGCTTTTTTTGTTGTTCTCCTCTGCAGCTCGACAAAATCAATGCACTTTTTGCTTCTTGCACGTGCAACAGGTGGTCTCTTTTACATTGATTAGTGTTTACGGTTTTTTTGTTCCTACTTGTACTTTTCACGTTCAGGAGCCGGCGCCGACGACCAGCGAAGTGCGAATATCGAGGACATTATGCAAGAAGGTACGCACGACGTTCGCACAGCCGACGTGCTAATCGATGAGCGGAACAACGTGTTGCTCCACCCCGAATCCCGACAACCGGTTCTAGCCAGGACAGAAAGTGATGACGTGAATGTGAAGTACGTATACGTGAACCCTGACTCCAACCAAATCACCGGCCTCGCTGCGCTCCGACCCGACGGATCGCCGAAGAAACTGGACAAGTCCGCAACGAACATCGAGGTGAAAGCGGTGGTCGTAGACAAGAGCACGAAGGCGAAACTGGGCATGTTGCCGGTGGCGGAACAGGATTTCTCATCCACTGTGCAAGACCCGTTGAAGGACCCCAGCAACGCCATCCGCTTGGTCATCGATGCGGAGGCGAGGGAGGTGCTGGGATACTGCGACCAAACAGTTCCGCTGCTGAGCACGTGTGACGAAACGGAAAAACCAGAGTCAAAACAAGTTTCCCCAAACATCAGCACCACGAGTGGCGCGCCGGCGTCCTCGCCGGGCGAGAAATCGAAGTCTAGCGCGGACAACAAATCCGAAGTTCAGATCCGGCTGCCAGATCCCGGTGTCGGAGTAGGAGTTGTAGAAGGAGAAAATAAAACCGCGACCGCAGACGCAGCAGTTGCCGCTGGCACACAGCAGACACCAGCGCAGGTATCGAAGAAGAAACAGGAGAAGCAGCAAAAGAAGGAGAAAAGAGCCGCGGTGCGGATTCAGGCGATCGCCCGGATGTTCTTGATTCTGAAAAAGATCCGGAAACGCAAAATAACCGCGATCAACACGGTGAAGGCGAAGTGGCGGTCGTGCGTCGCCATGCGGGTCATGCACAATTTGCTGTACAACTTCTCCGCAACGGTGGTCCAGAAAAGGTGGCGAGGGATCAAGGGGAGACAGACCGCGAAGCAGAAGAGGAAGGAGTTTGAGCAGCGGCAGTTGGCGAAGATTGGCAAGGAGTTGGAATCCAGCGAGTTTGTCCTGTCCATGATCAACAAATTGCAGCAATTGGACGACGCGTTGGATTTTAATCACGTGAACAAGGAGCTAAAATACGAATACGAGTCCTTGCGGAGGAGAAGTAACAGCAACCCGAATGTGGGCGTTGCAGTGGGCGGCGGAGGACAATCGCACAACAGAAGTTTGCTATCACAAACTCTTGAGCCAAGTAGTTCAACATCCGCGACTACTACCTCAAAAGGGTCTCCTACAGCCTACCACAACCCGAATTCCGTTGTCGAATTACTTGCCAGCCCGATTGCAGAGCTGCAACCTCCACAAGGCTACCTGGTGTCGAGTAGCAGTAAGACGAAAACAAGCAAAGGAGCTCCGTCGCCGGGGACTCCTTCTACTACAACTGGTGGAGTTTTTGCCTTCGCTAACGCCGGCGGATTGTCACTCGCGCCAACTTCACCGGCGAAGTTGCAGCAGAAGAAAACCACGCAGCGCGGGAAGATCATGGTGCTCGCGGGGAAGACGGCGGATATGCGGAAGAAAGAGCACTTGCTGTTTGAAGAGGCGATTCAAGCGCGAATCGGGGTGCTGGAGCTGGAGCTGGCAAACGCAGCGGAGGCGGAGAGAGAAAAGCTGGAGGCGAAGCGGAAGGAGCGGCAAAAGCGCGTGGATTTGGCGAAGGAAAGGAGCTCGGCTTCCTCGTCTTCCGGGAACGAATCGACCTCCACAGAAGTTGTAGCTGAAAACGGCGACAATGACAAAACAAAGCCAGAAGCGCTGCAGGCGGAGAACCAAAAAGATTTGGACAATTGGTTCGAAATGGAAAAAAGCAACTTGGAAAAAGAGATAAGCGAAACACGAACTTACGAGCTGGACAAGCTAAAATTAAAATCGAAGCGGCTCCGGGCCCTGCACGATTTGGCGGACGCGTTTGTCGGCATTCCGCTGTTTAAGACGTCAAAAGACAACGAAAACAACTTCTCGCAGCAGAAAGACATCGAGGTGCAGAACGTCAGCGTGATCAATAATTTACGGTTCGAGTTACTCAACTCGACGGAGTTAAGCGTCACACGAACATCGGAGGAAATAAGCACGACCAGCCAAACTGCGACAGCAACCTCCTCCTCTCTCCCTCTCCCGTTCCTGCTGCGCAAGTCCGCCGAGTGGGTGTCGGCGCTGGCGCTGGAGGGCGAGTGGCCGAGCTCGATCGAAGAGAGGAGAGAACGGAACAAGTTGCTGTTCGAAAACATGAAACAACTCCTCCAACAGGTTTTTGAAAAGGTCAAGCTCGTGGAACTTGCCGCGAAGGAAAGCGAGCAGCTGGTGGACAAGCACTCCTGGGACGAGGACCTGATCGTGCTACGGATGACGAAGCAGGAGCGCCAGGACCGCGCGGCCTTCCTGGCGCAGCAAAACTTTTCCAAGCAGAGTAAAATCGACAAGGAGTTTCACGACGAACGGGTGAAAAGGGACCAGTTCACCGAAATCGAGCTGAAAAAGATGTACGAGGAGCAGATGTTCCGCCTGTCCTCACTCTTCCGGTTTCAGAAATCGAAATTTATGGACTGCTACTCCAAACTGAAAATGACCGTCTCCGATCTGGAAGCCATTGCGAGCAAGGAGAAGACCGCGCTCATTGAGCAGACGCAGGAGAAGGTGGATCTGCTGGAGAAGCAGCTGGTAAGCAAGCAAGCGATTTCCCGCCAGATTGCGCACTGCGCCATGCTGATCCAGATTGAAAAGGAGCGGCTGGAGCAAATTCTGGCGAACTACAAAACGATGACGACGAAGGAACGCGACACCGCAATTTTCAAGGGATTGCGAGTCACGAAGTGTGTGAAGAGGAAGTTGAAGGACCTCGACGTGGACCGAAACGCGAAAGAGAAAGTTTCCATTCTCCTCTACTCACTGAGGATGATCGAGGCCAGGTTGCAGTCGAAATTATCCGCGAAAAACAAACGGGACCCGGACGAAGGCGCGGACGAGGATTTCGACGCAGTGTACGAGTCGTGCTTTGCGGGGACAAGTAGCAGTGGGAACACTTCGAAGGCAACTCCAGCGGTCACTACGTCGAAAGAGGTGGAGAAAAAGCAAAGGGACTGGCAACAGAGAGAAGAGGACTTCGCGATCAGGTTAGCGAAGGAAAAGGCAAGGTATTTTAGATTTTGCTTTTAGAGGGGTTTTTGTGATTTGGAAGAAGAAGAAAGTGATACTCCATGTGACCACTACTACATACAATCCAGACTCCGCGACAAAGAGGACAAGCTCGCCAGGAAGCAGATTCGCAGCATGTTGAATAGCGGTAAAGAGACGGCCGAGAAAGAATTCCGCGCGAAGTTCCTGGTTTTTGAAAATCTCCCAACCGCATGGAAAAGCAAGATCGAAAAGACTGCGGAACCCCTGCGACTTGTGAGGTTGGGCAAGGAGATCGGGGACGCCCTGCAGGTGGAGGTGAGCCGCTTCTTGTCGAGGCGCAGACACGAATACATGCTGGAAAGCAAAGCGTTGGCGGAAATGGGGCAAAGTTTGGAAGCCGAGCTGCAGAAATGCGAATCCTTCGATTTGCAAGAGACGATCTTTGCGTACTCGTGGATAAGTAATTCTAGTTTCATCTTTGCAGTGCTGCTGTTCGTAATTTCGTATCAGACAAAATTAAAAATTACTTTGCTCTTGCATCGGCTTCGACTACACGGAAAAACTTCATCTCCGATCAAAACAGCACCAACCCGGAGACGACAAAAGCGTACAAGGAACTGGAGAGCGAGCTCGCCGCTTGGAATACGCACGTGTCAGAATACCGCGAAGTGATGGAATCTAAGTTGAAACTTGACGAAGAGGAGGAGGAGCACGTTCCGTCCAGGAGGAACTCCGTGCAAAGACTCGACACATCCATGGAAGACGAAGAATTAGGGTCGGATTCCGACCAAATCCCCACGCCACGCGGGGACGAGGACGAAACCGGCGCGACGGCGAAGGATCCTCAACATAACAAGCGGGCAAACGCAAGGCACTCGGCGAAGCGAAGCAGTGCGAGTGGACTTCCTACCGGGCGGTCCTCTGCGCAACAGGGGACGACGACAAACAAGGGAGGAACAGGGAACAAGCAAGAATCGCCTGCATCCAGTGCCACCAAAACGCCACCGGCCAACCGTCCCCCATTGCCCAACTTTCCTCAGATGCTGAAAAAGATCAACTTACCTCCAGCCACGACCGGTGCACTTCCCCCTAGGCCTGTGAAATTTGACATGCCGGCATTGAACCCGTTTTCCGCTGCGGCAACTAACAATCTAGCGATGGAACACCATAAGGAACAGCAGCGAGGCGGCGAGCACCTGAAGCAAAAATCATCTGGCGGTGGTCCGCCGAAGAAGCAAAGACCGGCACAATTGATGCTGAAGGAGCTGGACGCAGGGTTGGGCGATCTGGAAAAGTTCGTCAACACTGCGGGGGGCGCGAAAAATTTGCCGCGAAAAGTTGCACGCGCGCCAATGCCGCAAACGCCAATGTTTAAAGCGTAAAGATGATAGGCGGGGGTATCTTGGCGCTGTGACGCGGAATATTTTCTGTCTTCTGAGGTTGCCTTTACTAGCACTTGCATAGGTATGTTTTTTCGAATGAACTTTCTTGACCTGCTTCGTGACTTTCTTTTTACAATCTTCACTTTGCTTCCAAAAAATGTTGTTGTTGAGCTTCTAGGTTTACATCTGCGTTGGCGCCGTTGCCTCGTACGATCTGTTTCAAAATTTGATGATGAGCTTCAGTATAGATGACAAAAACATAAAAGAAGAAGATAAAGAAGTATAGAAAAACTGGAACAAGATAAGGACTCCACCCATCTTGAGAATAAAAAAAGGTACTCGGTCAATAAAAACGAGCAGCTTCTCTCGACAGTCACGGGCACATTCGCTAGATGGCTGCGTCTCATGACGCAAGGGGAGGCTTGACGAATGTGGTCGTCGGGGCGCGTAGGACTCGCGCGACTGTCGACGAAACAGATCGTAAAGTCTAACTGATGTCCCAATCTAAAAACAGCAATGGCGCTGCGATGAAGCTTTTCAAGCACGGTTCATGATGTGAGTGAATGAGAGTTTCCATGCAGAAATGCTTTGTGAGGTGAGCCAATGAGTTTGCTGATCTGATGTCTCCGATTTAGCTCCGGGCTTATCGCCGCTGGCGACCCGCGCAGTGACGGCCTTGCTTTTCCTTGTGAGCGAAGAAGAGCGGGCGCGAGCGAATCTACGCGCGGCGCCGTACGTCCGCGCTGGCAGCCGCTGCATCAGTTCCCAACCAGCAACAAGCTACCCGAGGCCCGATGTGCAAGGAAGCCGCGGCGCGCGACGCAGCGGCGCTCGCACCGGGGGAAGCGGCTCCGGCGGGGCCGAAATTGGCCCGCCCGCCTGGCCATTCTGGTCCGTTCGGGCGCAGGTTGGAGCCGCGCCAGCATCGGGGGAAGCTTCGCCCGCGGGGCCGAAGTTGGCCCGCCCGGGTGGTCGCGACGCCAATCGGACAGCACAAGCACGCCGGTAGCGAGGCAGGCGCCGGCGCCTGGCCGCGGGAAATCAATAAGCCCCGAGCCGCGACGGGTAAGGTGGTAAACTGCACTGCTGGCACGGGCGTAGTCTGGTGCGACGCGGGCAGCGAGCTCTTCAAAAACTGAGAGCGGGGGGCGGTGCGTAACGCGCAGGCCACGCCGGCGGGGCCGAGGTGAGCCGAGGCGGCGCCACTTCGGCACTGAGGGCAAAAAGCCGGCCAGCTTCGACCCCGATGAACAAGAGCAAGCGGATTCAACCCCGACGGGAGCAGGAAGCGGGCCCGCATCTTCATCGTCGCGCCAGCAGCAGCGTGACTACTAGCAGCAGCCACCACCAGGGGCGCGCCGGCGGGGCCGAGGTGGGCCGCGGCACTTGCCAGGGCTGGCGGCGCGCCTGCGGTCGGCGCGCCGCCGCGCGGGGGTAGTCAGTGCGTGGCCAGTCTTTTTTATGGCCCGAGAAGCAGTGGCGCCCGATGCCCCCTTTTGGCAGACCGCGTGCCCGCCCAGCCGTAAGTGGGCAGATGCGTGTGGGTACACAGGCCGCTTCGAGTCTGGCGTGCGTGGCCATGCGCGGGGCTGGCTCACCGCTGCGCATTCTTTGTAGCCCTGCTCGCCGGCTCCGGCGCCTGCTGCCGGCGATAATTACGCGATAGCGCATGCCGTAGCCGCCGGGTGCCAGCCGGTCTCCTACCGTCCTTTTCGTATGCTGATTCATCGAAAAAGAGTGTGTGTGTGTGTGGGCTGCGTCCGTTGCCACGGAACCCGTTTCTGAAAGGTCGCGGCGCTAGAAGGTCACGTTGTGTTTACTGAGTTGCACTAAGTGCTGGCGCACTCAAGAGAAGAAACAGCAGCGATTCTTAGCTGGCTGTGACGGAGGGTATGCATTTTGAGGACGAAGGTGCGTTGGACCAACAGAGAGGTTTGCAGGAGAGTCGCTATGTTTCCTGCCACAGCTGCTGAAACAACTGAGTGAACCCGATCCCATGTAGTAGGGCCGCTAAGCTGTGCATGCGAAGTGCATGTCTCACTACCTGTGCCGCTTTGCGGCGTTGCAGGCCTGCCTCACGAGCAGTGCCGGCTTAGCCTGGGGGACTCGTGACTTTTCGAAAACCTCCGCACTCCACCTGAAAAAAGTCGAGTCCACCTCCAACAGTCGGCGTGCAAACTCGTTCCTGGCCCGGAAAGCAGCAAGAAAAATCGTCTCGGATCCAATTGCTAAGATCAATGCCGTGGATTTTGGCTCCACGGTGCAAGTGACGCTTGTAAATGCAGAGACCGGCGCGAGCGTCCCGATCACACTGCAGATGGCGTACTCGCTTCAGCAACACACAAGGGGGCTTATGTACCGGACGAATCCTCTGACTGAATCAGAAGGCATGATATTCGTGTATCCACAGGAAGGGCATCGGGTAATAATATTGTTAGAAAGCAAGAACATTGAAGATTACAGTCATGTTTTTCAGGAATTTATTGTGCCCGAGCTTTCTAGATACATAAGATGCTTATTGGGTGGACAAAGTTGCGTTTCGCAGAAAGCCACGTCAACATCAAAACCCTTACTGCGCCAGGTTTTCTGGATGAAGAACACGGAAATTCCGATGGAAGCTACCTGGTGGAACGCGAAGGGTGAGCTGGTCGAGAAGCCCACAGCCATGGAGCCACTAACGCTGGACTATCACTGGTCGACCTCTCACAATGTGCAGTTCGGGATCGAGCTGGCGCCTGGTTTTTTGGAGAACAAAGGGCTGGACGCACCAGGACAGACGAAGATCGAAGACATGAAGCCGGTTCTCGACGAGATTCAGCTGCGCGGGGGCCTCACTGCATCGAATCAATATTTCTGAGCTCCGGAGGTCGGAGCGAGGGTGTAGGGGGCTCTAGTTCCCCCTCCGCTCAAAAACTGATTCCTCACTTTTTTCTAAAATTAAAGTCACTGAATGAACAGAAGCGAAACTAATAGAACGCTGATTCGCTGCTTCGCGGGCTCTGTCGAATTTTCAACCGTTTCCGAGAATTTTCCGTTTCGCCTTCAGTAAAGTCTTAGAAGACTAGCACCAAAACGACTGTTAATCTTCTCACCGTGTTGTGAGAAGCTCTGGGAGTACCAATGCGATCTTGTTGTTGTTCAGTCTTTTTTTCCTCAAGTCCCAACGAACCTTGTCGCTTTTTCTCCCAAAGCGACCATCAACAATGTCAAGGGAAGCAGTAGAGGTAGATGAAATTCAAACTATCAACTGCGTGACTATAGCGGAAATGAAATGAGGGGGTCGTGCACAACTATCACGAAAAGCAGGATGCGGTTCGCACTTTACCATCTGCAATGCGTCCTGTGCGTGCGGGGTATGCGTATGGACTTCCTCTCGTCTTTTCCGTGGGCGGGGTCCTGCGTCGGACCAACGCAAGACGAAGAGGACACGACTACCGCGAAGGTCGTGACAGAATCCGTGCCTGCAGCTTCGACATCCGCACAGCCAAGTACTTCAAGCGTCGTCGAGGACAAGAACTCGTTCGGTGCATTTGGTGCGGATGCCGCGAACCCTCACCCTCCTGCTGAAAATAGCGCAAACATCACTGGCCTAAGCTCTTGCGAGGACAACGCGGACACATCCGAGGATGTGTTCGCCGTGCACGAGGAGGTCGCAGATGAGGACGTTGCCGCTGCGAGGGCGGAAGTACTACTTCTTTCCTCTTCTACCATCACCCTGACGGAGAAAATTGACTTGAACGAGGTAAAAATGGAAAATGAAGATGAAATCAGCACGGTTGCGTGCGAGGCGGATCACCAGGATGGCCGCACGGATGGAGTGGTTGTGCCTCGTGGCCGCGCGGGCGACGAGAACGGCCAGACTAATTTGCCACAAGAGGCGTCGGAAGACGAAGACAGTGCGAACGAGCAGAACAACAACGCGCCAGGCGAGAAAAATAAGTTCACGTCCACCAGTGACAGTGCGCGACCTGACCGCGACCTTCAAATCCCAACATCCGCGCCCCAGCCCCGCCCGATCTCCGTTTTCGTCCTCGATCCGGTAAATGTCGCGCTAACGTACACGGTTATTCCCGGCACCACAGACTACAAGCAGCTTATCCAGCAATTGAAGAAGGACTTGCCGAAAGAGTTTAAGCGCGTGGCCAAGAAGAGTCAGGAGAAGGCGAAAAATTTGAAGAAGCTCCGAGGAAATAGTCAGGCGCAACAAAATGAAAGTCCGGACAACACGTTGTCGGGTTCGAACCCCATGAGAAAGCGACCGACGATCCAAATCCGTGTCGTCCGGCCCATGTCGGGGATCCAGGGGCCATATACGGCACGGTACTGCGTCATGTCGGGCAGCTACGTGCCCGCGACGATCCCGAACCCGCGGAAGGGGCCGTTTCTCGGTTCCGGGTGCGTGGAGGAGGTTTTACCGGTTTACTTGCAGCAGGACGAGCTGGGCGAGCCGATTTTGGAGCAGCTGCAACAGAGGTTTCTCACTGCTGGGAGCAGTACGACTAATCCCAACGCAGACGGAGCGCAATTGCTGAATCATTTAACCGATGACACCAGTCGGTACAATCGTATTCTGAGCACGCAGGGCCACATCTACATTTCCGTCACGCGCGAAAGGCTTCCGACGTTGCTGCGGCTGGCGAACACGCAGGTCGGGCGGCTATTGGAGCACCGAAACCGTTTGGTCCGGGAGGTGAAGCGGTCCGCGAAGATCAACAGCAGCTCCCAAAAGTACTTGCAAAACATGAAGCAAGAGGAGGAATACCGCAGGACAAGTGGGCAACAACAAAGTGCTGCAGACCTCCGCCGAAGGGAGGACCAGAAAGGCAACATCAAGGACGTGCTGGAGCGCAGCTACCTGCGGGCGTCCACCCAGGAGCAGGCCAGCCGCATGCTACTGACGTCGGTGGAAAACGCGAGTCGGCGCTTGGCGTACGAGTTTTGGACCTCCTTGATCGGGGAAAATTTGGAGTCTTTGGAAGAAGAGTGGAATTCGTATTGGACGGCGGAGGACCGTGCGCCGTACTCGCCGTCTGCACTGGTAAAAAAATTCTGGAAGCTGCTCACCTCCTGCGCGAACCCAAAGTCTGTCGCTGCGAGTGCAGTGGATCCGGCGGTAGCCTCGGCGTCGGCCGGAGGGAAAATAAAGACTGGTAAAGCTGCAGCATCATCCTCCGCTGCGGCCTCGAGTAGTTCTTGCGGAATCCAAGCAAAATCCGCGCCTTCGGCCTTGAAGCCGCCGCCGCCCAAGCAAAAGACGCTGAAAAAAACTTGGGCAAGGGACATGCCAGTGTTTCACGTACGGAAGAACTCTTTGGCCTTTGCGCCCGACTGCGTGTGCGGCGAAGGGCTGCACAACAGAGTGACCGAGCCAGCGGTTCTTGTACAGCGACCCTACAACTCCCAAGGAGGAACTTCTACCGATGTTGCAGTAAGAACAAACCAAACAGAAAATAACGCGATGAAGATACGTTGCCTCAGCGACTGCGAGGTGGAGTGCGAGGATGACGACTTTATCGGTTGCTCACCCGGACCCCCTCCGAACAGTCCGAAAATTTTGCCACCCTGCGGCCGCGCTTTGCAAAAGTCATCCACCTCGCGGTCGAAAATCAATGCGGCGCTGGCGAACTTGGACGATCCGTATAAGATCGCTTCTTTAGGAAAGTCCGCTCTGGCGAAAATGATCGAAAAGATCCCGGTCGAGTTCCTGGATGACGACCGGTTTGCCTTTGCGCTCCCAGGGACGATCGTGCGGAAGAAACGCGTGTTTAAACCCACCGCGAGGGGCTCTTCTTCCTTCTCTTCGTCCTTCTCTTTTCGCGCACCACCGCCGGCGGAACAAATGGTGCAGCCGGAAGCAGTGCAATACGAAGAGGAGGAAAAACCCTACCACCTAGTTTTCGTCATCCGCTCCCCGTTGCCGGGTTTTGGCACGGCCTACAGCGGAGCGTCGCCGCGCAGCGGTATGACGATTGCACTGAAGAACGGCAGGAGCAACCCACTGGCCGAAACGAGGGCAGATCATAGTAGAGGCAAACCGCCTACTGAGCAGCGGCCCCACGACGAAGTGAAAATAGATGTGTTTTACGTCGAAGGACCGGACCAGGGCTATACGCAAATGGAAGATCACGACCCAATTGCGAAAGCGACAAGACCGATAATGAGCGGAAGTGGTAGCAGTTTGAGTCTCTCGTTGCCGGGCTCTGCGAGTCGAAAGCGCATGAAAGTTCCCGAGCCCGATTGGACAATGTCGTGGCGAAAGGTGTAAGAATAGGAGTCGGGAGGTGGAGACCCGTTTTCGAATGTAGAAAAACTAGTCCAGAGAAAGTCCCAGCGTCCACTTCTGCAGTGGTATCGGCGCGCTCGAAGTCAATGTTGAAATCACAAATCCGCTTGCAGATTTGACGTGTATACTTTACCGAAGAGAGACTGAAGCAGAGGCACCACCTCGTTCTGTAGCGGGGTCGCTATCGAGGAAACGGAGCTTCTCTTTTGAACAAATGCATGACATCACGAACTTTCGAGTCGTTCACGGTGTGCTGTATTTTGAAACCGAAAATCTGATGCCTGCGAAATGTCAAGACAAAATATTACAGTACAGTAGATTGAAATTTTACATCATCGTTTCAAGCACACGAAAATTCGAAAGGAGTTAGAGAAACCAACGGCGTCCGTAAACAAAAAAACGAGGCCCGCGGCAGCGCGCTCTGAACGAGCAGCATCGATGACGATGCATCCTGTTCGCTATGGTTACTCCATCAATAGGTGAGCAACGAGTGAATGTGAAAATGTACATCAATACTATGAGGGAGGGTCTTCGTTGCAAACTACCGGAACACGACGACACGCTGCCGGCAGAAGATGGAGGGACAGGAACTGACCCGCAGATCTTGCTTTTCATCTAAATAGGGCTTCTGCAGGCCCCTGACACGGCCTCCAGCTACTGCACGGTGTCTGCTTGTTTACAAAAAAATGAGCTTATTTCTCGAGCTGGGGCCAGCAGGAATCCAGTCCGCATTCACCGACCACGAGCTGAGCGCAAAGCGTAGCTACTTGAGGCCGAGCAAGAAAAGCCAACAATCACGCTCCACGAGAAGTGGGAACGATGAGCGGGGCGGCCTAGAATTCGATCATTCACAACTCCATGTAAGCTACAAGCGCGTGCAAGAGCTGATCAAGCCGGAGCCACCTTCTGACTACTACAGCCACACTGTATACGACCGGCTGCAGAAACTGAACCAGTATGAAGATGATCAGGCGGGTTTTTATCTTCACCAACAAGGTGAGGGAGGACCAGGAGCACCTGCTCTGCGTGGTTCAAGCTGTGCAAAGACAGGCTCTTCATCTTTCGGAAAAAGCACGAGACGCGCCTCGTGGTTTCGGTCTATTCTGGAGAAGCGGGGCTTTTTTGATTACACCCCGAAGAAGGCATCCGATGTTCAAACAGGAAGTTCAGGCTTCATCGGCATTGCCGCGCCGCAAGATAAAACCCATAGGACGACAACCGAGGCACGAAGAGAACTGGTCGAACGTCGAGCCGCGACTTCTTTGCAACCTGTCGTGGCGACATCGCTTAACCAACCGGCGTTCGAAACTTTTGTACTCGCCAAAGAACACTACAAGAAGCCAGATTACCGCCAGATCGCTCCGACCCTCCTGGAGCGCATGGACCTTCTGCAGACGCGCCTAAACGAGCATCGAACGCTAGATACGAACCTGTCGGCGCTACACGAAGAGAGCGCGAAGAAGCTCGCGGGAATGTTGGAGCAACAGTTCACAAAGGAAAACGCCGCGATTTTGCGGATCCAGCGCTTTTGGAAGCGAAAACTCAACAAAAAACAATTTCTGCAGCAGCGGAGGCTGATTCTTTGGGTGCAGACGCGCTGGCGGTTCAAGTGTTTGCGGAAAAAGTTCCGAGAAAAGCGGAAAAAGGAAGATTTTGAAAGGCTGATCACTTTTCTCGACAATCATCTGTTCTTCCGCAAGAAGCTGATTGCGAAGAAATTCGAGCTGATTCAGAAAAACATCCAGGAAAAAGTCGTCGGGAATCTGCCCGTTCTTTCCACCGAAGTGTACGACCGTGCCGCGGCGATCGAAATCCAGAAAGTATACCGCCTTCATCTCTTCCGGAAAAGAAGATGGGAAGCCTGCGTGAAGATTCAAAAGTGGTTTCGATCAGAGTACCTGGCGAGGAGAGAAACGCAGAAGAGGTTTTTCCACGAAGTTTCGAAATGCTGCAACTTCTGCGTGGTGCATTGTAACAAAGGGAGAAGGAAGAAAAAGCACAGCAGCGGAAGCAGGACAAAGCTTTTTTATTCCAAGAAGGAAAAGACGATCCCGATGCAGGTGTACGCCGGAGGATTTTTGATGAACGCAGGCAGTATAGCGCATCAAAAGCATCGAAGTAACCAAAAGAAGCCCGGCTTCGCGTCCGCCTCCAGTACCGGGTCGATACTACAGCGTGCACGCAGTACTGATCGGGCCGCGTTGCTCGACGAGGATAGCAGTTCGAGTTCAGGAGGATCGTCGGTGAGCAGCATTTCAGCGTCGTCTGAAGATGGGACGAATGACTCCCAGCTGATGTTCTTGTCCGAGGGAGACGGCTTTACCAACGAGAAGCTCGACTCTCGAGAGTCTCGTCCTCCAAAGACTGCCGAGCTTGAAACTCGGGAGATCAACAATCATTCTCGTGCAGCGGGAGTAGTTGCAACTGATTCATTTTTTGACGCAGAACTAGATGGCCCAACAAGAGGACAAGCAGAAGCATCAACATTGCTTGATCGGGGCAAGAACTCTTCCCGCATTTCCGGGAAAGTGAGAGATTGGGCCTCTCACAGCTCTTTCTCTACCGCGGGCGAGAAAGTCGCAGGCTCTATTACTACATCTGGCATTATGACGGAAGCGCTCGCGTTCCCTTCACTCGAAGACCGCCTGTTAACCGCCGGTTCGCATTGCTTCGAAGACGACTGCTTCTCCATCATTCGCACATTCCGCACCGGGAAGGACCGGGAACAGAAGCTGCTTGACTCAGGCTCTTCGTCCTCCGACAGCGAGGAGGTGGAGGCCGCTGCGCGAAAAATGAACAGGTCAGGGAACAACAAGTTTCTGAGCCGTTTCGGTGGGAACAACAATAGGACGACGAAGCATAAAGCTTCTGCAAAGAGCAGCGCCGCGACTTCTTCTTTCGGAGACAGCAGCACTAAGATGAAAACGCTCTCGCCGAGGAAAACAACCACCGCAGCAGCTCCGAGAAACAGGGCTACGGCAGCGGTCGGCGGGACTTCTCGAATTGGCAAGATGACAAGTGATGGCGCAGCAGAGAATGGCAGGGAAGTTGTCAAGAAAACCAGAAGCGATGCAAGTGACAGTCGAGGAAACATCAAGCGAAATGAGAAGAATTTCGGGCGGCGCGCAATTGATTCAGACAACAGAAAAAACTGCAACGACGCCGCATCTTCAACACGTCGGCTGCAGGAGTTTTTGAAAGAACAAGTCGCGGAACCCACGGTGGCAGAAACCAAGGCCGGGGTCCCTGGAGAAAAACATAACGAAGATGAGCAAACTACAACTGGAACAGAACCACAGACACAGAGTGAGGGCAAAGAAGCCTCCCCACCTCTTCCAGAGAAAAAAGCTTTGAAAAAAGGCAAGTCCGTTCGGATCGAGGAGAGTGTTTCCGTGACCAGCTTTCGTACCAGTGCGGAGGAGTTGGAGAGTGTCGTAAAAAAGTTTACTTCGGTAGAAGAAGGGGACGAAGATGACCTCGAATTTCTTGAGGATGATGCGGACCACCAGCTGTCAGCAGGCTCCGAAGAAGACGATGAAGATTCGTTCGCTGAAACAGGCTTATTGTTGTCGGAGATGAAACAACATCAGAAGCTCAGTCCGCGCGTTGGGCTCGGTGGCAGCAGCACCAGCGGAGTGGCGGTTTCGAACAGGAACGGCAAGGCAACCAGAACGACGCGGGTCGGTATCAGTGGCAGCTTCAGCGGTGGCGCCGGTACAACGGGTCCCGGTTCCCCACCTCGCAAGACGGCTGTTGGTTCAAAGGGTTCGAGAAATACAAAAGTTTTCGACTCCTCCTCTCCGAGCAAAAACAGTAGCAGTAGGAGGACGACAGCAATGATGTCACCTGGACGAACATCAAACCGAATCCGAGACACGCAGATAGGTTTTTCACCGTCTCTGTCATCAGCTGATCAACCTGACTTTCCCGCCTCGTCGAGAAAAACCACCCTGATGCCGGTGTCCTACGAGGACGAGTTCTGTGAGCAGCAGATCCTTCCACCGCCCCCCACACGAATGTCCATGATGTACCGGGGAAACCGGGTGTCCTCCATGTTCGCGCAGTTGCAGCCAAAAAAACGCGAGGCCGAGCTGCTACTGGAGAACGTTTTGAATGAAAAGTCGACTATCAAGGAAAAACGAGCCACCATGTTCTTCTCTACTCCGACCAAGGATGGCGGCGGTCCGGTCCGGAGGAGCGGCTGGAATGGTGGAGGTCTGCGGATGACGAAAATCTCCGAAGACGGAACATCCAGTGCTGGTGGAACAAGATCCACGACCACGCGGGCCTCGTCGCGGAAGAGCGGCACGGCAACGAACGATTTTTCGCCCAGAATGAATAATAACACAGCTGGAGGCGGCTCTGGACGAAGTAGTAGCATGAGGCCTGGTTTTGGTCTCCCTGGGAACAGAATGAATCGCTCGTCAAGAACATCGCCGACCTCTTCGCGTACAACCAGGGCTGCTGGCCCTGTTTTATCTCCGCAAAATATGCACATGCGAAAGACTAGCAGTCGCAAAACACAGATTTCGATGCGGAAGACGAACAGCCGAAAAACGACGCTGGGGCGGGATCTCGGGCTCTTTGCGTCGATGGAAGATGAAATAGATGAAGAGGCGGGAATGGGCTTGGAAGAAGAGTTCGATGAATCCACAACAGCATTGCAAGGCGAGCAAGACTTGGAACAAACGAATGTTCAAAACAATAGAAAGCAGTCCACCTCCAAACGAGTGGTCGACAGCACCACCTCTGGTAGGAAGAGCGCAAGACCGGGAGGCGCACTGTCAGGAGGAGCGGGACCTCAAGGGGCAGCAGCCAGCAAGAACAGGGCAAAAAACCACATCAACAGTCGCCGGACGGTAGGTCCGGGCTCGGAAGATGGATCCTCGTGCGCAGTTGGAGAAGATGAAGAGCAGAAAAGCGGTGTTGCCGACGTCGGTAATCTTCCAGGAACTGATCAGCGTACCGACGGCAGCAGTGCTTTCAGCGCGTCTCAATCTCAAAGCAACACATTTTTCCAGCCTGCAGAAACGCCGACCATTGTGCTCAATGGTGGTGCACCAGAAGGAGCATCTGCAGTAGCAGAATCTGAGCTGCAATCTTCAGGCTCTCTTCGCTTCGGGCCGAAAGATCCGGCAGCCGAACTGGTAACATCAGCACCTGCCGCGAATCCCGGAGGAGCAAAAGAAGCGGACGGGGACCTGCACAAGCCTCAACTCGCGAGCAGACAGACGCCCGCGCCGGCCACCGCTCTGCAGTACATCCCGCGACTGCACCAAACGCCGCGACTGGTGCCGGGGATGGGTACCGGCAAAAATTTTGCGAAAGGAACTACAATGATGAACTCCGATCGAGAAAAGGATTTCAAAGTCATCATCCTGTTCGCCGACACCGAGTCGCGGAGCATTTGCGAAGTAAAGTTGCGGTTTGGAATTTTATCCGGGAAACAGTACTGCAACAGGGAGCTGCTATTCTTTTCTACAAGTTCCGGCAGGACTATAAGTGGAAGTCAGCAGACAAAAAACTGTGGCAACCTGCTCAACACGGGATTTATTCTGCGCGAAGAGGGAGACGGTCCTGGTTACGTACAGAAGAGCGACGCCAAAAGCGCTAAGCATCTGGCGAATCTGATTCTGCAGCAGTATGGAGGATTGAAGCCTGGAACTACTACTGGATCGAACAGCAAAGCGGCACTTCACGGTGCCGCGTCTCAACATCAAGTACCAAAGAGCATCGGAAAAAGAGTTTACTTCTTTGTCGGTACGAGTGCTAGTGGTCATTCCAACACCAGCAGAACCACGAAAAAAGCTCTTCCATTAGTGCCGAACCCCGCGGACCTCTTCGTCAACACCCGCTTCGGAAGTCCGAACAGCGGGAAAAAATCCAATTTTCTCACGACAGGAGCTGCGAGCAAAGCTGCTCACCTACTGAGAAGGGGCAGCGTCATGTTCCTGTCAGCTGCAGCAGATGATACTCAAAAAAATAACACCGCCGACGACCGAGCGGCGGATAGCAGCGATGAGGAAGAGCAACTTGTTGGAACCAGAACAGGAAAAAGAGATGAACAAAACCCACGCTCTTCTTCATCCTTTAGTACTTCTGCGGTTGCAAAGTCGAAAGAACATTATGTGAAGATGAAAAGCGACCACTTCGCCCGGTCCGCGGACTGCTTGAATGCGTTTGAAATCGCGGAAATGCTCTACGAGTCCGAAGATCCGATGGTTTTGAAACCAACCGTGCACTCGTTTTCCTTCGACTACGCTACGACGGCAGATTTGGATCGAGGAGGACTCATGTTTTTCAGTTTGTGATGCCGGGGATACATGATTGGTGCAGTAAATGCACCGCGGTCGAGGCGGACGCAAAAAGACATGATGAGGATGCTGCGCAGGAAATGCGTAGGTGGGAAGTCTGTGTTGCAAAAACACAAACCTTCACTTCTGATTCTCTATCTGGTCATTTCAACTCATTCATTTGTAAAACGCGGCGAGGAAGAGGACTCCCAGCGGTTCCCTATGTCGTTGAGTACCGTTCCATCGGACGTTGTGTTTCGTTTGACTTCCGCGGCACTAGATTTCGTTTTTAAAATTTTGGAAGGAGCTTTGCGCACCCAAGATCAAAAAGTGCTTGTATTTGAACTTTTTTGTTGAAAGCTGGCACATATTGATCCCGCACCCGCTGACGTTTCCTTGACCTGCTTAAGCTGCACCTATTGGCGGATGCAGTAATTAAGTCTACGTAGTTCATCACAAAATTATTACCACACCCCTCGCCCCCACCCCGCACAAGATCTATTCCCATGTCGCGGCTTCCCGCGAAGATCAGTTCGTCGTCTTCCTCGCGTTGTCGCGCCGTCTCGGTTCAACATCACGACAGCAGGAGCAATAAAATACTGATCCGGAAGATGAACAATCAGATATCTGGATGCCCAGGGGCCCAATATTCGCAGTATCGCGCCTTCGGCAAGATGCGGACAATGCGGCGGGTCGCGTACCCATGGATGCAAGAGTTACGACGGGACGCTTGGAAATTCCTCCACCAGGAGATGATTGAGCATTTCCGCGGTAGTGAGGCCCCACAGCACAGTTTGATAACGAATGGCAGTTCCGGCGGCAGCACGTTGACAGGGACCTCGTACCTGAACCCAGCATTTCGCGCGACGGCGTCGTCCGAATCATCTTCCGGGGCAAGTGGATCGTCCTCGTCCTCAACATCTACTAGCTCATCAAGCCATTTCTACGGCGATAATGCGGAAGAGGACCATGCACGAGGACACCAAGAACTTTGTCCGCGATCTGTGAACCCGCCGACCTTTCTGAATGCTCGCGACTGGCCGAAGTTTTCGAGCAAGGACATGATCCTCGAGGAGAAGGACCGGCTACCGGCCTTGATCACGAAGCACGGTCCGGATCGCGGGATTGTGCTGAAGATGTCGGACGTCATGCCCTTGGCTTTTGACGAGGAGGGGGGACATCTGTCGCACCTGCTGAAGTCCCGGCTCTACCGCATCCGAAACGACGACCAGTGGGCCAGGGCGAACACGGTGGACCCGAGTACGATGAAACTTGGTGACAAGGACGACAAGAACAATGGGCTGCAGAGCAAGAAGAGGATTTCCTACGCCGGAGACGAGCTGTGCTACGTGTCCGACGTCCGCGCGCACGTGGTGGACAAAAAGCTGTACTTATCAAAATGAAAAATCCCCCTTCCCCATATCGAAACGAAGTCTGTGATGCTGGATCTGCGTACACAAATCAGATTTGTCTTGCTGGAGAGGACTGCAGGCCCACAGCAAGCCTGAGTACAGAGGTTTTGGCCTAGGCGCTTAGCATGAGAAACGTCTGCGCTGTAGGCCCAACAGCATCACAAACCGCCTGCATGATACGGCGAAGCCTGTGGAATTGCCTTCTTGCAAGATAGACGTGACTTGCGGTCGCAAATCAGCATTCCAAATTTTCTGCGACGTACCTTTTCGATATGGGGAGGGGGGATTTTTCCCCACGATACTACTTCCTGCGGTTCGAGCGGCACGTGCCGTTCAAGACGATGACGAAAATCCCCGTGCCCGTCTGCCTCATCGGGGTGTACGGGTGCCCGGGGCAGCTGAAGGGCGCGCACATAGACCTGAACATGCCGACGGTGATGTGCGAGGTGGTCGGGGAGGAGTTCCCCAAGCCCTTCCTCGTCGATTGCTCGAAGCTGACAAACTATCGCAAGAAAAAACTGTTTCACTTTGAACTTGTGATGCAGAGAATGGAGCACAGAACGACTTGGCTTGCTACACCTGCAAGCCATTGGATTTTTTAGCGTTTTTTCCCTTGGGAAGCGCGCGTAACAAATTTTCTGATGCAGATGCAGATCTTGTTGCAAGATCATCACAGTGAAACAGTTTTTTCGTGGGATACCGACACCGGCGCGGCCACCGACCCCGAGTCCCTCGAGAGAATGGGCAAGAACGCGAAGGAGTCCCGGCCGTTCGGGTCGCCCGTGGTGGAGTACGGGCGGATCACGCTGCGGGATTTGCTGGAGAAGGGGATGTTGGAGCAGTACAACGGCTTGGTGCGGTTTTCCCGGGAGTACGACGCGGAAAACGGGGGCTACGGCTTGGAAAACACCGAGGTGGTGCTCTGCTACGACTGGGGCAACGTGCCAGAGCAGCCTCTGCCCGCGGATTGGGAAGACCCGAATTTTAACACGAGGCAGGGCCGCTACCACCTCACCTACAGCGGATTCTGGCCCAGGCAGGTGCAGCGGAGCTGAGGCGTGCCTGCTGCGTGTATTTCATTCTTTCAGCTGTATTGAGCCTGAAGATGGACTTTCACGATTAACGTAAAAGTGGCCACAATCCCAATTAGGAGAAAACAAGATCTATTCTTTTCATTCAGATCAAAGAGTCCGTGTAGAAGGCTGCGGATGTATTATTCAATGGCCACGATAAGACGGCACTCACTTTTGCCCAGAATCTCGTCACCGGAACAGGGTTCCAATGTCATTACCGGCGCACCTTTTTAACAAGCGTTTGCTGTTCCCTCTGATCGTTATTTTCAATCGAAGTATTTTTTTACATTGCAATTCTCAGTGGCTTCGAGATCGCACAACGACAACCGCCTAGCAGCAACTTTTTTGTGTGATCAGATCTGACAACAGCGCAGCTCTTTTCTCTCTCTTTTCTGTGAAGAATGTAGCAGGAAGCAGCACAGCGACTCATACGCGAAATTTGAAGATCATGGCTGCAAAACGCAGACAACAAAAAATGTTCTTCTCTCTGCTGCCCTCACCGTAGTGCCTCGGGCTCCTTGAGAATATAGCGCGGGAACTGACCACGATATACGACGTCCCTTCGTGATAGCGGCCTCGGATCAAGTATCCAACACCAGTCCGGTGCACGCCGACCCGAAATACAATTCGGTACAGCCACAGCCACAAGACGGTCTAGTAGCGGCCGAGACCCTGAGCAGACCACCAGCACCTTTAGGGCAGCGAAGCTACCTGCAACATGATCTACTTCGTGTTGATGGTGAACAAGCAGGGACAGACCCGGCTGTCCCAGTACTACGAGTACATGACGATACGGGAAAAAGCGCAGCTCGAAGGCGAACTCATCCGCAAGTGCCTCAGCAGACACGAGAATCAGTGCAGCTTCTTGGAGTACAGGCAGTACAAGGTCATCTACAGGAGATACGCATCACTGTACCTATTAATTTTTGCTGCGTAATTGTGACGAAGACGAAGTGAACGTGATGAAGTTAGTGGAACTTCTATCTAGATCTAGAATGCTGATGCTCAACGTCAACCAATTATTGGATCCATCATGAAACAAAAATCAGGTATTTCATCATAGGCTGCGACCAGGACGAAAACGAGCTGGGCTACCTTGAGTTCATCCACACGCTGGTGGAAACGCTCGACAAGTACTTCGAGAATGTGTGTGAATTAGACATCATGTTCAATCTCGAGAAAGCGCACTTTATTCTCGACGAAATGGTTCTCAATGGCTGTATAGTAGACACAAACAAGTACAACGCATTGAATCCGCTGTATTTGATGGAAAAACATTCTGCTGGTCAGTGACTTGATTGATACTGAAGCAGCACACTTGCAGCTTCATCAGCAACCGAGCTACGCACTTCGTATTTTCGCAAGAAAACTTTTGGAAAGTTGTGACTGACGAGACTGGTAGGCGTACTTAGACAATATGGCTATTTCGCCTGAATCTGTGTTCAGGTCTCTGCAAGCATTGAGAGAGGTCTTCCCAACAAAATTGCAATTTGCATTTACTCTTGGAGCGCGAAGCGACAATAGAGCAGCGCAAAACCCGTTTAGAGAGTCAAAGAGAGACGCTCATACATGCATCAAAGCGCAAGCATGGGGGCCCAGCCAAAAACTTGCCGCGGCCGCATGCGTGCGGGCCCTTTGGCGCAAATACCCGGCCTTTCCTTGCACGTAGTGTGACCCTGATGCGACAGTGAGTATATTTATAAATATCTGTCCCTTTTCTTGCAATGGGGTCGATGACCATTCAGGTAAATCCTAAAAATGAATTGTTAATTTGACGATGGACGGAAACGCCGCAAAGGAGACGGCGACGAGAGACGCTGCGTCGTCAACATCGCCGTCCGTTCGAGATCGTGTCAAACACTTCGAGCGGGTTTCTCCGAGAAAAGGAAAAGAACAGGAACAGGCTGCAGATAGCCCCGGGCGAGGCAAAAGTATTCCTGTTTTTGTTTAATCTTTGACCAGGAAGATGAACTGCCGGCGGTCTGGACGTGGAGAGGGGATCTTGAATGTGCAATGTATAAGTATAAAAATGTATGCCAGCCACACTTGCGACGAGTCATGAAATCCAGTGATGAATCTTAGTAGTGAACCAAATGGAGGAGCAGCTGCAATTGCGACAATGAAAGCTGTAATCAAAAGCAACATTACTTGTTCCTCGTGCAATTACCAGTTAACAACCTCAAAGATCGCGTTACAAGTCCGACTCCGAGCTCGAGTGCAAAGGCGGGCAACAAAGTCGCATTGGTGACGAGTCCTCCCTCTGCTTCGAAAGCTGTGCTGCCCCCAATACCTTCTATTCTTGGAGTAAAAGATATAGCGCCGCCGTGCCGTCCTTCAGCATCAGCGTCGTCTGTGTCTCGTTCGCGCGACAGCAGTGGGGCGGGTGTATCTCGTCCGCGCGACATTTTGCGAAATAATAATGAATTTCACGAGCACGACATTACCATTACGCGGCCCCGTGAGGGGAAACATCAAGACGCAGGGCCGGAAACAAGAGGTAAAGTCTCAACATAGGAGCTTCTTATATCAAATGAGTAAGGTCAGGACGTCGTGTCTGTGCTCCTGCGATAGAAACAAAAACATGTGAACCACAATCCGAAATTAATATAAGTATAACTGTCAGGTACTAACATCTTGAGTAGCGATGGCGTCGTTATGTTTGCTCCGGCAAATATGGATATGACCGATGGGGCAAGTGCATCAACTGCCTCTGGAGCCAGCGAGGATAAGAAGGAAGCCATTCGAGGCCCGACCCATGCAGCTTCCAGGGTAAGTGGAGAAATTTTCCCGCGATGCGACGACGTGGAGAACGGGGCAAATAAAACCGACGTGAAGAATATTGGGAACTACGGAGAAGGTCCTAATAGATACTTCTTTCTGTTTTGTATTCGTTGTCTCTCGAGGTGAAGATGTAATAAGTCCGCTGTAAACCGGATAAGGCACGTGATCCACAAAGGGAGTGCACCTGCGAGCGGAAAAATCGGACCCGCATCTGCTTTTGCTTCGTCTCATTGCAGAAAAGCAGTGACCCAAGCGAAGTCAGTCAGAAAATTTACCTATTTACCTCCAGGAAGAGGCACTGCCGGCGTTCTGGCCCTGGAGAGTGGATCTTGAATGTACAGTGTAAAAAATGTATGCCAGCCACACTTGCGGCGAGTCATGAAATCTAGTGAAGAATCTTAGTAGCGAACCAAATGGAGGAGCACCAGCAATTGCGAAAATGAAAGCTGTAATTATGTGCGAGCAACATTACTTCCGCATGCAATTACCAGTTGACTTTAATGATCGCGTTGCAGGTCCGACTCCGAGCTCGAGTGCAAAGGCGGGCAAAAAAGTCGCGTTGGTGACTCCTCCCTCTGCTTCGGAAGCTGTGCCCCCAGTACCTTCTATTCTTGGAGTAAAAGATATAGCGCTTCCGCACCGTCGAAGCCCTTCAGCGTCATCCGTGTCTCTGTCGCGTGACAGTAGGGATAGTATTGATCGGCAACATCACCAGCAAGAATCAGCAATACCTTGTTCACGGCCGGAAACAAGAGGTAAAGTCTCAACATACATAGGAGCATCTTTGTCAAATGAGTGAGGTCAGGATGTCGCGTTTGTGCCCCTGCGATAAAAACAAAAACATGGGGACCACAATCCGAAATATAACTGTCAGGTAACATCTTGAGTGCGAGCTCTACCTCCTGCTCCTCGAGCGATGTCGTCGATATGTCTCTTCCGGCGGATAAGAATATGACCGCTGGGGCGAGTGCATCAACTGCCTCTGGGGCCCGTGAGACCCCTGCAGCTTCCAAGGTAAGTGGAGAAATATTCACGCGAAGCGACGCGAATCGCAGTTCATCATTGTCGGTGAAATTGCCTGCGAGCGCACATGCCCATGACGAAATGAAACTCGCTAAGAATGTAAACGACGTGGAGAACGCGAACGGGGCAAAAACCGACGTGAGTAATATTGGGAACTACGGAGAAGGTCCTAATAAGTAGATACTTCTCTCTGTTTCGTATCTATTCGTTGTCTTTCGACGTGATGTAATAAGTCAGCTGTAAACCAGATAGTGCACGAGATCCACAAAAGGAGTACACCTGCGAGCGGAAAAATCGGACCCGCAGCTGCTTTTGCTTCGTCTCATTGCAGAAAAGCAGTGACCCAAGCGAAGTCAGTCAGAAAATTTACCTATTTACCTACTATTTTCATCAGGTCACAATAGCGGATCAACATCAACAGCACGTTGGCGGTCGTCAGGCACAGATGCTGTTGCAGAAGCAGATAGTACGTCCACGTGGAGAAGGAGCACAACGTGGCATGCGACCGCTGCCGGTTCACCAGAGGTGTGCGTCGACCCCAGAGGATCGCTGACTGCCACCGACCTTGGTGATCCTGGTCGACACGGGGCGAGAGGGCGCAGAGGCACGGAGTCGTGGAGGCACACTGCTGCTCCGTTTCTTAGCGGTCTTTTCGAGAAAAGTTCATCCAAATCGAGCGCCTCGGGCACATTACCGGCTGCGAAGTTATTCCCCGCGGAGAAGAGCAAGGCGGACGCTGAGGACGCAGGTACTCCAACTTTTATGGAAGCCATGATCATGACCAGGCACCAGCGACTAGACTAGCCCTTCACTAAGAAACTCACTCCTAATCATGTATTTTTAATCAGGTTCATCAGGCTCTGCTGGGGCGGCACCAGCGGCAGTACGCACTGGGTTCAGACCCTATTCCCAAAAAGCGTGGAACACAACCGGAGAAGTCGTCGGAAAGCACTTCGTCCGAGACACCATTCGCGGATTTGGTACGGAAGACGAGCTCCGTGGAGTGCCGGAGCATCCGCATACAAGTCCAGGCAATGTCAAACGATCAGATCGCTCTTCCCAGGGCTCGTGGACGGCGTTCGGACGCAAAACCAACGAGGGCAAGGACTTCGAGGCCAGGGTGCTGCTGGAGCAAACGACCGAGCTCCTCGTAGATGCCGTCCGGCAGACAAAGAGTCTGCAGTCTGTGATTACCGGCGGACACCCCCCCGGGGGCGGCGCGGTCACCGTGCCGGAGTTTTGCGAGTTCGCCCTGGGCTGGGACGAGGGAACTCCCGTCGCGGCCGCCGGGTCCTTTGTTTTTCGCATATGCGCGGGGCGGGTGGTTGCGCGTCTCGCGCACGGAGACACCGGATCCAGCGACAGTTCCGTTATTGTTCCCTGCGGGCACCTGGCTCGGCGGGAAGTAGCGCAGGGAAGGGCTGTCCGCGCAGTGACGCTTGGAGTGGCAGGCGATGGGCGGTGGTTGGTCGTCGGGTGGCAGGGCGAACGCCCAAACCGGAGAAGAAATCGAAAAAACCCGGTGCTAGCAGCAAGAAAAGTAAAAATGATGGTGAAGTGAAGAAGGATAAGAAAAACCTCGGGGGCGGGAAATTCGAGTGTGCAGCTCAGTTGAGTGCAATCCGCCTGGCAAGATACAGAGGAGCTGCCGCCCAAGACTTCGCATCTCTCTGGCCAGACCTCTCCGGCCTAGGCTGGCCGTGGAACACAACAGCCTCTGCGACGAGGAGTCGAGCAGAACGAGACCGGAATGCCGCTGTTGGCGATCGCGATGCGGGAGCAGCACAAGGAAGTAATTCGGACAGCATTGCGGGAAGTAACGAGAATGACAAAGACGCGGCTAACCCGGACCAGCTGTTACGGGAAGAGGATTCAGACAAGGGAAATCAATGAAAAGCAAAAGAGTCGAAAAAAGATGTAGAGATGTGCACTAACCGCGGCTCTACTAAACAGGACTACCGTGTTGACATTTGTACTTAAACCAATCAAGAGGCCGCAAGACGAGGCCTTGCTGAGGCAGCATCTATTCAAACTAAATCTGATAGCTCTAAAAGGTGCGAAACAAATCGCATTTTCTGTGTCTCCAATTGATATGAGTAAAGAAAATCGTATTCCAATGAATACAACCGAAGAGATTATTTGTATCATGCTTAGTTTTCTGGGCGCGCTTCTTCTCCTGTACCTACTCTGTTGTATGCAGGCTCGCTCGAATCCTAGACTTCGCAGAGCATTAGCAGCATCGCACCTGATGCAGATAGGACACCGACTCCAACAGACCATCCGGCACCATTCACCTGTCAAAGGCTTGACTTTTCCGCAAAATAAACAAAGGCGATTAACGAAGCAGTGCGATCGCGTGATACACAAAACCGAGAAAATAGAAAATGACACTCACGGTCACGGCGATGCAAGAAAACGACTACAGCATTGGCATCAGTTGCTGCCGCCATGAGTTCAATGATTCCAGCTATCGCTTTCGTGAAGTATCTCTTTGTTCCGAGTGAAGAAACAATGTCTTGTCCGTTGATATACTGCAGATCACGAGCGAGCACCTCCGAACACGCACCTGAGTGCAACAGGATAATTCTGCATCCTGAGCACGACCTTCTCGCTCACATCAGATCACAAGCTCTCGTTGCTTGCGGTTTCGCAACGAAAGCGTGGAGAGGGAAACTTTTCTGGGTATTTGGCTCCTTTCAACTACTATCCGAAATTGAGTCATGCGCCGTCGGTTTGATCAGGTTTTCCTTTTCGCAGTCTATGCGAATACAATTTCGGCATGCTCAGCTTCAGATCCTCGCCCTCCAATGCTTGCGTGTATGCTAACGTTGCGCCAGGAATTTGTGTGTGAGCGACAAGGGCAAACGAAAAGACGCGAAGAGTGAAATAGAAGGCCAACCGGAGAGAAGTAAGTACATGTTTTTTATGAGGGAATTACGGGCACTCCGTTTTGGGCATCTACTCC